TCTACTATCGGGGATACAACATTGTGGATTGTATCAATTTTCTGATGTGTGAAGGCTAGCTGGCCCTTTTGGGATGATCCCGACAATCCAGAACGTTTATCCAGCCACCTAAAAGCTTGTGATACCATTGCTTTGGGCCAGCTTGAACAAGTCCTCGGCTTTATGAAGATCGCTCACGTTCCGTCTCTTTGCTTCAGTTGTTGGTATGTTTTGCCTACGTAAGCAAAGACGTCTTGAGAACAAAGGCCTGCCTGCATAAGATGTAGTGAGAAATGGATACTGAGAGAAGACCTCAAAGATACGACATGCAGAGGAGTGCACATATACCACCACCCCGCACATGGAAATACAAGCGCAACAACGGACATACGTGAAGAACACGATTTCAGCCTTGGCAGCGATATCCAGAGCTACGTTATAGGGTTCAGTTTTGGCCGTGGCTCCGTAGTGCCTAGGATGTCTTGAGGATACTGGACGACAAGGTATGCTTGTCCGTTGAGCATTAGGTGTACTTAACGGAGAATACAGGATCAGTCATATCCTTAAGCAGGACTGAACATGGGGCCTCCAAACTGAAGACTGCCCCGGATTATCACGGTCCGAAACAGGGGGTTTCCGTATCCGCGTTGACTATCGATAAGCCTAACCTGCATCTTCCATCTCTTGCCAACAGTTCGCTGCAGAGGCACGCTCGCTTGTCACTTCTGCTCGCAGGTTCGAACTTGACCGATAATCGGGTTGTCCAGTTTTGTGGGAATACTGCACATGGCGAAGTCTTATTGCGACTCGCTCCCACACTGTCGAGTGGCCAGTGCTAGTGTTCTGCAGATATGTAGAGCTCGCAAAGATTCTTCATGCGCAGGGCTGTTCCGACGTGGTGTGAGGTAGCCATGATTGATGCTGCGGCCTTTGCACGTAGAATAACTGGGAAGAGCTCATCCAAAGCTGCTTTCGAAGAGCCAAGGGACGGGGGCCAAAACGAGGCCCTGCTCAAAACCGATTTCAAAGCCTCAGATACACTGTGCGTGTATTCGTCATTGTATCTGTCCGATTCGGTTGCTCGTACAACGCATGCGATAGTCGTTCGTTCGGCCGGTGCATGTGGTCGATCGAGGGGCAGTGGAGCATCAATAGTGCCATCGTGTCGTCGTGGCGAGGTGCATGATTATTAGGAATGCAAAATGGCTATCCAAAGTTTGCGCGTGGAACATGCGAGATGTACTTCTGCGGGCGATGCGAGGGTGTTGATGGTGTTCGAAGCGGGCGGCTCCCACGAGCGGCCTGTGGTTGTCGCTAGTGGTCCAGCCATCACGTGTACTGTTAAGCGCTGCAAAACCAACCTTTGAGCATGACCTAAGGAACGCTGTATGTATTTTCGTTTTGGCCGTGGAAATGAAATTGCCACAACTGTGATAAATGGAAAGAAAAGCAACAATCGAGGTTCTAGACATAGCGTGAATGCATGCACTTAGGATACGTGCTTCGGCAGACTTGCACAGGTGCACTCAACCCGCCTAGAACTTCTGTCATACGTTCTGAAACAGTAACGTACAGGATACTGCAAAAGCCTTACCCGCTAAAGCCCGGTTCGCGCATACTTAGCGCAAGGCAATCGTGGACCCGGAGATCTGCATCCCTAGCTTTCGTCACAGATCAGAAAGTTGCGCAACAAGCATCCCCGCCATTCACACCAAAACTATGGCGACTGAGGCACCCACCGCAAATGTCGCACCTACTGGCGACTACTCAGCAGTGTGGGCGGACAAATACCGTGGTGTATGTATTCTTGAGCATGAACTGCATCTTGTCTAATTATTTGTAGGCGACTGTAGAGGACCTCGACCCCCCGCCTGCCTTGTCCATTCAACCCTCGGACCCTATATCATGGGCGCTCATGTCCGGCCTTGAGCGCGACTACACACACCTCACAGTAATCTCTCAAACGAACCGCGCACTACTCGGCTACATCAGCATTCCACACCTACAGCAGCTCCTCAAAGAAGGCAAAGTCAAGGACAGCGACCCCGTTGAGGCAGCAATGCACAAGTTTCAGCGACGCGGCAGGAGGTACAAGGTCATCACAACCGAGACCCCGCTAGAGGAACTCGAGCAGTTCTTCGCTGGTGGGGTAGATGGAAGTGGGAAGCAGGAGTTCGCGGTGGTAACGGACGCCAGTAGGAAGTTTGTATTGGGCGTAGCCACACGGGCTGATTTGGAGAATTTCGCAAAGAGAAGAGCATAGAAATGCTCGGGGAGGGATCACAGGAAAACGTGGGAGGGTACCCATAGGTGCATTGGCAGGCGTTTATCTGGTATACCCTATGGCCGGGACTATGGAGGCTGGATTCAACACACGGCTTAAGAAACAATAGGTCTCTTCAAAATAGTCACCATGTTACTTGGAAGCATAGAATGGTAAACTAACATTAAATAGCGAACTTGACTAGCTTGCCTACGTTCCACTAATGCATAGTACTGTGTACAATGCCATGCTTCGTAACACCAAGTTGTCCAATCTTACTCACTCCAAATATGCTTTCATATACAAACGTGTTGAACAACTTCTCTCATGAAGAACGCGTTGAATCCCCACAGACGTCATGATAGAGGGTAATGCATCTGCTGAGTCATGTCCTCCTCTCATTTCCGATCCATGGTCGCCATGCGCAAACCATAGTCTCGGGTTCCCCACACACCGGAAGGTAGAGCGACGGCTCCTCATGGTTTTTTGAACTTGAATATTTTTGGACACAAAAGTCCTCAACCGCAATTTTCTTTCTCTTGCATCGTTCGTCGCTGGCATGCTCGCGCCTTGCTTCCGCATGCGCAGTAGACCCCTCCTCCAGCACCAACTATCACAAGCCTGGAGACCAGCACTTCGAACGCCAACAAGACTACCCGCAGTACCTGCTCTCCCACCACGACGTTCGAGATGCTATTCCAAAAAAGCGTCCAAAGCGCAAACGGGCGCTGGCACGACGACGCCCGTTCCTGACAATGCGAAGCCGCCCAAGTCCAAGTTGCCTTTCTACTTTGAGGCTGGATATGCGCTTTTCGCAAAGAGGCCTTCACGGCCGTTTCCTCCGCCATTCTTGTCGTTGCCTTCAACGAGTTTCTCTGAACCCCTAAGTACACATAACAAGAGTAGGGATCGCCGACCGACTGTAAATGGGGAGATGATAAGAGGGGTTACAAACGGGGACGATGCGGTGCTAGTCAGTGAGAGCTTCATTGCAGCAAACGACGGTGTGGGTGCATGGGCGACGAGAGAAAAGGGACATGCCGCGTAAGTCCTGTGTCGTTTGGTTATCTAGGAGGTGCGAGTGCTGATCATACACTACACAGTTTATGGTCCCGTCTAATCGCCCATTTCTGGTCTCTTGAAATCGAGGGCGCGTCCTATTCCTCCACCTCGCCTCCAAATCCCGTCACGTACCTCCAGACCGCATACGAACTCACCAAGCAAGCGACCTCCTCGCCCAACGAATGGCACGGCACAACTACTGCCTGCGGAGCGCTTCTCGGAGCGGATAACGAACAACCGGACCACCCCTTGCTCTACGTGACGCAATTAGGCGATTCCCAAATCCTCGTCATACGACCAAGTAGCAAGGAAGTCATCTACAAAACGCAGGAGCAATGGCACTGGTTTGACTGTCCACGGCAACTGGGTACGAATAGTCCAGATACACCAGACAACAATGCGGTTATGGATTGTGTGGAGATCCGGGAAGAAGACGTCGTACTGGCGCTGACGGATGGTGTAGTAGACAATTTATGGGAACATGAAATTGTTGAAAATATCTGCGAAAGCATGGAGAAGTGGACCGGCGACAAAGATAAAGATACAGAGGACCAGACGTATGCTGCCGGTATGCAATTTGCAGCACAGCAGTTGATGAATGCCGCAAGAGAGATAGCTCAGGATCCGTTCGCTGAGAGTCCATATATGGAGAAGGCGATTGATGAGGGCTTATCCATCGAAGGAGGTCCGTCTACTTGGCCGTGAGAGTGAGACACCGCTGACCTTATTCTAGGAAAGCTTGACGACATCAGTGTCGTAGCCGCACAGTGTAAACGGCGCAAAGGATGAAATGGCGTAACGAGATTCTAACGACCGAAACCCTGCAACGAACGACAGACCAAACCACGCGCCGGTTGATAGTGAAAGCATCAGGGTATCATGCGCTACGTTTGCCTCGACTCCAGGAGCCACATAGCAATGCCGCGGAAAGTTTGCCAGATCGTAGGATACACGCCGTTATGCGCAACCGCCGTATGCCTTCCACACACGCACCATAGCGCCACGCCGGCAACTGAGAGACGCCACGCATTGCAGAGTATATACTAGATTGAGGACGTACAAGGTACGCAACCCGCGTGTTGATGCACGGCAAGACGAGAGAAGAAACGAGTGAGATGTTTTAATAGTATTGTCATGAAGTCCTCGGGTTTGCGATATGTAAAGTTGTTTAGTGTACAGTGGCCATGAGGCTGTTTGAGGGCGCAGTTGAAGCAAACGCATACTCTTCACCGGCCCATGCTATCCTGATATTCTATTCTCTGTGGCGCATGGGTAAAAATGTCAACAATGTTATTTGAGCATGTCAAGGACAATCGCGACCGGAGCATTCATGACCGCTTTCTCCATCCCCTTTTGGACGTACGCCTTCTGGACTGGTCACGATCGTATAATTTCTTCACTCGGTAGCACCGCGAACACCGCTTCGCATTCATATAAGAAGTGTCTGGCTCCTTTAAGCACGCGCTGCAGAGAGCGGGTTTATAGGCATCCTATGACTTCGGGGTTTCCCCTTCTTTGCGAACCGGTGAACCTGTGGGTGAGCGAGTGACACGACGTCTAGCCCTACCAGTTTTGCTGCGAGATCGTGACCTGCTTGAGCTTATGGACCGTTTGCGCTTCTTGATGTCGGTGCGAGAGTCATTGGAATCAGCTCCGGATGAAGTAGAACGTCTGCGCCGACGCTCTCGCACAGGGCTTACAGACATGGAGCTCGAGAGGGAACGACGCCGGCGGCGCGGAGGGGTTCGTGATCGTGATCGCAGCCTGGGCGCTGGTGAGCTCGATTTGGTTCTGAATGGCGGGGAACTGGAGCGCGAAGTATGCTTGGGTCGCCTCCTGCTCTCGCTCGGAGACCTATCCCTCCTTCGTCTTGCAGGTGGAGACTTGCTGCGCGAAGGAGAGCGACGGCGAACACGGCGAGGTGGAGATCTTGAGCGGCCAGTTGACGGAGAACGCCGCGTTCGACGCCTGGGCGGTGGAGATCGAGAGGGTTCTGACGATAGTGAGCGACGTGTACGACGAGGTGGTGGAGATGCAGAACGACTGCCCGAAGGTGAGCGACGGCGGTCGCGGGATCTATCGCGACGTCCTCCACGTCCACGACCACGTCCCCCTCCAGGTATGTAAACATCACGCTCGCGAGTAGGTGGGGAAGGTCTCCGTCTCCTGTTACATGTCAGTAGTCTTCTCTCCGCATAGACGCGAAAGACGTACGGTGGTGACCTTGAGTCGTGCTCGCGTCGTGGAATTCCTCTGTCAAAGTCTCTGCCGCGCCCTCTGCGATCGCTGCCACGGTATCTTCCTCCACCACGGCCGCGTTCGGGTCTATCTGAACGCTCAGGACGCTCACTTTGTCGGAAAGAGTCGATCATAGCATTCTGCGCTTGTTCTTCGGCCCGTCGAGCATCAGCTGCGGCCTTTGAAAGCTATAGAGATCCTTAGCAACAGTAATGGTGTTGGTCCGTAGTTTGGCTTACCTGCTCCTGCTGCAGTTCGGCCTTCTTCGCCTCCAACAGTTCTCGGGGCACACCCATAGGACTGTCTTGCGCACTCAGCATGAGGTCCCATAGCTCTTTGCAGAAAGGTGCTGTATCCTTGTTAAGGAAGCCCGTCAGTTGGATTTGGATTTCCTTGATCTTGGGCTGCATAGGTTAGCAAACGTTGCGCTATGCCGATTCTAGGTCTACTGACAAATTGGTTCTGTTCGATCAAATTGTAACAGGTCTCGACTACGATGTCGTCTTCGTCGCCGAGAATAGTGGTGATCCTGTTAGCAATCCACTTCTTCATAAGGTCGATGTTGACTTTCTCAATGTCGACCTTCTTGTCGAACTCGGGTGGAAACTTTGTTGCCTTGAGACGCTTCTGATCGACGCTAGACGCCATTTTGAGAATTAGAGATAGAGTGCAATTGGGAGGCAAACGGAGTGACGCGTTTGGAGAAGGACGATTTCGCGACAGTGAAAGCTGGAGCTCGGGCGGACCCATCTGCGGGCTTGGCATCCATCTCCGGGGCTACGTCAGTTGTTCATGCAGGTACAACGCGCTAAGCTCCTGCCACCCGCCGCTCCAAACCTCACGCTTTCCTTTCGATGTCTTGGGCTGGGAAACAGCGAAACCCGGTCTACAGCATCAAAGTGACGGAATACGAAAGCATAACGCTAACATGAAATGTGCCATCGGGACAATGTCCTGTTTCACCTGCCTTCGAACAGTCTATACGAGGTCTGGCTGCTCGAATCGCACAGAGCTAACATGCTCAACATGCACTTGCTGCGTTCGCACGTGTCCTCCTTCGGCTCTCAGCTAAATTGTTTTGGTCACGACTTCTCTTTATATCCCAAAGTCATGAGATTCCGACCGATCAGGATGTGGCCACAATCATCCACTTACCTGGGCCAGCATATCATTTCTCCCACGACCCATCATATCACTCCGATTGTCACTCGAACTTCTCCTCCATATCTTTCTGTCTATCATTGATTCTATCCCCATTCGTCATGGCGGATCCAGCTGCCGTTTCTGATGTGCCTCCTGTGGAAGAACCCGAAGCGCCTACCGAGCCAGAGCCCGCTCCAGAACCTCTAGCAGAGCCGCCTGCTGACCCAGCACCCGAAGAGGCTGCCCCATCCACTCCTAAGCCTGTTGTTGAACCAGAACCAGAACCAGAATCGCAAGCGGAGCCCGAGGCAGCACCTGAGAAGACACCAGAGCCTGTAGCCGAAGCGCCTCCTGAGCCAAAAGAAGAGCCTCCAGTTGAAGGTAAGCCTGAGCCTATTCCTGAAGAATCGGTACCAGAACCGGGACCGGAACTGGCAGCCGAAGCTCATCCTGGGATCGAGGAGCGTCCTGTTGGGGATCAGCCAGCACCTAATTCCGAAGAACTGGTAGCAGAGCCAAAACCAGTACCCAAGGAGGTACAAAAGCCCGCAGTCGAAGCTCTGCCTGAGCCAACAGACGAGCCCATATCCAAGAACCCACCTGAGCCTGCTGCCGAGCTGGCGCCCGAACCTGCTCCCCAAGAACCAGTCGCAGAGCCGCCAGCCGGAGAGTCTGAAGCTGCACCTGCTCCGGTTCAACGTTCCATGGATCCTGAAAGGGAACCAGAGCCAGAGTCTGAAAGTGTTCCAGAAGAATCGCCAGTAGAGCCATCAGCTGAAGAACTGCCAACGGAACCTCGAACCTCAGAACCTGAAGCTACACCTGCTCCGTTGCAACGTTCTGTCGACCCTGAGCCTGAGCTACATACTGAACCTGAAGCTGTTCCTGAAGAACCTCCAGCTGAAGTACCTGAAACAGAATCCCCAATCGAACCTTCACCAGCAGTACCCGAAGCGGTTCCACCAGCAGAGCCTGAGCCTACAGCAGAGCCAACGTTGCAAGTGCCAGCTATAGCACCTGTCGAAACCGAACCTACAGAACCTGCGCCAGCAAGTGAGCAAGTGCCTGAGCCTGCCGCTGCTCCTGAAGCTGAGGCCGAGGCTAAATCTACATCTGTGCCTGTCACGAGGGTAGCCGAAGCAGAAGAAGGCGCTGGGGCAGTAACTGAGCCTGAAACCGTGGCAGAAGAACCCGAGCCAGCACCGGCTACTGCGCCTGGAGTTGCCCCTGATTCCGGAGCAGCAGAGCCAGGAGCACCTACCGAACCTGCACCCGAGCCAGAAGCCGCGCCTGCATACACAGCTGCAGAGGCAGAGGACGTGCCAACTGCATCTCCAGAAGCTCTTGCACCTGAACCCACACCATCTGTAGCAGAAACAGAAGCACCAGCTCCTTCTGTGGCAACGACGACTGCGTGAGTACACTTAGTACTTCTCACCATCCCTGAACTAAATCAACTCCCTCAGCCTCTCCCCATACACTATACTGGATCCCAATTTCACAGCTACCTGTGTACTAATATTCTCCAGAAAAACTCGCAAGCGCGACAAGGTCAAGCTACTTGCAGCTATGCGTGCACCACCCGAGTCTGTTCCTATCATGGTGCTTCTCCGCCAGAAGAAGAAGGCTGGTGAGGATGTCAAGGCTATAGCAGACGCTATGCTTGCAGCTGCAGGATCGTGAGATGAGTTGGAAGATTGGTATTTAGATTGTGGTGGTGAACTTCAGGTCTCCCTAAGAAAGCCCTCTATCTGGCGTTGAATACCGACTCCTATGCAGATGCTACTACGAAGCGAATGAATCTCTCAGTCTTACATGTCTCCTTCGAGCCGCGCCCTTTTGTCTGCGCAAGGAACTGCCAACACGATGAGTGTGCGAAGATCACCCTTTCTCTTCTCTTCGTGCTCATGTATTGAACCCTCTTTATCATGCCTCTTTGCGTGAGTCTAAGGTTATTGATCACGTCCGCAGCTGCAGTTGCCTTTAGCCCCCACCGCAAGTTCACATGTTCTCTCTTTCTTGACCTTGCGCTTGGTGTTGCGCAGCATCTCTTGTGTCTTTGTATGTCCATACTCACTTCCAACCTCCTCTTCACCCGCCAACAGCTTTCTTAACCAAACTCCTCGCCTCCTCGAGTCCCCTACCCAACTCTCCCCTCTTGTGCGCCTCCTTCACTTCGTAATGTAGTTTCAGCAGGTCCTTTGCGCGCTTGAGGTCTGGGTCTTGCTCATCGTCTGTTGCTGTGTTGGGTTTTGCGGTGTTGTCATGGGAGGATATGGAGTTGAGATCTGTAGAGCGCGCAGATACGAGGGCAAGCGCTGCAGCGGGATCCTGCAAATGAAATGGTGTTAAAAAGAAGGGCGATGCATAGATACGAGGATAGGGTAACGTACACAAGCGCGTAAGGACACAAGATCGGATAGCATTTCCGCAAGCTGCATTGTGTTTCCTTGGCTTTGCGCCATATGCGCGGGCGCTAAAGGGAATATTGGGATATGTCTTATTTAGTCACAAATGCGTAATGTAATGTGGAATGGCTGTTGCGGTAGTTTGGTTGCGTTGCGATCGTAAGTGGGATGGATGACCCAGAAGCTCTGACGTTCACACGGCAATCCCCCCCACATCTCGGTTCCTAACCCGTAGCGGGCAGGGGCCCGAGATCAAAACTCCCGTCAATTACCGGTCAAGTACCTTCCCGAAGACGGTCTGCTACATCCTGTTTGCAGTCATATATACGTGCTTTTAGGTCATATCTGAAAACCTTGGGAATACCTCATTATGGCGAGCATACAAGCTATCAGGGCGAATTGTCGCAAGGTACGTGATTTCGTGTGGTATTCGTGTTATCAGGAAACCCTATTAGGAGAGAGAGCTGGAGAGCCATGCTATGGTAAAAGTAATTGGCACGAACCAGATTGACTATCGTGGCTTGTAAAGTTAGTGTTTCTGTGCTTTGGAACTGGACGGTGAAGGAAGTTGGATTGGAAGAGAACGAAATTTGGACTCGGCACAGAGGAGACTTTTGGTATAATCTGACACTTCGCAGGTCATGTGCATAGGCAGGAACTATGCAGACCACATCAAGGAGCTGTCTAGTGCTACGCCCAAGCAACCCTTCTTCTTCCTGAAGCCACCATCATCTATCTTGCTACCAGGCGCTGGTCCAGTACTACGACCTCGTGGTGTGAATATGCACTATGAAGTTGAGCTCGGTCTCATCATGGGCAAGACAATAAGGGATCTGCATCCTGAGGATACCAAGGGTGCTATGGATGCTATAGAAGGTACTACGGACGCTATACATGAAGCCAAGTGTAACATTATATGGAGTCCCTATCGAACTAACATTCGAAATACAGGTTATGTTCTCGCTATCGACATGACTGCGCGTAATGTGCAGGATGAAGCGAAAAGAAAAGGCCTGCCATGGTCCATTGCGAAGGGTTTCGACACCTTCATGCCCATCAGCAACTTCATCGCGAAGAGCCGGATCCCAGACCCACAGAAAGCACACCTTTGGCTTTCAGTCAACAACGAGATGAAGCAATCCGACAACACTGAACTAATGCTTTTCCGAATTCCGAGGCAACTAAGCGACATTAGCAGGGTCATGACGCTAGAAAAGGGCGATATTGTACTCACAGGAACGCCGAAGGGCGTGGGTCCAGTCAAGACGGGCGACATTATGCGTGCGGGACTCAAGGTGGATGGTAAAGATATCGAAGAGGCGAACCTGGAAGTACCAGTTGCAGATCGTGAGGGTTTGTACGAGTTCAGCGAAACATAAGGCGAAGTTTCCATACGTGAGCAACGACCGAAGTTCATCAGATCTTGAAAATTTAGAAAGCGCCGATTCCAGATATCTCCGGTTTCGCCCTTGTTCCATTAGACCTCTTCCTAGCCTTGGAACGTGACAGTGGCATAATTGCCGCTTTGCGAGGTGACATCTTAACTCTGTCTGCAGGGGTGCTTTCCGTATCATCACTCTCACTACGTCTAGTTCTTGCTGCTTTCTGCGGGCTCCGAAGAACGACAATCAACGACCTCTGTTTCTGTGGATTTGCAGCATTTGATCGAACTGGGAAAGGATCCTTTTTCTTTACAGGCGATGTAATAACCTTTGGTACGTTCGATTTTGCCGGGCTTCTTGTGACCCGCTGGGTAGGTTCCGTAGCTGTGTTCTTGCCTCGATCTGCGGCAGCGCTTCGCTTTGAGATTGCCGGTGTCCTATGGGCGGCCCAGGTTGTAGTGCTGGGTTCGGCTTTGATCTGATCTGGTTCTTGCGCATGGGCAGTTTTTCGCTTCTTGCGCGATGATAAAGCGGGCTCAGCTGGTTGCACAGATGGAAAAGGGATAGAACTAGCTGCCCCTAGCGGCTTTTGCTCATCAGCCTCCTGTGCTTGAATTTTCTTAGCTTGGGCACGTGTCACGCGTTGATTTTGGGGCTCTCTCTCAGGTAGTTTCCGCTTTCTCGAACCAGCTTTACTGACCAACTGTGTTGATGGCGGAGCAACTCTGGCACGTGGGCGGGCCTTACATGTTGAGGCTAGAACTGAGGCTGGGACTGAGGCTAGGACTGGAGATGTGCGGTTGTTGCGGAGTAGTTGTGTTGGAGGCGGAGAGACTCTGGCATGCGAGGGAGCCTCGCGCGTTGGGATCGGAGCCGGACTTCGAGCCTGTTGGATGTGTGGCAGGAGCTGTGTTGAAGGGAGAATGTCATATCCTGGTTTATCAGGCAATGCATAAGGTGTTCGGAGTTGTTCTTGTTCTTCCGAATTGCGCAGTAACATGGAGTCGTGAATCGATGGCCTCTGCATCAGTCTCTGCCGGGCTGACTTTGTTGGGCTGTCTGAGGTTACTGACGGAGCGAAGGTAGTGCTTGGATTCCTATTATCGTCAGCAATGTCGTGCACACGACTGCGTCAGAGAATTTTCTTACCTTTCTCTCATCTCTGGGTATTGTCGTACCTGGTTTCCTTCATGTGTAGGTTTCTGCATAGGGGCCAACTCTTCATCCTCAGCTTCAGTAGTCGCGTCTGAATGCCCGTCGTTCAGTAACGGAGGTGGTGTCATAGTTCTCATGATGGCTTGCTGGATCCTGAAAACTGTCTGGGAACCAGCGGTCTTGGTAGTGTGGTCCTGTTGGATAGCTTTGAGATGAGTGAGTTCTTTTTCCAAGCTCCTGATCCGACGGACGTCTTCAGTTCGACCAGCCTCGAGAACGTCAAGACGCAGAAGAACGTTTTGAAGATCCCTAGGGACTTGTCTAAGCCTATCTAGATCCTCCACGGCATGGGACATAACATTGTCCAGCTCGATCTGCTTCTGCCTGACGTGCTTGTTTGTGTCAATGAAATTACCCAGCCGTGTCATCTCGCCCATTGCCCACTTTTCGAATGCTTTGTCGTCATCTTCGGCTTCGATTGCCGCAAGTTGCTGCTCTAGATGACGGATTCTGGATGTAGCAGCCTCTGCGGCCCCCGCAACATGTTCAGTAGTTTTGATCCGGATATCGTAAGCTTCGTGATGTCTCTGGAGTTTGCGCATCTCCGTGAGCAGGTGAGCATGTTGCTGTTTCATCTCTGGGCCCCACAGCAACATCTCAGCCGATGCGAATGGCATGCGTGAGTCAATGTCGCCAGCCGTGCTCGGCCGTCGGGGGGCCATGGCGACAGAATATGGAATGACACTCAAAAGGCAGTGGACAAGGAGATGCGGTGTTGCAGGTAATGGTATGGCGTTGCTGCTCAATGACGCACGAGACAGAGAAGGCCGCTACACGTGAGGTGAGATGAGAACAAGTGAAAATGCACAAGCTGTATGGTGAGAGACAAGACTCAGCACGTTATAGTGGGTCTTGTCGCGAGAAGCAGGTGCGACGCTGGGTGTGGCTTCCTCAGCTGAGCAGTCTCAGGGGGTCATAACGTCTCAACAATCTGCTACTTCAACACGTCAATAAGGCCCAGGCCACAATACAAACGGTGAAGTAAACTCTTTCTTATTTCTTGCTACCTATTAGGTACATTGAACATTCCACTCAATCAGATCAAGCAGCACGCTTTGGACCTTTCGGCGCGTCTATTACATCATCTCTCTTCATGATGCGAATCTTGGTGTCTTTCTTCGAGCTATCTCCGTCTGATTCGGACTCCTTCGGCCGTTCTGCGACGCTTTTATCGTAGCTACTCGGGTCGATACCAAGAATTCCACCTACGTTGTTACGATCGCCAGGAACAGAGAACTCACGGAAAGCATAGCGCCATTCGTTGAGGAAGCCGCGAATAGCCTTGCCAACTTTGTCCTTGCCATTCTTGGAGTGATGGCCGGTTCCTGTGATGGCATACACTGGACGAGAAGATGAGCTGTGCTTCAGAAGAATGCCCTCGAGGTATGACACGGATTCATCTGGGTGCAGACCTGAGCGACATTAGTCCTGCTAAAAATCGAAATCACCAGCTCGACTTACCGTGAAGATCAACATACAGCTCTCTTGAGCCGTCGCTGTCCTTGTTGCGATCTTCGTAAAGAATACGAGCAGCTTCACGGTGGGCTTCACGCATCAGGTTATTCTCGCTCTGCCCCCTAAGACTAAGAGCTTTAGCCGCGCGCGAATCACTACGGTTCCAGGCCTGAGCAGCACTGATAGGTGTTAGCATGGGTGCCCCTTGTGAAGATCGACGTAACCTACCTCTGCAAAAACTTGTTGCGCAGACTACCATGCTTAAAGGCCTCGGCGCGAGCTTTAAGATACGCTTGATTACCCTTCTCGCCGGTCTCTAACCACGGAATGTGTTGAGGGGCAGGTATTGCCTGTGCAGCCACACTATTCTCGCGAGATCCGGTGAAGCTTTTGGTTGGTCTTAATCCCTTGCGGACCGGAGTGACAGGAGCAGGGACAGGGGACATGCGAACGACATCAGCAAGGTTATTAGGTCCCGGGGCATCCTTGTGATGACCGTGGCCACCCCGCTTGCCGTGGTGACGCTTTCCAGTCTTAGCAGCGGCAGCGGAGCCTAGACTAGGGAAAGCATCATTGTCGTCCACTGCAAGTACTGATGGTGTAGTAGCACGTGAGGTTTGGCGACTGCCGGTTCTAGATTGCGGACGACTACCGCCTCCAGGGGTGAAGTTGGCAAATGGGCTAAGTCCTGGTGGAGGACGTGTAGGGCCACCGCTAGTAAGACCATAGAGCTGTTCCAAAGAGGTTGCAGCTGATGTTATCGATGGGGTACCTAGGGGTGAGCCGTTGTAGTGGAGTGTAGGGAACTCATAATCAGACATCTGGAAGTTTGGTATAGGTGGAGTCTGGACGTCTGAGACAGCCATACGAGCCATGAGAGCAGAGGGATCATGTGAGAAGAGGCATGTGTCACCAGCTAGACAGTTTCCATTTAGGAAATATCTGCAGTGAGCGTTAGCTTAGAATACCCAGAGGCATGTGCATACACCTACTTGCATAATGTCTTGCTGGTATCGTGGCTGAACCTGCAATCTGCTCTGGCACAATGTCCTGTTGATAGGAAGTATTTGCACACGATGTTGCTTTTCTGCTGGCCTACGGGTGTGCTAGGTCTAAACGCCGGACTCATAGACTTTCCGATGACATATCCAGGATGCTCTGAAGGAGTAGTGGGGAGTTGTTGTACGTCTAGTTGCTGCCCCATTAGTGCAAGCAGGGCAGCACTGAGGTCATATCCATTAGCCTCCAAGACCTTCTCAAGCTCTTCGTCTGATCGGTCGTCCCTCAGAATGGAGCGCAACATGTCGTACGGGCCCATGTCCATGGTCTGGGGCTGCACCCATTCGGCCGCGGCACCGTTGAGCGTGCCGTCACCCAGGAGGGAGGACTCTGTGCTTGCAGCATCATCGTTGACCAGCCAGTCGACGGAGTGGCCATCGAGATCGCCATAGGACTCTGTGTTCGGACTTGCGCACTCGCTGAACTGGTATGCGCTCAGGCTGGGGCTATGGGGGATATGCGGTGTGGAAAAAGCAAGTCGGGGCGAGGGTCGCGGCGAAGTAAAGGGGGATGCAGTCGACGACTTTGTGCGTGCGAAGCCGGGTGGACCTATGCCGAAGCCTGGTGGAGGGTGCACCATGCGCGGAGAGTTGTTGACGGGAGTCGGAGCGCGGTTGGCCTGCCAGGGAGCTGGCGAGGGCCGGCGGATGATGGTATGACGACTGGGAGGAGAGCTGGAAGAGCTGCCGGCGTCGCGGTAGCGCCATAGGCAGTCCAGGACAATGTTCTCGAGGGACTTGCCGGTGAGGTTTGTCTCCTTGCGCAGAAGCTCCTCGAGCTTGTCCGTCTTGTCCTCCTCGTCCAGGGCCTCGTCCTGCAACACAGGCAGCGCCTTTTCGTACAAGTCGTCGGCGACCATGGTGATTGATTATTTCCAAGCAAGGAAAGAAGTATATTGGGGTGATAGGCGGTCAGAAGTGGCGCGCGGGATGGGCGCTTGAGGTCAGAGGTCTTGGTCGAGACAGGAGGCCGTCGGGGGTGATTACATGTACTGCGGGTAATGGCAGAGGAGCGACCGGCGCGTCACAGAGGGAATGAAGCTGCAACGAAGGGCAATAACCAGTCCCGCAGCCTTTCTCTGCAGGACACACCAAGTGCGCCAAAACGGGCAGAGTGAATGAATGCCTGGGGCGATCGCGAGCGCGAATGAAGCTCGAGGGACTAGGCTCAACTACGTAGGGGTGGGGGATGCTTGCACCGTGCAGCAACGTCGACCATACAGCGGGAACGGTAATCTCCAACACTTGGTCCCGGACTTGCCCTACATGGCCCTGGAGCCGGTAGTTGCTGATGAAGGGATGAGTGTGATGTGCGTCTGGGCTGAGCGTTGATGACGGCCAGGGCTGAGATTGCAGAGCTGAGATGGCATTCGTCGGCGGAAAAGAAGCTGCAACATATGCCTCAAGTATCCTTCGAATAGGCTCGTGGACGCCACACGGCCGCCAGAGGCTGCAAGAGGCTGAGCACGGTCACGTGTCTGGGTGTTTGTTGCGGGTCGGTGGAGACATGCACCGGAGCTGTCGACCTTTACCTATGCATTTGATACTGCATAGGCCTGGGTTCACGCGCATCAAAATGTAGCTGTCAACACTCTCTCAATCTTCAAACGCCATCGACACGCATGCCGAAAAGGAATGTCGTTTCAACTCGGGGTAGATCTGATCTGATCGCCTAATGCAGGGCGGATGCACCTCGTTCGTCCGCCCGGATGACGATGAAACCAAGAGCTCTCCAGCGGCGCTCCCACTAGCATTAGCATCTCACACCAGAGCTGTCTCCAACCCTCTACTATCACCACACGGAATGTCCGTCTCCACTCGTATCAGCTAACACCCTCCCATTACCCTCTTATTGAATTCCATATCCCATTCACATCTTCTTACCTCCGCATACATCCGTGCCACTCCGCTGAGCACACCCCCCAATACTTAACGTAGGCATCAGCTAGCATGCCCGCGAGCGATTATGACGTCCGCGCTCTTGCGCTCCCATTAGACGACGAGGAAACAGGCCAGACGCCGATATGGAGTCGACGTTCGCAATCATCTACCTTCCGGCGCAATCCCTCGCACCAGAGCCAACAGAGCACATGGCGGCAGCGCGCCATGGACAAGTACGATACACTCTCGCGACGAGTCCTGGACCAATACAATAAACTTTCTCCCTTGCAGAAAATACTCTTCTTCGTTGGGAATTTGGTGTTGGCAGTAGGCGGCATACTGTTCTTGGTTTACAATGAGCGCATATTCGGGGCCTTGCTACCCGTAGCGAAGAAGTGGAGAGACGTCACAGCCGGATGGCTGATACTCTGGGTCTTGATCTTTGTTGTATCGTTCCCGCCCTTGATTGGGTATTCGAGTTTACTCACCATTGCCGGTTTCGTCTATGGCTTTCCTAATGGGTAAGGTTATTAGGACATTCACTACATCCAATCTGACATTAGACCAGTTGGTTCATAGCCGCAACAGCGACAGTCGCCGGCAGCACAGCGTCCTTCCTCCTTTCGCGTACCCTCCTCAAGAACATGGTCCACCGTCTAATAGCGAATGACACGCGCTTCGCCGCCCTCTCCCTAACCCTCAAGCACGATGGTCTAAAACTCCTCGTCATGTACCGACTGTGTCCGCTACCATACTCCATTTCCAATGGCGCTGTCGCAACCTTCCCAACCGTACACTGGGCGTCATACGCTCTAGCTACTGCTATCGTATCACCAAAGCTTATGCTACATATTTTTATCGGCAGCCAGCTCGAGAAGATTGCTGAAAGTGGAGGTAAAATGGACCCTAGTACAAAAGCTCTATCCTACGTTTCCATATTCATTGGCCTCATTGCGGGTGTTACCACAGGCTGGCTCGTATACCGCAAGACCAAGGCCCGGGCTGCACAGCTTGAAGCCGAAGAGCGTGCGGGTATTCGGCGTATGAGTATCGAAGATTTGGAGAACGAATACGCGGATGACCCAGGAGCGCTGGAAGCTGCCGAACGGTTACGTGAAGAAGACGATGATATCAGTCTTCGGACAACCTGGGACGATGAGTACAGAGATGAGCCTCCAGAGACGGGTGATGCCGTGGACATCGGCGATGACCCGTTCAAGGATGGCGATGCCAGTGACAGCGAGGAGCGAGGACGAGGAAGGCAGAAATAGATGCATTTGCATAGAAGAATTTTGCATACGTCGCTTAGGTATGGCGAATACCTCCTATAGACTATTAGAATCGAGACCGCATTGTCAAACTCCTTTGCCTTTATCAGACTACCTTGTCATATCTTAAGTGTTACGACCAACAAGTAGTGCCTGACTACCTGCCATGGGAATGTCTACCCTGCTAGACTCGGTATGCTCCACAACTCGGGGACTTCTGTTGCCACTCCATGTCCGTTCTTCTAATAGTGCTGGCTATCTTAGTATCCTCAGGGTACTTCTTCCTACTACAATAAAATGTACCAAGAGTTATATAGATACAATAAAGTATCCAGAAGTCTACAATGCTGTTGATGTGTGTAAGTTTTCTGATTAGAAGCCAATGTAAGCTGCAAGGTAAAGCTTGTTATCTCTATACCTGTTCAGTATTACCCTTGTATACGGTATTAGACTTGACCTAACGTTAGTCATCCTAGGTGACCAAATGGGATATCATGTAAGATCAGTGTTCTTGTTAGCGTCAATGTCACGGCCATCACACTCATAGCATAGATCTAACAGAGGAAACGTTCATTTGTCATATACAGAGCCCAGCCACCCCATTCTCATGAGCTGTATATGTACCGCTAACAAGAGCACAGGGAATCACAAGAGGTATTCGTCGACCAAGGTAGGCGTGCGTTGCCAGGCTGAGGTCAATGCAGAAAAACGAACAAATCTTCCATATTGAGACACAGCTGATGGCGAGGACGCATCTTCTATTATACATCTATTCTCAAAGACCAATCAGCACTTTTTGGCCCCTCAGAACATTGGAATAGACAATACCCACTCTTCCAGCCTTCAACTCGTTTATGCGACGAAGCTCTTGGTGAAGCTCGATGCGACCTCCTTGAGCTTAGCCTCGAGATCCTTGCTGAGAGCACCTTCCCGGTCGATCTGGGCGAGCATCTCGGACTCGTTCGATCGGAGGTGGGCAAGGAAGTCAGCCTCCCACTGGAGAACCTTGTTGACTGGTACGGAGTCGAGGAGACCGTTGATACCAGAGTAGATCAAAGGAACCATCTCGTTGACGGCCATGGGAGAGTACTGCTTCTGCTTGAGGAGCTCGGTGAGACGCTCACCACGGGACAAGGTTTGCTTGGTCGCAGCGTCGAGATCGGAACCGAATTGGGCGAAAGCAGCAACCTCACGGTACTGGGCCAAGAAGAGCTTGAGGGAACCAGCGACTTGCTTCATGGCCTTGACCTGGGCAGCGGAACCGACACGGGAGACAGAGAGACCGACGTTAATGGCGGGACGGATACCCTTGTAGAAGAGCTCAGCCTCCAAGAAGATCTGTCCGTCAGTGATGGAAATGACGTTGGTAGGAATGTAAGCGGACACATCACCACCCTGGGTCTCAATGACGGGCAGAGCGGTGAGCGAACCACCACCGAGCTTGTCGTTCATCTTGGCGGCACGCTCAAGGAGACGAGAGTGGAGGTAGAAAACGTCACCGGGGTAAGCCTCACGACCTGCAAAGTTGAAAATTCGAAGTCAGTGCATGTCTCACAGGCGTTTGATATCGTCATAGCTTACCAGGAGGACGGCGGAGCAACAAACTCATTTGACGGTAGGCAACGGCCTGCTTGGTCAAATCGTCGTAGATGATAAGAGCGTGCTTGCCGTTGTCACGGAACCACTCTCCCATGGAGCAGCCACTGGGCGTAATAGTTAGCGAGATAGGTCGATGACAGTCGAAAACGATGTCGAAAACACGGTGAACTCAGATCGAACAAGAAGGAAAGGTAACAGGTATAGCGCAGCAAGACATGTTCCAAAAGTGCCCGGAAACCAGTTTTCAGAACTCCAAGCCAAGCTCAGAGAGCGTGTCGGAGTCGATGTCAGAGAGGAAGTCTGAGCCGCAGTCTGAATCACATTCAGAATCGACGTCGTCGATAGCATGCTCAGAGTCGACGTCCTCGATTGCCTCATCGGCAGCAGCGGCAGCAGCGGCATGCGAGGGAAGGGTGAGGTGCCTCCTCAGAGTATATGCTTCACCAAAGAAGTGAACACAAGTATGGCAGGGATACCTCTGTGAAGCCTTGTTCGCGTCGCGCAGCCTCTTGGACCGAGCCGCCTGTGCTCCGCGAGTGACGATACCGCCATTGGCGATTGTTGCGACGTTCTTCTTGTGCTTGGCGGACTTCATGTGGATGTCTTTGAAGTATTGCTGGTTGAACACGGTATTGCAGACGTCGCAGGCAATCTTTCGTGCCTTTCTGACCTTTGTGAAGTAGGTCTTAGACCAGACATGCCACTTGTGACGGTTCCTGCGGATAGAAGCTAGGCTTCTCTCCTTGTGACGTGCGTGTTTTCGAGCTGCTCGATTCTGAGCAATAACGGCGAGGGCTTCCGGTGATGTCTCAGTGTCGCCACGACAATGCTCACGGAGAGCAATCTGACCATTCAGAGGGAGCCAACAGGCATCATCCCTAGACCAGGGCATGATAGGATGCCAGATGCCGTCCAACTGGTAGACAGTAGACGAATAGAAGAGCATCTGGAATAAGCCCTCAAGGCTGAGGAATCGCTGTCTGGCACGCGTGACGAGGCCCATGGGAGGCATATCATACCAGCATAGGAGCGTAGTGTGGGTCTTGACAAACCCTTGAGCGACGGCATGCTTGACGAAGCGAGGAAGCATTGACGGGACTTGCTTCTCGTAATGGGAAAGTCGCTCTTGTGCACCGTAGTCGGCGTTGGTAGCAGAGCCTACATAGATACGAGGCTCACGACCTTCGAGCTCATAGACGTGCAGGTAGACAGCCCATGTCTTGGAAAGGGCTTTCGGGGCTGGGGCAGCAGCGAGGCTCTTCAGGTCACCGAGTGATGGTGGGGAAGCAGCGTTGACCATCTCCAACAGACCGTCGGCGAAAGTGAGTGGTATGGAGGTGCAGGCCTCCTGGAAACTAGTTTCCGTAGGGTAGAGAACCTTGTAGATGGGGTGGACATACCACTCGGGCAGGCCGAGTTGGAGGACTTTCCAGAGCAGCTCATTGACGTAGCTGCCGAAATCGACAGGGTCGATTTTCGACTGGTTGGCCATGTTGGCGGTGGCGTCTTGTGAGCTGAGTAGCTGAGCGAGCGGCAGTGAAGCTGGAGTTGGACTTGGTGCTCGAAGCTCTACTCAGAGCTCGGTGCTCGAGGATGGACGGAGACGAGACAGCGACGAGATGGATGCCATCGCCAGACATCATGGTGAGTCCGTCCCATGCTGAGAAGGCAGGAACCCTCGTGAGGAAGCGGCGCTGCAGCCCACACCCGAGTTCACCGTGTTTTTGCCGCGACCTGCAATGGGAAGGAGAGCAGGTCGCGGCAAGTGAGGCACACCCAGCACCTTGACACAGGTGAGGCCGTTCAACCACACGGCAACCAAATCGACGCGGTCGATTCTTGGAGAGATTGGCCATGTTGGCGGTCATGGCGATGGACGCTGTCCAAACAGTAAAGAGATACATGCAGTGCAAAGAAGAAAAGAAATACATGTGGTGCAAGTAAAGGCACAGAGAAGGGTGCCTTCCGTAGCTGAGTTTCCCAACTCGGCTAGCGCGAAAAGTCTTCGGGTGAGAGAAGACACCCTCGAAAACAACGCGAAAGTATCGCAATGCAGGACAAATCAACGAAAACAACAACTAGGAGATTAGAACATACCTGAAAGGAGCCAGATATCATTAAGGCAGTTAGTACATGTTTCGAAAGCAGTGGGAAATTACTTACTGCAGGGGCGCAGCCTCGGAGGCAGTGGCGGCGACAATGATGGTGTACTTCATGGCGTCGTTCTCCTCAAGGGTCTTGACGAGCTGGGCGACGGTGGATCGCTTCTGACCGACGGCGACGTAGATACAGTAGAGCTTCTTGGTCTCGTCGGTACCCTTGTTCCATCGCTGTCTAGGATACAAAGTCAGTATTTGTCTGGCTTGCAGTTGTTATCGAAATTACGTACTGGTTAAGCATGGCGTCGAGGGCAACGGCGGTCTTTCCGGTTTGACGGTCACCAATGATCAACTCACGCTGACCACGTCCGATGGGAACCATGGCGTCGACAGACTTGAGGCCAGTCTGTACGGGCTGGTTGACGGACTGGCGGGGCAAGATACCGGGGGCCTTGAGCTGAGCACGGCGACGCTCGGTGGTCTTGAGGGGACCCTTTCCATCGATGGGGTTACCGAGAGCGTCAACGACACGTCCGAGAAGAGCCTCGCCGACGGGAACGTCGACAATCTCTCCGGTACGCTTGACGGTCTCACCCTCCTTGACGAGACGGTCAGAACCGAAAAGCACAACACCGACCTGGCCGGCTTCCAAGTTCATGCACATGCCCTTGACACCGGAGGCGAACCTGCCACCCGTTAGCTTCCGTGAACGTTTGTCATGTTGCTCAATTGGCGTACTCGACAAGCTCCTCAGCCTGGACGTTGTTCATGCCGTGGACACGGGCGATACCGTCACCGACGGAGAGAACACGACCAGTCTCGGAGAGGGAGTTCTCCTCCTGGACACCGCGGATCCTCTGCTCCAGGATGGAGGAAACCTCGGTGGGGGTGGCCTTCGCTTCGGCGGCGTAGGATCGGGTAGCGTTGATGAACGCGGGAGCGCGGGCCTGTGGCGGAGAAAAGGTATCAGCACTGCATCTCGGTAGAGGGGAGCTCGTTCCGCCCAGCGCAGCCCACGCAGTTCCATCAACGAAGCTCCATTGCGGCACCAATGGCATCGGATATCGGTTCTTGGGGCTACTGGCGATGGCTGGACGGTGCGGCAGGCGCAATTGCAGGCGGTTGCGATGGACTTACCGACGCAATCCTGCTCGTGGCAGAGATTGCAGCGACCCGGCGGCTCGACTGGCGGATGGCCCTTGAGAACATGGCTGCGGCTGCTCAAGAGTCTATTTCGGAGGCTCTGCAACCAATTGAGATTGATGCAGGTATGGAAGAGGGGAGATGGTGATGGAGTGGAGGATGGGGAGCTCTGCTGTGAGGAAGAAAGTCCTGCGGTTCGGGAGGAAAGCGCGGACCTTGGCGTCTACCACTAATCCTAAAAAAGCCGCATCTCAACCGAGCTCCATCACTACAACACCACTTTGGCCGCTCTGGAGGGTGATTCGGCCTGCACGCACTGGGTGAAAAGCCATCAGAGAAACTATGTTTCGTTTATCTGCATCTTGTGGTCATGTCCGGGACTTTGCAGCATATCTCGAGCTTGGCAGATGAACCTCAGTACATGGCCAAGTACCCCACACTTTGATAGAGATAAAGTAGACGATGGTGGATACCTCCGGACTACTTCTCGGTGTATGATACAACTCAGAAAACGGAAGCTCCTCTCAGCTTCGTGTCATCAAACCCCAAGTACCTACTTCAAAAGTCTGTGTTCGCTTTTCTTGCTTGCAAGCTCTACTCTCACCTACAGCTTAAGAGACAACAACGCCTTGTAAAGTATAACACATTCTAAATTGGTATCCTACTATGTTATATGAATCTCAAGAAACATGCAGCCGTTTATGCAAACTTGAACACCAAAGACAACATATGCCTCTAAGACGCCGCGTACACCTTGCTCCTGCGCAATGCTTTCTTCTCTTGCGGTATTCATACACTATTGCACTGTCTTCTGATCCCCCAACGCCTCCTTTGATTATCTTGCAAGTGCCAATAGCTGGGTGCTTATCTGCTCATACAGTATATATCCACTGTCGATGTCTGTCCTCATTTCGCAGAGCCGTTCTGACCCTTCTCCTTGCTCTTCCTGAACTTTACAATCTCCAGCTCAACGGCCTGGTCTATCCGGCGCTTCAGTTCGGGGCGGTAGCCGAGCTTGAAGAGTATCTCGAACCAAACGAAAAAGGGCGCCAGGAAGATGGCCTGCACGAGGTTGTCCAACAGCGCTGGGGCTCTTCCCTCGAACTTTCCGTGTCCGATGAACTGGGCAATCCAGCATGCGATGTTGACTGCGCCGGCCCAGGAGTTGGCAGTCGCACCATAGGTCGATGTGAGGTGGTTCGCATACGCGGTGCTGCCGATGAGAATTGGAGCCAGCATGGCACCTGCGACAGGCTCCATGAGAACGTACAACGTCGAGTACAAGACGGCCCCGACAGTGCCGACATTGAACGGGAGATTAGGTACGGAGAGCCATGACGGTAATGGAACGGCAGGCGTGTTGGTGAGCTACGGGCGTGTTAGAGAAAGCAGCGTGATAGCTGTCAAGATTCTCACCAGTAGGAAAGATGTCAACAGAATCGGAGGAACACAGAGCAAATGTATGCCGACGTTGACCTGACACATGGCATGTTAGTTGACATGTGAAGATGCCCCGTGCTGGTATCGCCTACTTTATTATGGTGGTATGCTCCGTACTACATTCCAGTCAGCTCAGTACAGACATCTGTTGAAGCATGACGTACGAAGACAAGTTGTTTCTCCAGATTGAGAGACATGATGCCGGATGGGGAACTTGGGCGCGTGTCAAAAGAGTGGGATGGCCGTCAAGAGACTAAATCATGTCTTGGAGATGCGGCGTGAAGAGGTCGAGCTCGGATAGCGTGGAAAGACCAGTGCACCGGCCGCGGGAGCCGAGAGGATGATGGCGCAGGGTGAATGGCTATCACGACATGGGTGTGTGGGGGTGCGCAAGCTGGCAGGTGGGAGCTGTGTCGCTGCTCGGGCCTTAGCGAGTGATTTTCCGCGCCGAGAGCCCTGCAGCCTTTGGAAGCTCAACCTTCCTGGCGCGACCATTGTTCTGCTAGCATTCACCACTCGGCCCACATCTGCTACCTCTGTATACCTCGGACTTCTACGAGCGGCGCGAACACTCTGGAAATTGTGCGCATGGGCTGCTGGATATAAGAATCTGGGCTGCGTTGCAGGCCGAAGGCGCGTCTCGCTGAAGCACGCGCGTTGAATACCACACACTGTCGACTCTTCACTGGGCCAGTCAGGATAAAGACAATAGAGTCGCGTAGTAGCAACCAAGGCCGTCCACCTGTCATTCCACCTTCTACCGATCTCTACCGTTGAACCGTGCAACTTCGTCTACCTCACCCCAAGACCCGCGCCCATCTACCTTACCGTATCCCTCGCACAACGCGCAACATGTTTTTCCTCAAAGAACTCGAGAAGACTATCCAGTTGCATCCGTCATACTTTGGTCCTCTCATCCGTCAGCACATCCATCGCGAATTGCTGCAGAAAGAGGAGGGATCGAGTACCGGAAAGTACACCATCGTGTGTATTCTGGACTCGTTCGATATCTCTGATGGCAAGGTCATGCCTGGCTCTGGATCTGCCGAGTACGTTGTGCACTACAAGGCAGTCGTATGGCGGCCCTACAAAGGCGAGGTGGTACGTGGCATTGTCCGACGGGATCATCGAGTCCTCTGCTAACCACGTCAAGATGGACGGCATTGTTACCTCAGTACTGCGTACTGGATTCTTCGTCGACTGCGGCTCTTTGCAGGCCTTTGTGGGACGTAGTGTAATTCTTACCATTCCTCTATGCACCTACCCGTCACTGACAGCGACAGATGATTCCCGCTGAAATCAAGTTCGACGCCAACGCTACACCGCCGCAGTGGACAGACGATGGAGAGCAGGTCATTGAAAAGGGTACCAACATCCGCATTAAGATCAAGGGTCTCAGATCCGAGGTGGACAAGATGTATGCCGTAGGCACCATGAAGGAGGTAAGGACGATACCTGTCAGTGTTATTGATTTTCGGCTAAGCAAGGCTTCTAGGATTATCTCGGTCCATTGCCGTCATAGACTGACAACTCGACGACCCCTGCCGACGCGCGCGAGTTTATCAACGGAAGCAGAGCGCCAGCGCCCGAGCAGCATAATCAAGGAGTTGTTTTTTACTGCAGAACCGAGGTCACTATTCGATGGAACCATCGACAACCCATCCACAACTCAACCACCGTAGAAACATGAGGCGTAATAGCGGGCTCTTGGCTGTATCAGTATCCGTGGGGAGTATGGCAATCACTTGGATGGACTCAAAAGTCTGGGAAACGCAGGGCAGTTGAGGCTCTGCATAGAAGCGTACGGCGTAAGGAAGCTATGAATTCTAGACTTGGCTCAGCTGGTATTACTACCCTTCCGATAATTCCCCAAATTGGGCTTGAATAGAAGACTATGTCTTGACTCCATTGTGTGCAAATCTTAGTGCAAGAACAGCCGGCCCCTTGCGTCAAAAGAGTGGCTTGGTATGTTTCGGCCAACACCAGCTCCCGCACCTCCGCGTGAACTCCGCAACTCTAAACACTGTCCATAACTCGCGCCTGCGCCTCGCCACTGTACCCTTTCTTTCAGGCTGACTTGTCAAATCTGGCATTACTTTTCAGCAGGATGTTATAACTGTTCTCACAATTAATCTTACTTGAACTTTACGATGCCGCGACAGCGCACCCCGAAGGAGGAGGAGACGGAGTTGCTGACCAAGGAAGAGAGATCCGCGCGCAGCTCAGAAGATGGCTCCGAAGCTTCCGTATCCTCGATCTCGACCACGTCGCTCGTTCTCGAACATATCAACGATCCAAGCATCAACCGCGCGTTGCATTCGAATCGTGGGGAGAAGTACACAGATGATGACGACTACGCAAGCCAGGCGCGCGAGCCGTTCGACGTCGAGGATGGGCGATACCAGGCCCCTCTTTCCGTAGACAAGAAGGCAAGAAGGTGGTTGTGGATTGTAGGAACAGCCTGTGTAGCAGGATGGGCACTTGCGCTCGTCTTCTTCTTGATGAGCGGTAGCTACAAGCATACTTCGTCACGGCCACACGACCCTCTCGCTACCTCTACCAAGGGCTCTGGGAAGAAGATTACAATGGACGACGTCTTTGGAGGCCGCTTCTATCCCCAACAACAAAGCGTCGCGTGGATATCAGGACCACAGGGAGAGGATGGCCTGCTGCTTGAGAAGGGCTCTGGGGACGAGGAATACCTGGTGGTCGAGGATATCAGGACCAAGGGCGAAGCAAAGTCTTCTGCGGGCAAGACCACGCTCATGAAGAAGAACACGTTCGAGGTGGATGGCACATACGTCTATCCCAGTGACGTTTGGCCAAGTAAGGACTTCAAGAAGGTGCTTGTCATGTCGAATTACCAGAAGAATTGGCGACACTCCGGTATTGCGAAATACTGGATCTTTGACGTCGAGACACAGACTGGCGAGCCTCTTGACCCTGAGCAGCCAGGGAGCATGATACAGCTGGCTTCGATGTCACCACAGTCGGATGCGGTTGTCTTCACAAGGGACAACAACATGTTCCTCCGCAAGTTGAACTCCAAGGAAGTTATTCAAATCACAAAAGACGGCGGCTCTGAGCTATTCTACGGCGTGCCTGACTGGGTATACGAGGAGGAGGTCTTTCAAGGAAACAGCGCGACTTGGTGGTCCGAGGATGGTCAGTACATTGCTTTCTTGCGCACCGACGAGTCTACCGTGCCAACTTACCCCGTTCAATATTTTGTCTCGCGGCCAAGCGGAGAAAAGCCTAAGGCGGGCGAGGAGAACTACCCCGAGGTTCGCGACATCAAGTACCCCAAGGCCGGCGCACCTAATCCTATCGTGTCGCTACAATTCTACGACGTCGAAAAGGGCGAAGTGTTCAGTGTCGATATCGAGGACGACTTCAGCGACAAGAACCGTTTGATCACCGAGATCATCTGGGCTGGGAAGACGAAGCAAGTTCTTGTTCGTGAGACCAATCGCGAGAGTGACATCCTGAAGCTCGTTCTGATGGACGTCGAAAAGCGCACCGGCAAGACAGTAAGAACCGAGAATGTCGCAGAGTTGGACGGAGGCTGGTTTGAAGTCTCTCAGAAGACGACATTCGTACCAGCTGATCCCGACAACGGACGCAAGGATGATGGCTATATCGACACAATCATTCACGAGGGTTATGACCATATTGGGTACTTCTCACCTTTGGACAGCGACAAACCTGTGTTGCTTACACAGGGCGAGTGGGAGGTTGCGGATGCACCTTCCCGGGTAGACCTCACAAATAACCTTGTGTATTACCTCTCCACTGAGAAGAGTTCAATGGAACGACACGCTTACTCTGTATATTTGAACGGTACTGGAAAGAGCGAAGTCTTGAAGGATGGGGGCTCAGGGTATTATGGAGCATCCTTTTCAGCGGGTGGCTCTTATGCCCTGATTTCCTACAAAGGTCCCGGTATCCCGTGGCAAAAGATTATCAGTACGCCATCGAACAAGGACAAGTACGAGAAAGTCATTGAGGAGAACAAGTCTCTCGATCGCTTCGTACGGTCACTCGAGATGCCCATCCTCAACTATCAGGCGATCACCGTGGACGGATTTGAACTGAATGTCCTTGAGCGTCGTCCTCCGCACTTCAACCCTAAGAAGAAATATCCTGTCCTCTTCTACCAGTACAGCGGTCCGGGTTCACAAGAAGTCGATAAGAAGTTCAAGGTCGATTTTCAATCTTACATTGCCGCTAGTCTTGGCTACATTGTTGTGACAGTGGACGGACGAGGTACAGGCTTTCTTGGTCGCAAGCTCCGATGCATCACGAGAGGCAATATTGGTTACTACGAGGCGCACGATCAGATCGCTGCAGCCAAGATTTGGGCTAGCAAGAAGTACGTCGATGCTGATCGACTTGCGATCTGGGGCTGGAGTTACGGAGGATTCAACACACTGAAGACGCTCGAGCAGGACGGGGGAGAGACATTCAAGTACGGAATGGCCGTTGCTCCTGTGACTGATTGGCGATACTACGATTCCATCTACACGGAGCGTTACATGCACACACCACAAAACAACGCTGAAGGATACGACAACTCTACCATCACCGATGTCACGTCCCTGGCGAAGAACGTCCGCTTTTTGGTCATGCACGGCGTCGCCGATGACAACGTGCACATGCAGAACACACTTACTCTGCTCGACCGACTGGATCTTGCAGGTATCGAGAACTACGACGTCCATGTATTCCCGGATTCGGATCATAGCATCTACTTTCACAACGCGAACCGAATCGTCTATGACAGTAAGTACACGGCTTTGTCAGGATTGCGAGGAAGTTACTAACGAAGCTTTAGAACTCAAGTGGTGGCTTGTGAATGCTTTCAACGGCGAGTGGTCGCGGATTACAAATGCAGTGCCCAAGACACAAGACGATGCACGGTCAATAACACGGTAGGATGTGCATATCTCAGCCCTCGCATGCACACTTTGGTGTGTATGAACTGCTTAGGCGTTGGATGGCGCAGGACATGGTTATCGCCTCGCAATGAAACTTTTTGTTATATGACCAACAATGCAAGCATTGTGTTATTCTGCAGTGTGAAAGTCAAAGCTCGTGACAAACATTCGCATATGCATGATCTCGTACTTGTTAATTCATCACTTATTAGCACCAGAGCAAAGCTGTGGAACATGCTTAGCACAGGCCCGCAATTGAACGTCACTTTGTGCCTACTTGACTATCGTGACTTGGCTACCACAGGCCTCGTTTACTTCACGTTGCGTAAGCAGAGGCGTTTGTCAGCCCGAAAGTGGCTGGATTCCGAGGAACTGTCATCAGCTGCTCATTCCCCTCTTGGACCCCACTTTTGGAAGTTACAATACATCACACACCGTAGACATGACAGCATCTTCGCCTGCCTTCTTGCCTGTATCGCTTCAATTGATTCCAGACTTGATATTCAATTGTATCTGATCTTCAAGATGAGCTTTGAGCCTAGCAATTTAGCAATTTGCGAAACATGCGGTACGCAGTTTGATGTTCCACTTGAGCAGCACCCAGAGACATGTCGGATCTGCGATGTACGTCCGTCACCAAACCCAAACTGCAGTCGAAAAGTCTGAAGAGTAAGTGATTTAACTCATCCTCAGGATCCCCGCCAGTACGTTCCCGCCAGCGGCCAATCCTGGACCTCACTCTCATCTACCCAGCCCCTCCAGAAGAACACTTTCGAAACCGACAAGCAAGACTCACGAATCCACTACATTACCACTGCACCTTTGTCCCCTTCTGAACTACCCCCTGGTCTCGCCGACTCCAGCACCACCCGCAAGCAACTGGGCATTGGACAACGCGCCATCTTACTCCAGACATCTGGTGGAAATGTTCTTTGGGATTGCGTCGCATTCTTGAACCCCGATACGATTAATTTCATCAAGGAAAAAGGCGGGTTGAAGGCGATTGTGATTAGCCATCCACATTTTTTTACGACTCACTTGGAGTGGGCGAGTGTGTTTGGATGTCCGGTATATCTATGTGGGGATGATGAGATGTGGTTGAATTGTAAAGATAAGGATGGTGTGAGGAAGTTGGTCAAGGGGGTTACTGAGATTGAAGAGATTGGAGGTGAGGCTAAGATGATTCAGTGCGGGGGTCATTTTGATGGTAGTTCGGTGCTGTGGTGGGACAAGAAGCTGTTTATTGCTGATACGTTCATGAGTGTGCCTGTTAGTTCCCCTCTATCCTGTCTCGTTGCGTCATGTGGCTTTGGTAAGATTTCATGAGCTAACTGGGAGAATAGTCTGGCTTCAACAACGCACACCGCGTACCAGATACAACATCGTATTCGTTCATGTGGGCGTATCCTAATATGATTCCGCTGACGCCAAAGGCGATTCACGGGATCTGGAAGGCGATCAAGCCATTCGAGTTTGATAGCACGTATGGAGGATTTCCGGGGCAGAATCTAAAGAGGCCAGACTTGAAGAAGCAGGTGTTGGAGAGTATGAAGATATTCTTGAAGAGGGCCGGACATGAGAATGTGGGAATCTTTGAGGAGAGTGTTTGAGAAGTCCTACGAGGAACAATGATATAGGGGACTGTGAGACTTGTCACGTCTCGTGGCCCTTAGTTGTGGCGTAGCGAGTAAATGCGACAGGACAAAGTAAAAGAAACACAGAGCTTGTATTCAAGGAACCAACCACCATCATTTCTACCACTGGTTTGTCATAACACCGTCCAATGCATAATATGGAGAACCACTGTACAATCGTAATACCGTTCAAGAAGAAAGAGCGCCCACGACGTCAAGATCCACATACAGGCTCTGTCAAGTACATGGTACCTATGCGAGAGAGCCCTCGAGAACCCAGATCTCACCATTGGAGACTTTGTCGGCTATGCTTGTGACCACGACGTCGGCTGGTTGGATCTGAAGTTGCAAGTTAGCTAAAAACTCATCAAGGCTGAATTGAGCGAAAGAATTAGTGATAGTAAGCAAAAATAGGAGGCTGTATGTACGAAACAGTCCGAGAGTCTGTTCCAGACCAATGTATTGGCAAAAAAAGAACCTGGGGTATCTGACTGAAGCCAGACGAATGCTGATGAGAGTGGGACTCGAACCCACGCCACTTTCGTGACCAGGAATATGTGTTAAGATAACCTTAACCTGGCGCCATAACCAACTCGGCCATCTCACCGTAACACAGTTAAATGTGATTGGTTGATTGATGAATATCGTTGGATTTGCAACACTGATATTGGTGGTTGTGTGGGCGGAAAACGAAAGAGCCCGGCGCACTGAAAGGTGGGGCGTGGGCATGTCCAACGAGATGCTGAGACTACCAACATAGCGGCGTGGCTTACCTTCTTTTGGCCGTCCTTGGACTCCCACCAGATCTCGTTTCCGGAAAGTGTCTTGACCTTCTTGCCCTCTTCCCACGGACTCTCTGGTATGATGTGCCGCTGTACGAAGCGCTCAAGGTTGCCCCGCGCGCGATCTTGCCCGCTGGTGCCTTCGTATGCGTCCGCGCCAAAGGTGCTATAGTCCTCGGGGTCTTCCCAAGGCTTTCTCTTCAGATCGCGCATAATGCTGTTGTTCGGTGCCAGCACCGTGGCGTTCTGCGAGGCGTTGTCTAGTCGTCCAGAGACTGTGTCGATGTCCCTGGTCAGGCCGCTGAAGATGGCGATGTTTTGTGTCTTGCCGATAACATCGGATATGATGACGCCAGTCGACACTTGTTCCTCAGGGTTGCCCATAATGTAGTCTCGAAGGGGCGACTGTTCGCTGATGATGTTGAACGACTGGATGATGCTCTCAAAGGGGCGGGCTTGCGCAGACGTGGCAAGGAGTAGGGAAATGGCTGCGAAAGGGTATGCGACGACAGATCCGGGCTTCATGATCGCTCAAGGCTGTGCATTAGGATGTCGTTACAGGTTCTGAGTGAACGCGGCGTTGGAAGGTGGGAAGCACAGACGTCATGCCGCGGTGAAGCCAAGACCTCGTGATCGCGCGCATGATCGTCGGGCGCATTCTGAGCTTGGAAACCCTTTCTTCTAGTCCTCACTCATGTCTTCACCAACGTGATATACCGCGCCTCGGAGCGCGCGCTTATCCCTGCCGCTCTAAAAACCAAACACTAGCCATGGAGCTCCAAATTCCCACCGTCACTGTTGTGAGTGCAACAGCCTGGAGTCTGCACTCCAGGAGGTAGCAATTTGCTAACGTAGTCTAGGACGATTTACGCGCCTTTCATGCACAACACTTTCCACACGCGTCGGCGCCAGAACACGTCTTACACGGCTTTGGACCAGAAGCAGAGGCGGCCGAAGAGTACTTCGACGAAGCAGACGATGGGTTAGGCTACTACCCTGACGGCACGAAGCGCACCCTGACAGACGAGCAAATTGCCATGTTCCGACATTCGGAAATTCATGCTATGCTCCGCAAACGGCGGCTACAGAAAGAGAACGGCGAAGTCTCCGATGGCAAGGCTGTCTCTGCGAGTCCACCACCACCTTGTCCTCCAACACAAGAGGACTCACACAAGCCCGCAGATGTTGACAACACACAGCCTGATAAACCTTCAGGGTCGAAGAAACAACAGTGGGCGACCACGAGCGCAACGACCAAAGCTAAGAACAAGAGAAAACGAGATAGATATGCGAAGAGGAGAAAAGAAATAAGGCTGGAGAGAGGCTTGCCGCGAAGAAGAAGTGGCCGTGATGGCGCTGACAGCGGTGACAGCGACGATGGGAGCGACGAATGGGATGCATGGCATCAGGCTAATGGGCCTGATGTGCAGAAAGACGACACCCTCGATCTCGACTACTGAAAAAGGCAACCACTACAACGTATTGGCCACCCACGACAAAGGCAACGTCCCTTCCTGCCGTCCCTGCTAGCTGGCAACAGATATCACACCCTCAGCCGACCTGAACCGTAAGTACTTTGTTCTCTTCATTTTCATGTGCAATGATGCAATCTTAGTTATCATCCTTAGGCGGAGGTGGTGCTGGGCTTGAGACGAGAGTAAAGACTGCTTGCGGCCTGATCCCTTGACTCGTCTAGCACCATCTATGATGAGTTTAAAATCTTCTCTCTGAGCACATTCGTTCTTGCTGCAGTCATTATAGCCCGATCGTGTACCTGTACTGACTGTCACTAGAGGTATTTTCATGAAATATTGACAACGATTTCTACCTGGAGGCAGTATGAGGCGCGCGTCGGTAAGAGGCAGTTATTGCTATATGATGGCAATGATGAACTCTTAACACCTTGTTGGCGTGAGTTTTCTGTCGGCAGTCTTTGGGATCAATGCCTACCCTGTTCCGTGAGCCTCGCGTCCGGTTGGAGGCAATACTGTGTTGATCAAGTAGCAACCCGTATGTAGTAATTCACGTTACTCTAGTAATCTGTTCTCACCCGTCTCCAATCCCGTGTCCGCGTGCTTGCCTCCTTGCTCACCGAACGCACGGTCTCACGCTAGTCAGGCGTGATTTCCATGATACGGTTAACTGCTCTTTCCTTTCCTTTACCTTGAGTATCAATCTTCGAACATCATCTCACATTGTTTGAACAACACCACGCTCAGATCGTCAGTCGCCATGGCGCCCCGCAAGACCACCGCTGGCGACAAGATCCCGAAAGCAAAGAAAGCATCCATTATCAAAAAGAGCGAAGACAAGGTTATCAAGCGGCCCGCCCGCGGATATCACAAATTTCGGAATGGTCTGCTGAATGTCGCGCCCAAAGGCGATGAGAAGGAAATGTGAGCATACCCGACATCCTATAATGGGTAACAGCTAAAGTACCGTCAGCACCAAGCAGAATCGGACCTCTCCACTTCTACAACTACCGCCTGAGATTCGCAATGTTATCTGGAAACTTGTAAGGAAACACCACTATACGAATTATATCTGAGACATACACTGACTTCCTACGTCGACGTTAGGTGTTAGGAGGAAAAGTATGTCGGACGTGGTTGTGTGGCCAGGTTGAGTCTTCACCGACACATACGAAGAACGCCATGGCGCTTCTGCGCACTTGCCGCCAGGTGTATGCAGAAGCTGCAATTATGCCGCTTACGCTTACGATATTCTCGACCGATTGCCTTTCGTACGCAGCAAGGGATCTGAGGAAGCTGGAGCCACACCAACGCAGATTGATCACATTCTTTCAGATGAACAGTTCTCATCCCGCCAACATAGGTCGTCTCTGTCGGCCCTACAGCTTAATTGCAAAATTACTCCCTTGCCTTCAAGATCTGCATATTCGACTCTTCGAGGTCTTAGATACATCAACTCATAAGGCCAACGAGGAGTGGATACGTGGGTATCTTGAGCCAGGCATTCAAAACAAGCCGATCACTATAAAGATTGAACAGACTGATCAGAAGTGGATCAACGTCAATAATGCCTAAGATGGTGAGTAAGACGACGAGGATCCGCAATCCTCTTTTAGGCATGTACTGACAAAGCTATGGCTACGCAGACCTCTTCTGTGAAGTAAACGGCACTTTGAGATTCTTTTTTCTTTCCACTTTACAAGTGACCGGGGTAGTCACGAGGACCTAGGGTGTCAATCTGTATCGATGGGGAAAAATGTGTATGACAGGCTATGCCGGAGTGCGGCCTTAAAAGCTTTTGATTCTGATACTGATACATAGCTCAGAGATATAAGATTCATACTCTGCTTAATATTCTCGTTCTAGAAGCACATCTCACTAATCTACGATCAAACTCTCTTCTAAGTTATTACTACCATTAAAACAGGTACTACGAATACATACCTGTCAATATGTGTTACCGCTTCAATAGGAAAGTGAAAGTATATACCTTCGGGGTAAATTATAGTGTTTAGTAGTACAACTCGGTAGCCACTCACCTCCTTCCTCTTAACTTGTCTGAATCACCTCTCAGGGTCCGTTCGGACTTTTACTTAGTAATTGAGCCAAGGTATCTTTGTATTTATCAGCTCAGCTTCCTCGATTTTGTCAGTCATTTAATCACATCTTCCAGAACCATTGACGATATCATAATGGCACCTCGCAAGCTTTACCTCGAGAACCAGAAAGCCTCTACCAAAGGCACAAAGGCCTTTATCGACGCGGGAGTAGTGAAGCGCCGGTACAAGAAGGTTCGCTTTCACGAGAATGGGCTAATCAACGTTGAACGAAAAACCGGAAAGTACTTTAAGATGTGAGTAACTGAGTCAAGGTGTGGTTGACACTTCTTGCTGATTTCAATGCAGGGCGAGAGAAAACCAACAGGGTTCACCATTGCTACGCCTCCCACCAGAGCTGCGTTGCTTGGTCTTCGAATATGCGCTTGGTGGCAACACATATATGATCAGACACCACCGGAAAAGCAAGTCAATAAAGAACACAACAGTAGCAAAGCATGCTCTCGCTTTGCTCTCCGTCTGCCGTCAGATCTTTGCCGAAACTGCTCTCCTGCCATTCAGCTTGAACACGTTCTCGGTCTTTCGCCCTGTGGTATTCAAAATGTGGATCAAAAGCTTTCACCCAGCTTTTGCCGAAGTTGTCACTTCCGTACGCATCGACACGCTAGCCCTGTGGTACAAAACGCATGACAATAAGCATCGAGCTCAATACACTCCTCTTGGCAATTCCAATATACAGTTATCTTCTATGCTCACCTCGCTCAAGGTCATACAAATTGCTCTTATTGTCAAAGCTACGTCCATGGAAGATACAAATGTGATGGAGGAGCTAAACAAGCAGGGGGAAGAAATCAGAGGTTTCTACGAGTTGGCGAATGGCGGTATCAAAGTCAATTTGACCCGAATCATTGAGTAGCATAGTTCCCTTAAGATTCGGTAATCCAAGCTGCCGAGTTCGGTTCTACTGAGAGTGGTTGATGATAACAACCGGGCGTTGCGGGAGGAGAAGCAGGATTGGCGTCATGGACTATTTGTTAAAGAACCAGATGTCGAGAGAATAGAAACCTCCTTGCAGTTTAGTTGTGTATGCTCCTCCTGATACCTATTTCTACTAGCAGTTTCGAGTACATCCAAACGGAAACGGCAAGACCGCGGGACTCTTGTAACCTCCCTTGCCTACACTTCTTACTCCAAAGATGACATTATCCTTGTGGATTGTCGCAGAAGTAAGATTGAACCAGTTCACGTTGCCTACCTCAATCACATTTGTCCAGTGCGGCTCGATGGTGTCGCGATACAAGATCTCATATCCTTCTACCGGCAAGCCCTTCGGCGCGTCCCACTTGAATTGACTGAAGTTATCGGATGTTGTGGTATTGATACCAACGTTGGTCGGCTCTCCAGGTGCGTTGGCTAAACTCCACATCGTGGATGCTACGACTTTAGCAGCGCGGGTGTTGTACTCGAAGTCTAGCCATTCGACTAGGTCACCATATTGCTTGCCATTGCGTACAGTGACATTTTGACTAGATATGGGTGTATGAAGTCAGAAAATGTCTCACATATAGTTCAGGTACGTAAACTTACTGCTGCTGTGTGTAGTCTTCGTTAGGTTGAACGAATCGGACACCTGTGTATCCTGCTTCTAGGAAAGGGCGATGGTCGCCGCCCCTGCTGTAGCGATCCAGACGGTATATAAGGCGGACTGTCATCTCAGTGAAGGCGTTGGAGGCTACTTCATATATGAAGCGACCTAGGTTACGAGCAGGGCTGTCATTGTCACCGCCAATGCTGAGACGGGAGGTAGTCGTTGTAGAGTTCTCTGTCAGAGGTGTGCCCTGGCAGAAGAGGCGGATGTTGTAAGGATCGACAGTACCGTCTGCGGCTTTAGAGTTACCAACCATATCGAGGTTTATCATACCAGCTACATTCACCGATGCGTTCTTGTAAGTTTGCGCCAGATTCTCCGCGCCGAGCAAACCCTGCTCCTCTCCCGCAAAGGCTGTGAATACAATGGTGGTCTTGGGCTTGTAATGCGCAAAGATGCGAGCAAGCTCTAGGGAGACCGCAACTCCCGAAGCATCGTCTACAGCACCTGGAGCATCGCCCTGGTAGTCGATAGGATCGCTGTTGCGCGAGTCATAATGCCCGCCTGTCACGTAGACACGATCTGGGTCCTCGCTGCCTTTTAATGTTGCTACTACTGTGGTAATATTAACCGGGAAGATGATGCGTTCGTTGTCCCCAGGGTATTTGATGAAGCTACAGCGGTGAAGATAAGAAGTTAGTACATGTCTCACATGCATTCCGTACAGGCACAAATACCTGTTCCAGTCCACAGTCATTCTTCCTTCGCTCGCATCAGCGGCTTCTTGGAACTGAGCTGTAAGCCATGTTCTCGCAGCGCCGATACCTCGGACCGGATCGGTTTGACTTGACAGGGTATGACGCGTGCCAAATGAGGCAAGTTTTCGGATCGTGCCCTCGATGTTATCGCGTGATATCTGTGAAATAATGTCTTGAAGGTCTTCATCCGGCATTTGTTGCTCCAGTGGCTTGCCGACCACTGGTAGGGGCCATTGTTCCGTACTAGGGAATGATTGATGAGGATGGTGTACGTGGATCGGTGACGACAAAGCAGTTTGTAGCAGTGCCGCTGTGCAGACTGCGAAGATGGGCGTGGTCCGCATATTGGTTGGACTGGGATATTGACCTCAATTATAGATGTCATGTTGCCAAACGTCAAACTACAACTTATACTTCAACGCTTTTGCCATCCCACTCTTCACGACAGGCAGGCAGTCGACTGCCGGTATCTCCAAAATATTGCGATACCGCAGCAGCTACCGTCACCGGAGTAATGCAACTCTTGCTATCATGGCTCTTAACAGCGCAGATCATGATCATAAACGGAAGCTCGAAATGTTACCAAGACGCCAAAAGGAGCATTAGGGAAGACTTCAGCAGCTGTTGCTGCATGCTATGCTTGGCAACGGGTACCGTGTGCGGGGTTCTCCATTGAGCTTCCGAACGTTTGCGACGACGTGCGATAACACCAGTTTTCTCCCAAATCAGAAGACTATTAGTAACGTGGAAATGACTTTGCACGATTTGCAACTTGTTATTGGATGGTTTCGTGATGGCGCTGGTAATGCTGGTGTCAGTTATTCGTCAAGGAACCAGATGCCTGGAAGTATCGTTCAGCGTTACCCAGCAATCAACTTTCGTTAGCCTTGGTGCCAGTCTAGGCAGATAGGAGTGTATTCCATCCTTGAATGCACGGGCTTCCAGAATTCGAGTTCGTTTAACACCTATCAAGGAGGCTGGTGTTGGTGCTTGGCATGACATCATCGCATTGACATGGGAAGCCACCAAATTGCAACGATGCGACCTGGGGATAGTGATATGCCACTAAACACAACTGTATGCAGCAATGTCTTGTCGTCGAACATACATGCAAGCCACAAGAGGCGGCTGAAGTTCGGCGCTGTATCGAAGTTTTCTCACTGATCGACACTTCATAGCGCCGCTACAGGCTTGACAGCCTCGGCATAACGAATCGTATCGTCGATGGTTCTCACGTTGCGCAGCGTTGGCTGTAATCATGTTCTCTATTCGTCCTGGAAACACCATGTTCAACCCCACGTGTTTCATAAGCAGCCGGCGGTACCTGGGGTTCACTAACGTGAAGAAGAAGGTCGCGGAGAAACCAACCAGAAGTAGGAGTCCGCAATAAAGGGCCGATGCATCGCGCTGCATGTCATTTAAAGCGTCGGGGGGAAACTGGACGACCACTGGTCAACGTGAATGGATCACTTGTAGTCATTGGGTGTCAATGGCGGTAAACAGGAACCATCAAGGTCAACGACGCGGAGGAGAAGGTCGAAATGGTAGAAAGAGATGTATGGGTAAGGTCTGGTGACAATTAATGCCAATGTGCTTACAAGAGACGATGCACTAGCGCAAAGAACAGTACTGTTGTGGTAATGACCATGTTCATTATGCATTGGGAGTGTGGTGGCTCGGGATACAAAAGGTTGAACACAGCACCTATTCTTGATGAACCATCGCTACTAGTTTTTGCGGAATCCCTTCGTTTCTTCCCATCAAGTACTGATAATCTTTCACCATGAAGACTAGCGCTCGTTCCCTCCTCGCTCTTGCTGCCCTTCTCACCACCGCCCTTGCTGCGCCGACACCAGCAAACGGAGTGAGCTTCCCTATCACCGACCTCCTCGACAAGGACCTTACTGTCGAGGAGTATGCGGCACAGCTTGAGAACCAGAGCGTTGAAGAGCGTGGCCTTACCAAGCGCCAGTACAATGGTGACACTTACAACCAACTGACCGATGGTACTGCATGCCGTCCGATTACCGTCATTTACGCTCGTGGCACCACCCAAGGTACGTTGGATCTAAAAAAATATAAAAAAAACGAACATAAGACATGTGCTGATTTCGATTGCGTAGCCGGCAACGTTGGCGAGGCTGGCTCAGAAGGTCCGACTTTCTTCAATGCTCTGGCTTCTCGTGTTGGAGGAATCAGCCGCTTGGCCATCCAGGGTGTGAATTATCCAGCTAACGTCCTTGGCTTCCTGGCTGGGGGAGATGCTGCAGGAGCTACGACTATGTTCAACTTGATCAACCAAGTGAGTGCTGCGATCACCACGCTCACATTTATAGCGATGCTGACCTGGCATCTAGGCTGCCACTCGTTGCCCTTCAACCAAGATCGTTGTCTCCGGATACTCTCAGGGCGCACAGCTTGTACACACTGCTACCCAGAGGCTATCAGCTGCCCAAGCCGCGCGTGTCACCGCTGTTGTAACATTCGGCGATGCCGACCGTGACGAGACCTTTGGCCCTGTTGCCGCAAACAAGGTTCTCATCATCTGCCATGAGGGTGATAACATTTGCGACAACGGTATTATCATCACCCCCGAGCACAGGAACTACGAGATCGATGCTCCTACGGCTGCGGCTTTCGTTGCCGCACGTGTTTGAGGCCGATAGTGACTAAGCCTGGATGCAGAATAATTTTTGGTTAATTTAATGGTTATGACGACCCATGCCGCGCACTGATTGACCAAGATCTCCTAAATTTTCCTTGCTCTTCTTTCTAATACATGTGGAACACAAGTAAAGTACACCATGAACGACGAGAACGTAGGTGCACGAATTGCAATTCAGGAAAGTGGGAAAAGTCACCTTGACTAGTACGTGATATTCAGAGCTGCGTCTTTTCCCACTGCAAGCTTCTCCGAATCCCATCCACAGGTCATTTTGTAGTACTGACTGGAAGTTGTTGTCAAAACCCGCCTCTACTTTGGCATCAACGACTGTTACTCGACCTGGGCTAGGGACTTCAATACGATCGCTATATAAGAAGACGGGACACTCTAGTTGACGTTAGTGTCAAGTGGCATAACAGTGAAGAAAGATTCAGGCTGGCGAAACTGGAGATACATGTGTATAACGACAAAGCTAGAATCAGATTTGAATTGATGGGCAGATATACTCTTCATTATGTAAGGCGCATGCTGTCGAGCTTTTGCACCTTCCCGTTCGACGACTTGGAGAATTTTCAATTCCTACATCCTTAAGCGATCCCAACATAACGTGCTTCCCGTGTCTCATGTCGAAACGACGCATATATCCCAACTTTCGCGGATAAGCATCGCAAACCGACGAAAGCCGCGCTAAACTTGGCAAGCCACACGAAAAGTCGAGTGAAGTCATACCCCAAAGGGTGGAGGCCGGGCACGCATGGAGCGCAGAACGGCGCGCGAGTCAGTTAGCGCAGATGTCGTGCTCGCCCCATAGAAAACACCAAACGTCTCGATTGCCTCAACCTCCATCGCTAAGGGGAAAAAATTGGGTAACAAGCTTGCCAAGGATCGCGGTGTCGTCCGAACTCTTAAGATATGTAGTCTCCATGTTGAACTGAGGTTCTTCACCTCATCCCGTCTTTTCTCCCCTACTCCTTTTCCGCGTCATCATGTCGTCCACCTCCTTGTCTGAGCCCTCGGACTCCCTCAAGGCTTCTGGGCCATTCTTCCGCTCGGTGCCTTTCCAAATCTTGGTAGCATGTGGTGTCTCGTTTACGGCCCCGGGTATGTGGGATGCTCTTGGTGGGCTAGGAGCTGGAGGAGCTGCTGAACCCTACGCTGTCTCCGCTGCCAACGCCCTGGTATATGGACTCTTTGCTGTGGTCTGTGTTGCTGCCGGAGCTATCAACAATCGGATCGGCTTGAAGTATGGTCTTGCACTGGGTGCCATTGGATATCCTCTATATGGCGCAGGACTCTACACCAACAATGTCTCTGCAAACACATGGTTCATGTTGTTTGGCAGCGCTCTTTGCGGTATCTCCGCTGGTTTCTTCTGGGCTGCTGAGGCTGCTATTATCATCGGATACCCGTCTCCTGGAGACCGCGCGTTTTACCTCGCTATCTGGCAGACCGCCAAGGCACTTGGACCGATCGTAGGAGGAGCCATCAATCTTGGATTGAACGCAAACAAGAAGACCACCGGATCCGTTTCCTCGACGACATACATTGTCTTCATTGTCATCATGTGTCTTGGTCTTCCGGTCGCTCTGTGCTTATCACCAGCACACAAAGTTTGGCGAAGAGACGGCACACGGATCGTCACTGAGCGCGCCGCAACGTGGGGTGCTGAGTTCAAGGCTGTTGGCAAGCTGTTCGTTAGCCGCCGGATCTTGCTCTTGCTACCAGCTTTCTTCATTAGCTACTTCTACAACGGCTTCATGAGCACATGGTTGACAACATACTTCACGGTCCGAGCTCGCGCGTTCTCCTCGTTCTTCACCAACTTTGCCGGTATCTTCTCCTCGTTCATCATCGCCTTCCTACTCGACAACCAGAAGATTCACATCAAGACGCGTGGCCGCGTTGCCTTCTGTTGCATTATCACCCTTTTGGTTGGTACATGGATCTGGGCTACAATCCTGCAAAAACAGAATTACGATGCATCAGAGTCTCCAGTATTTGATTGGTTCCAAGGTGGCTTTGGAAAGAGCTATGCGCTTGTTTTCTTCTGGCAATTCGGTGGTCAGGCTTTCCAGCAATTTCTCTATTGGTTGGTTGGCCAGTATGCGACGGACCTTTCTAACTTGAGCCATCTTACCGGTATTCTGAGAGGTGTGGAAGCGTTGGGTCAAACTGTTGCTTGGGCGTAAGTCTTCTTTTTCTTGAACAGCATTCACGCATCATCGGCTAACAATCGTAACAGTATGCAATCAGAAGGTGGTGCGAATCACTTCGTCAGCATTGGTATCAACTTCGGCATCACAGTGTTGTGCGTCTTCCCTACCTGGGTCGTATTGTCAGAACTGGAGGGGAGCCACGAAGTCCGTGTTACAGAGGAGATAGCAAAAGACAAGACTCTGAGCGATACAGCTTGATGTGTTGAGGCACTGAGCAGAAATATATTACTTATATCCTTCACGTCAATCGTACTAATATTTATTATCTGTATACCACGCTCGCCAGCTCTTTCCGCTGTACGGAAAGATCGGCGACATTGACATTGAGATATTCAGGAGCGTGTCTCGGTTCTAGTTTGAACTGAAGTAGGAACTCAATAACTCCAAAGAGCTTCCGTGACCGGATGTTTCAGGCAGTCCGCCCTAATCTGAGTAGACAACAAACCGATTCAAGTGCTTAAAACACATCAAGCCCAGTGCACGTGCTTGTAGACGTCGTCTTGATACTGAAGTCAATTTCTGTTCAGAAGACTTTGCAGTAATATTTTCGTAGTTCTCGACATACAAAAGACAAGACCGGACTTGTTCCATGTATGTCTTATGATCCAGATCGAAAGTCGCCCTACTTTGAGGACCATGTATGAATAAGCTAGATAGTCGGCGGTATTTGCAATATGGTATCCGACCTGCAAGGAGGAGTTCAGGGCATAGGATGGCCGTCCTCGGAGATCTGGAAACACTGTTTGTGAGATAACTGCGGCCAGTTGCCGAAAATGACGTACTTAATGTTGAGCATATCGCTCAAAGGAGAGATTTGGAAGCCAGCGCTGGCTAAAGTCGTCGGTAGGCAACCTAAAGCCGTCTCTGCGTCCCGGCCTGTGGTGTGAATACTATGTCTATCCTGATGCCTTGATTTGAAGAGTTACGCAATTGTCTTATCAAACTTCAAATGTGAAAAGCTGTAGATATCTCTAGATACGAATTCCGAGAATGATCGAACTGTCATCGGTACTATGGACATCTCAGGGAGCATGTGTAGCCAACATAGATGACCAATCGCTTGGGCACACGAGACCGAAGACCAAGTAATCGCATGAGCTTTGCAGCGTCGTTGAGACGGGGAAGTGACTTGGACTCATACATCCAGTTATCCTGATAAATCGTCCTGTCTGAGCGAGGTGATTGATCAGCAGATGTTTCGGTGTTCCATGATCCAGTTGACTGGTGAGTCAAAACGCGCCGGGGAATGATTATCGAAACAACCTTAGTGGAAGGTGGCTTAGTTGCCACGAGTTGTTGGGTGAAGTTGAAGAACGCAAAAGGGACGCGTCGAACGCGTCGGCAAGTACACCCCGCCATTATCGGACGGCAAGTCCGACCGAGTTATGACATCTATGGTTCGGAGCTACCACCCCACCCCAACACTACTCCAACACTCCAACAAGACCTCCAACAGTACATTGTACATACTTGAGTGTAAAGACTCTTCGGTTGTATATCCTCGAAACTTCCCTCTTTCTTGCGCGACTACGGCAAACATGGCTTCACTGCTGAAAAAGTCCCTGAAGCTCGCGCTCATCCAACTCGCTTCGGGCGCTGATAAGACGGCGAACCTTACATCAGCACGCCAAAAGGTTCTCGATGCCTCAAAAGCCGGCGCAAAACTTGTAGTGCTTCCCGAATGCTTCAATTCGCCTTACGGAACAAAGTACTTTGACAAGTACGCCGAGACACTGCTCCCATCCCCGCCATCGGAATCGCAATCGCAGACATTCCACGCGCTAAGCAAGTTGGCAAAAGAGGCGGGTGTATATCTTGTAGGAGGAAGCATACCGGAGAGGGACAACAAGGATGCGAAGAAGCTGTACAACACAAGTCTGACGTTTGCGCCCAGTGGAGAGCTGCTTGCAACTCACCGCAAGGTGCATCTGTTCGACATCGATATCCCAGGGAAGATCAAGTTCAAGGAGAGCGAAGTACTATCGCCAGGGAACAAGATCACCTTGGTTGACCTACCAGAGTACGGAAAGATCGCGATAGCAATCTGCTACGACATACGGTTCCCTGAACTTGCGATGATTGCAGCAAGAAAGGGCGCGTTTCTACTACTGTACCCTGGCGCATTCAATCTCACAACTGGTGCATTGCATTGGGAGTTGTTGGCGAGGGCACGGGCAACGGACAACCAGGTCTACGTTGGACTGTGTAGTCCAGCGAGAGATATGGAGGCCGAATACAATGCATGGGGACACAGCATGGTTGTCGATCCGAATGCGGCCGTACTAGAACAGCTTGATGAGAAGGAAGGTGTACTCATCCGCGAATTGGAGGCGGGAAAGATCGAGGAGATCAGGAAGGGAGTACCGTTGTATGGACAGAGGAGGTTTGATGTGTATCCTGACGTCAGCGAAGGTGGCCGGTTCAAAGAATAGCATGAGCAATGATATCAAATCCGAGTAGACACGGAAACGTGTGTTTCAGTCTGTGTCCCAATATGCCATTTGCGGATTTGTAAGGCTGGTGGTGCCAGATTAGAAAGTTTTGTGAGATTTGTTGGTAGGAAAACGACTTTAGGGCGGTGTTGGGCTGAACAGGGCCCAAAGACGCGCACTGGTTGGGGGAGGTAGCACTGAAGCTAGCCGTATCAACGGGGGGCTTAAGGGCACCTTGCCTCCAGCAAATGGGCGGCGCTCTACATGCGACACGCCACATGCAGTTGCACAAGACGCTGCAAAGGAGATATGCACCGCGCAGTAGAGGCGGAATTCATTGCAAAGGTATGCACTGTCTCTAATATCACTGATTTGCAGCAGCAAACACTGCAACTATATCCAAGGTTTAGTTTTGATAGATGCATCCTGTTACAATTGAGCTTCTTCGTACCAGCAGCGCGTGTAAGAAATAGGCGATAGATTTGAATTTGGGGGGAGTGAATACCTGGTGCCCCCGAAAACGGGCTGGTGACCGCCCAAAATCAGGGCACGTTTGCTGTTTCCCGCTGTCACTTAAGGTAGCAATCCCCCCGACCCCCCGAAATTTCAAGCGCTCCTCCCCGTCCAAGCTGCCGCGCCCTCACTCCCCAAACACCCGCCCGTCATTCCGTCTTCAACCACTTCGCATACAACGTCAACCATCATGGCGCCCAAGAAAAAGGAAACGCCAGCAACTGGCCAGCTTCTGATCTCTGTTGCAGAGTTCAGGAAGACCCGCGACTCGGTACGTACCACAACTTGCTTCGTCTTGTCTGCAATGGCGACGCGCCTGCCTTCAGTTACCGCGTCGCGATGGCACCACGCTCAACACGGCGCCACCCTCACCTCGCCTCGTGTTTTCTTTTGTGTAACCTTGATCGCCTAATCTACGCGACTCCAAATTGGCGACATTTGCCTATGAGCGGCTTCCTGCGCTTCTGCCAGAGACGCGTCGTCAACCCCAGCTAGTCGCAATGGCGCCAGCGCAACCAAGATCGCGCAATCGCTCCAGTGCGAGCAAGACTGTAGCGCACAAAGACGAAGCAATTGCTTACAATCACAATCAGGTCATTTTCAATCTCCACGAACTCCAGAATGGCCTGGTCAATGTCCAGCACGGCATTACCAGTCTCTTGGAGAGCTACAAACAGCACTGCCACTCGGTCCTCGGCTACGAAGAGGGTGCGACAACACCCTACAACAATGATATCGCTACACTCGGCGCTGCCGCTTCTGCCGCCTCCGTCCTCGAAGCTGGCCAAAAAGCCGTCGAAGAAGTAACCCAGGGCCTCGGCGACAAGGCGGCTGACGCGAGCAAGAGCAAGAAGCGCAAACGTGAGAAGAAGGAGAAGGACCCCAATGCGCCCAAGAAGCCGCTCACCGCTGCCTTCTTGTACCACCAACATGCGCGTCCCATCGTCAAGGCCGATCTTGAGGCCGCACTTCCTCCAGGTGGCCAGATCGAGAAGAACGCAGTCCAGATCGAGGTGAACAAGCGCTGGAACGAGCTTTCAGAGGAGGAGAAGGAGGTAAGCATTCCCCATATAGCTCGATACCGTCTTGTCACTAACATGATCGCAGCAATGGAAGGCGTCTTACCGCAATTCAATGGAGGAGTACAAGACCGCGTTAGCTGCATACGTCGCAAACAAGGGCATCAAAGACGCCGAGCTTATCGAAGAGGATGACGCTTCCGACGAGGCCGAGCCCGAAGTAGAGGCTGAAGTTGGCGCCGCCGATTCCGATGTATCCTCTGAAGACGAGGATGAAGCACCAGCTGCCAAAGCACCCTCTCCACCTGCAAAAACTCCACGCAAGCGCCAGAAGACAACCCCAGCTGTCAATGGCAACTCGATCCCCGTCTCCATCGCTCCCGCTGCTACCGCTTCAACTCCAGTCCCACTGCCAACCTCCCGCACAGCGCCGCAAACGACAGCCCCTGCCTCCAATGCCGTCGCAGAGACACCCGCGAAGAAGGATAAGAAGAAGAAAGAGAAAGCCGCACCACAGCCTATCGCCCCTGCTCCAGCCACCTCCCCCGACGAGCCCAGCCCCGAGGAGACTGCCGGCAAGAAGAAATCTAAGTCTGGCCGTAGCACACGCAACAACGAGGTCGAGGGCGACAAGGAGAACGCAGCGCAGGAGAAGGAAAAGGCTGAGAAGGCCGAGAAAGCCGAGAAAGCTGGCAAGGAGAAGAAGCGCGATCGCAACAAGAGGAAGAGCGAGGTTGCCTCAACCTAGAAGGTAAAGAAGGCACGCAAGAAAGAGAGGCGCGACGACAGGAAGAGAAGGTCTGCCTCAACCCAGACGGGTTTCTTCCCGTCGTGATTTATCCACAGCATGCGCTTCACTTGATGTTTTCTCTCATCACTTCAGCGAAGGATACGTGAAGCGAGTTCGTCACTGGCACGAGAATGGTGGCTAGACGCAATATTCTGTACTGTATGCTTGTCCCTGTCGCTAGGGGGGGTTTTTTTTTGAAAGGCGAATGGTGTGAATAAGCGTACTGTACGACACTGTCTTCGGACGAGCATCTTCCTAGTATAGATATCAAGGAGATTTGCGAATAGCATGGTTTCTTTACATGGATGCTTGCCCCTCTATGTGACTTGTTTATATGATGGAGGTTAAAAGTAAACACCATCTTCTGCTGTATCAGTCGCAGAGGCCGAAGATTATCAATCCACTTCATGGCACACTTCGTGTTTAGAAATACATGCAGATTAAGAATTCTTTAGTATCCAAGTGGGTTCGTCCCAAGAACCTTCTCCATGCCAGACCCAAGCTTCAGGTTTTACCGAACGTCAATGTGCAGATCCAATGACCAGTATATCCAGACCTAGTCTCTATGTAATCCCACTATGCAGTGCCCGTATCCTACCCAGCTCTAAAGGCTCTCTAAGCCTCTAGTGCATCAGCAAACACGTCATCTTCCTCACTGCTCTCCTCCATCTTATTCTCGAACCCCATCCTAGCCATCGCGTCCTTTTTTGCATTTTTCCCCTCTCCCTCAACCGGCTTGCCAGCCGCAGCAGCAAGCACACCCTCAGCGCCAGCAATGCCTTTCATCATCTCCGCACCGTAAGCAACACGCTTCTCCCTGACGTCCTTCAGGTACTCCAGTGTGAGTCTAGCACACTCTTCCTTGGCTTTCTTCTTGCCATATATGTTGCGGACTTCGCCGATGGGTCCTTCGTGGGGGCCTGCGCCGCGGAAGAAGCATGTCACAGTATGGAAGTTGGGATCTTCGGGATGAGAAGTGTATTGCCATTCTGGTGTCGGGAGAGCGAGTATGACTGCTAGACTGGCAACTTGTTGAGCATAGCTCTTAGTACCAGGGGAGGCTGTTGATGTAGATGCTAGAGAAGGAACAAGGTCTGGTTCTGATATTGATATCACGTCGGGAATACTCGGTTGGGCTTTTTTCTTCTTGATACCGCCCACAAGAGTCACCTCCTCAGGCCATGTGCCAATGGACTTGAAGTACTCTACGGCATGACGGGCGGCGTCTCGACGCGCAGCTTTCTTGGAAGAAAAGAGGTTGTTGATGGAACCGAACTCCATGTCCAAGCCTTCAATGGTGAGGATGCAGGCAAAGCGCTGACCGGATTGGTAGTCAGTATAGGTTGGCTGGGGTGAGTCGGTGGCGCGCTGAAATTCTGTCGGGTAAGTCAGTCAGACGGAACGCTCCAAGTAACCAGAGCCCTTGAAAAAAGCGTGCCTTACAGTAGTACAAGGATAGAAGAGAGATTAACCTACCGAGAATCTGACCAACATAGTTCTCACCAGGCTCCTTTTCCTCCTTGACCTGCTGCACAGGCTGACTACCAGCACTCTTCTTCTTACTCTTCTCCGCCTTCTGGATTCTCCCCTCTTTCTCTAACCCCTCAAGTACTGTTAATGCCTTCTGGCTCATGGCTTCTTTAGCCTCCTGTTTGCTGTTGAATTTCTTATCTGCGCTCAGGCCTTGTAGCTCATCGGCATTGTCTAGACCAGGAAAGCTAACAGAGACAGTCCATCCAGTCTCGCCGCTCCCTCCATACGTGAACACCGGTTGCGGAATGCCGAGCGCCTGATACTTTTCATGAAGAAGGATGGTATGCTTGGATGAACGCGCACCCACTGCCACGGGCTTTAGAGAAGCGACGTTCTCATTGTTCTTAGTCTTCTTCGATGGAGGACCAGCAGAAGCCGCATTCTTTGCTTCGCGGACGAGCACCTGAGCTTGGTGTGCATCTTTGTGCTGATTAATGAAGTCTTCGATCTTGAAAACGCCATCAAGCGGAGTACTATTACTCTTGATTTCATCTACGTGTGCCGACTCAAACGCGGGCGTTTGAGTTGGTGTATCGGTCTTCATCTTGCGCTTCTTAGCCTTGTCGTAGGAGCCTTGTTGATCGTGTACAGTATCAATGTTAAAGGGAGCGGAGACTGAACTTGTTGAGTTGCTGGCAGTCAGACTTGATGACAGCGGAGAAGACGAAGGAGGCACGATCAAGTGTCTCTTTAGATCCTCTCCTGGTGCGTACATGGCAAAGATGGACAGGGATGGGGCGAGCGATTGCTGTTGCAAAGCTTGGGGTGTGGAGCTTAACGGTGTTTGCCCCGCTCAATGCATGCATGCATGCAGGCGTGACAGCGCGACAGCGCGACAGCGCGTTTGTATATGTAACGCGCCGTGTCGCTTTAGCAGTAAGCTTTCGGGTGCGAATGACATAGACAAGTATGCGGTGTAGAGATCTCGTTAGGTAACGACGTTATTGTTGGTTGAAGCAAAGGACCAGGCGTGCGGGCTGACGTCTGGGTTTGGAGATGGGCTCCGCTTGCCTGGCGGGTGATGCCGCCGCCGTTGGTAGTCCCCACCTACCACAAAGTCCTTACAGGCCGCCATGCTTGTTGTATGCATAGTCCCCAGGCTCACCGACGATCATAGCTTCTACGTGCATATGCCGCCTATTTTAGGTTTCTATGCAGGTCGATCGGCTGTGCAGTGCAAGGAACGCCCTAACGACCGTTGAAAGCCTAGCTGGCAGCCCTACGCCACTTCCGTTGTTAGTATACAGTCATGAGTGACTCAAATTCTTCTGTAGGATGCATACGTCAGTAGTTCTAGCATGTTCCAAGTCCAGATAGTGTCAAAGAGCTTAGTAGACTAAAGGGCGGTTTGAGTCAGTGGACACGAGCGTATCGCGATCAATGTGTCGAGATGTGCAGTCCCAAATGAGCGTGTATCATTACATTATCGTTACCCTCTAGTCTCTTGAACAATATGTCTAATCATGATCTTCGTAATACAAAAATGGCCAGCATACAGTCATACCATCATGAGCAGCAACCCAGTCGGCCAGTCCCATCTAATAGCCTTTATCCCTTTGATTCTTCTCAATCAGATCTGGCACACCAAACTCGGAAATATGTGCTTGCTCTTTCTGGTGATGCATCCAACTGCTAGTCCTCTCCTCGAATGATCTCTGCAGCCCTTGCAAGTCCCATAGGCTATGACCGGCCTGAGCGTGCACACCATGAAGACCAGTTGCCACCGACTCCTCTCTTTGATTGATTCGTTGATAAACATCGTGGCCATGTAAGTTTTCATGGTCTTGTGTTGGCTTTGTAAACTCGCAGGGGTTAATGTAGGGACCATACTGCTCAGCTGCATGCTCGAGATGCGATATGAGGTGTAGGTGTTGCCAGTTGGGTTTGATTGGAAAGCAAGCTAGATCGGGAGGAGTCTGCAGGTCATTTGCGTTCACAGGGACTAACTGGCCATGTTCGCCTATAGCAAGTCCCATAGCCGCAAACTCATCGTGTTCCAGGCCAGCAAGTGAATGCAACCCTTTGAGTCCAGCGTCCTGGCTTAGAAAGCTTCCATAAGCCGATATGTTTATAGCAGGCTCAAAGACATCGTTGATAGTCATGTGACCATCGCTGAAGTTGAAGTCGCTGTCGTGCGCGCTCGACGATAACGTAGCTTGATTACGTGGCAGTGCGAAACTTTGCTGTGAGAAGCCTGTTGTAGTGGTAGCCGCAGAGCCATCTAGATGGTCTAAATCTGATTGCATGGATCCAAGTATATCGATAGAAAGTGGCGGTGGATGACGTTCATGATGAGACTCAATCTCATGTGAGTGATTCGATGTATGTGTTTGTACCAAGTCCGGTGGTAGCTGTGGAGTTTGGTAATATGACATGACGTTCGTAGGAGTGGATGTCGGCACATCTGTGACTTGCCCATGCTCACCCTCCACATCTCCCAGATCTTCATGGTAGTCTTCCGCCTCATCGCACCATCTCGCTTCTGCAGCTGACCGATTCTTAACGAAATTGAAAGGACGCCACTTCATGCTGTCAGCTTCCGCTGAGCTCCTCGTCCGCTGAAATCTCCAAAGGACGGTGCAGAGACATTGAGCCTCGTTGGTGCCAGGTATGATACCGTATATATCCTGTACTGCTGTGAGGCGTGGGTTTTGGACATTTCTGTCATCTCTGTAGCTCATGTTACCACATCGTTTCATCCATGTCAACCAAAAGGCAGCGTCGAACTTGACACGCAAAACGCCTTTGGATCCATAAGAATCTGGCCGGTACTCACATGACGTGCGATGTTCTTTTCCATCATGAGTCATGCTGTCAAGTTCCGAATCGACAAAACCTTGTCCGTCGTCGTAGAATCGCATCATGCATTCCATATATTCATATCTGGAGAGATCAAGATGCGAGTAGAGATCGAATGCGATGGTCAGGTCAGCCTCTAGCCGTACTTCTGCCATCAGCTTGATGGGTGCGGTGCAGACCAAGACGTTGCGACCGTTCCTCATCCAGTCATCCGTTTCGGATTGCAAGAAGCCAAGTTCAGGGTATTGGTGATGCCAGGAGGCAAGATCTGCGATATCCCATTCATCGAGCTTGCTGTTCGAGTGCGCTTCAATCGAACAGTGCACAGGCTGGTCATCACCGTCAACGACCAGGCTAAGGTCTGTGAGTGTGAAGAGCGATGATAGCGAGCGAATTTCAGGGCCGAAACCCAAGGCGAGGTCCTGGTGTGGGTCGACGAGATGCGGCCACACGTGCGGTGAGGCCATGTTGTACTCATATTTGGCAACGGAATCAGTGCGCTGCGCATGTTGGCGGCCACGCATATGTGACGAATGACATGTACGAATGGGTGCGCTCGCGCATCGGCGCTTCGTTACGTCCTCTGGTGTGGCCATATAGAGAAGGACTATGGTGCTGGTTAGTCTCGTTCCGGTAGACCCTGGCGCAACCCTCCTGATGACACTAAGAATAGCAACGGCAAAGCCACCGCCACTTCTTTCTAGAAGGACTTTGGAAGATAGTAACTTTCCGAAGGCCTGATGTTTGGTCGATGTATGCAGGGCATCCAATGGAACATTGGGAGCCACATGTGAGAAGACTCATGTCGATTGGTGTAATGTACGAAATGGGGACTCACCAGCAGGAACAGCTCTGAGCTTTTGCTTGAGCACCTGGAGGTGACTGGAAATCTGTTTACGGTCGCGTCTGATACCTGTATCCCTGTGGATGGAATCTTGGATCAGCTCGTTTCGCCCTCGCTGTGTGCCCTCGAGCATGTATTTCTTTCGACCCATTGGTGGCCATCTTACGAGTGCTGTAGTATGCTAGTCAGCCCTCTGATACGAGTGTCGAAACAAGGCTCGAATAGAACAATTAGAGGACAACGATCGTTATAAGCAATACAGCACCCCCACGTTAGAACGAGATACAGTAAAAGTGTTATCTTACCTGTCCAGAAGGCATGCTCTATGAAATCGGGCCAGACAGTCTTGTCCTTCTCTTGCTGAAGACCCTCCGCTTTTCTCCTTTCCTGCTCCTTCCTCTCCGTTGCATCTCTTGCAATAACTTCAGCCGGTGTAAGAGCGGGCTGCTTCTCTCGATAGGCCTGGTATTTTTCCGATCGTTGAAGTAATTTGTACAGTCGACCAAGTTCACATCTGATCTGCTTCTCCGACCTTCCGACTACAAAGCCCGCAAGCCCAATGTGTTGTGCGTGTACATTACCAGTGTAGTAGGTTCCTGTAGTGACGCACTGCTGCGCGTAAGCGTTCTCGGACGGACTCAGACTGCCTCGTTGCCGTTGTGGTGGAGCCGTGACGTTGTGACTTTTGTAAGATCGCTCAGCGCGATGCTTTCGAAGGACGCCTTGATGCTGGGACGGGCCCTCGACCGGAGTGCATTCCAAGAGGGGAAGATGCGCCGACGACCCGCATAAGGGTTGAGGTTTGACTTGCATGGTGGGCTATGGCATCTAACAAAAACGTACACGAAAAGAATGGTAAGAGTAAGAATAGAGGCTGACGCAGACCAAAACGAATGTTAAGCAATTGGAGCAATAAGTGCGGTGAACGATGATGAGAATGCAACTGAGTATGTGGCGAAGCATGCAGATGGTTACATTGACATAAAGTATGGTCCAGATGACCAGCCCTAGGCAGGAGGACTACATGATAGGCAAGTAGGCCATAGCACCCACCGTAGGGTGCGATACGATATCCGCTAGCCTGAAACTGATAGAGGGGTCAGTCATCGAGGTGGCATGGCCAGTACCATGGGATTAAAATTAACGTGCTTTGTGCCTTCATCATGGCCGCAAAAGACGTGGTGTTTCGACTGTTGTCCGTATCGTCATATCTGTTGTGACTTCTTCGTCTACTGAAATGGTAAATGTAGCGTCGTTAGCAGAGGGATCAAAGGCATGGAGCCGACTGCCATCTACTCAACAGTCATCTGATTGGTTGTGTCCAAGTAGAACCCTCACGGATTGCTCAGAAGAAGAATGGATGTCAGTGGCCGCAAACAACAAAGTACGTCAAGTCTGCATGATCGACAAACGTCTCGTTCGTGGCTGTCTTACTCCCTTTGGAGTAGTCTGAAACGCCGTGTGGTGACCACGTCCATTCATTCACTCCGCTGGCGGTATACCCTGCCGAGGCTCAGAATGCGGTGTTCTAGATATAGCGTCGTGCAGATGGTCAAAGCCCTCTACTACTTTCAGCGGACCGTGGCGAAGGGCGGCCTGGCTCGTGTAGTCGGGGAGCAAGGGATGGCGTCAAGGCCTGACTGTGTCGCGCGCGCGACTCCTACCAGAATACATTCGCGCTCAGTCGTCAAGATCATCAGTGCCTGCAACGTTAAATTTCTTGCGACCACCTTCTGTAAGGCGTTGCAAGGCGACCTTGTTGGCCTGTGCTCCCACCTTCTGTTGCATCTTCTCCAGTTCCTTCTCGGGATCATCGGATTCGGTCTCAGCAAATGCAAGGACCAACCGGCGACCGAGCAAGTGAGTGTTCTTCAATGCGTTCATAGCGTTGACGGCGTCGCGTTTTGTGGTAAACTCTGCGAAACCAAAACCACGCGAAGACGCATCGAATTTCTTGGGCACTCTGACAGACCGAAGCTGGCCGTAAGGGGTAAACAGAGCGCGAACGTCCTTTTTCTGTAGCCAATATTAGCAATCGCTTTGTCACTATAATAAAGGGATCTTACGCTGGCTTCGAAGGGCAAGTTCTTGATGATAATCTTCGTGCTTGCCGCCTTCTTTGCGGCATCCTCGTGGCGACGTTCTTCAGCAGCATCTGCGCCCTTGTGAGAAGCTTTTATCTGCAGTTTATGTCCTTCAAGATCATGCCCATCCATAGCTCTTAACGCTGCAGTGGCAGTTTCGGGGCTATTGAACTCGACAAAGCCGAAGCCCATGGACAGCACGCCTCGTTTGGGATCGATCTTCGTCTTGACCTTGGCGCTACGGAAGCCGGATAGAGGTTTGAATGCCTCCGTGAGACGCTCGGTCGTCGTGGAGAAGTTCAAGTTTCGCACATACAAGGTAGCAGTGTTCGTTGCCTCGGGCTCTGGAGCATCAACAAGCAGATCAGTTGCAGAAAGCTTCGCGCCAGGCTGTGTAGACTGTACAGGTTGTGCAGTAGGTGTTGTTTGCACAAAGTTAGTTGCCGCACCTTCCTTGAACAGATCCTTGGGAGCCTTTTCGAGATAGAGAATCGAGTCTTTCATCTTCCGATAAGACAACGACATGAATGCAGTCTTCGCTTGCGCAACATTGGAAAACTCAACAATTGCTGTCATACCGGTGGGTGGCATCAGAAACTTTGTTACGGTGCCATGTTCCTCGAACATCTTGCGAAGCTCATCGGCCGTTACACCATGAGGTATGTTCTTGACAAGGATAGCAAGATCACCCTTGGCGCTGCGCTGGAAGGCCTCCAAGTCAACGCCATGTTGCGCAAAGTATGATTTTGTCTCTTGAATGATGTGAGTCTCAGCATGCGCCTGCTTAACTGCGGCATCTGCTGACGTGGGGTCGAGCAACTCAGCTTTGCTGATACCCATACGACTTGCGATGGTAGACATAACCGCATCAGCGTTCAGGTATAGTGAGTTCCAGTTGAAAGTCGCCTTGACAGCATTTTGCTTTCTTCTGATCTCCTTCTGCTTCTTGAGAGGCAACTTAGAGATCTCATAGTCGTCGAGCTTAGTGTCTTTCTTTGCCTTTGCTGAGATGATGTGGAGAAGACGTCCCTGGAAAATGGTATTATCGTTGTCGAGGTATGCTTCAACTGCTTCGTTGGGGTTTTGGAATTGTACAAAGGCAAAACCTTTGCCCTTTCCGTCGGCCTTCTTCAGCGGCACATGCACCTGCAACAGTCAGTAATTGTTCGCATCAAAATGTACGTAAGTGCACTCGTGGTGTTTGCCGCTATCAGATAAGAAAGACATCTACTAAAATACTTTCCAAGGTGACCTCAAGTGCCGAAGCATCAGTTGTCCCTATCTTGATGTTCATCATTGCATGGGCGGGTAGTAAAAGAGATGGATCGTTACTTACTTCCTCGAGAGCTCCATGTTTGGAGAACTGCTCCTTGATTTCGTCTTCTGTTACCTCGTAATGCAGGTTTCTGAGATACAGTCGACCGGTTTCACGAATCTTGTCTTCTTCGTCGGGCGCAGCAGCATTGTCGGGCTGCTCTTCCGATTGAGGTTGTAGCTCCGGCTGCGCCTCCACAACGCCCGGGGAGGGCGCAGCGGTTACATGAGTCTGCGGGGCTGTTTCCTGTGGCACAGTTGCGACAGTCGCATTCGATGGTGCTTCATCGTCCTCGACTAGCTCAAGAACCCTGTTTGTTCTTGATCGCAACCAGTCCGCGTCAGACACAGGTCCTTGTTCGGCAGCTGGCGCTACTTGAACGTCTTCCATCGCGTCGCCTCCATTTGACACTTCTGCTTGGAGCTCTGTTGCGCTCGCCTCGGTGGCTGTGGGCTGTGGGTCTGCAGCAACGGCCGCAGCCTCTTCTGCAATCTTTGGCTTTTTCGAAATGACTTGATACTCGTCATCGCTCTCGTCTTCTGGCACAGCAACCTCTGGTACAGCCTCATCGGCGGGAGCAACAGATGTGTCATTAAGCTGTGTATCACCATTGGCCCAGATGCTAGTCTTGGATGGTGGCTGATAGACCTCGAGGAACTCCTTCAGCTTCGGGTCCTGTTCGGCTTCTTCTCGCTTTCGCTTGAGATCGTTTTCTTGCCGTTGCGGTCGGTACTCGTCGCTTGTCGGAGCGCTCTTCTCAAGTTTTTGCTGCCGCCGGGACTTTGGTAGTTCCTTGTCGGCGATCTGCGCATGTTAGCCCCGCTTGTCGCCATCGTGATCGCAAAGTACATACAGGCCGTGCAATTTCGGCATAGATCTTGGTGAGCTTGATGAAGGTCTTGTTGAAATACTTGACCGCCTTTGCAGCATCTTCGGGCGTCTTGTAGCCAACATAGCCTATCCTTCGGTGCGGAAAGTACTTTACGTCAGTGACAGGTAGCTTCAAGCTTCCGAAGTGCCTCCTCACGTCGTCTTCGCTGAACTTGGGAGGTAAGCCACGAACGAAGATACGTGACGACTCCATGCTGGGTGAGTTGTGGTGTAGTGCATGAAGTGACGGATGTCAAGGTCGCGTTTAGAGGAAAAAAAGTTGTACGCACGGACTCATATCCGGTTTAGCGCGCATTAGTCTCGTCGGCCGGGGCCCGAGCGCTGACCGCCGCGCGAGCGCCTGCTCAAACATCATGACAAAGGCATAGCCTCACTCGACCACACGCCTTTATAAGACCTCACCTACTTCTTAGAGAACAACAGTTGAATCACTCAAACGCGCCCTCACTTCCGAACCGACACCATGGCTAGCGACAAGTCAGATGCCCACAAGCAGGATGGTAAGACCCTTTGTTCATGCCGGTACTTCTGCCAAAACACAAGCTAATGCTATATGCAGCTCAAATCAAGTCCGCCGACATGGTACGGGACAATCAGATTGCTTCTTCTGATACCATCCTAACATGTCTCACAGAGTGAGGAAATGCAACAAGAGGCTATTGAAGTCGGTAAGTCATCCCATTCTCAAGTGCGGCTGACAGGAACGCTGACATCTCGTAGCACAGTCGGCTATGGAGCAGTTCACTATCGAGAAGGTGGGTCTCCGATATCCACTCGGTTCGAGACCTTGCTGAGACCCGGTTAACCATGGATGTGTAGGACATTGCCCAGTATATCAAGAAGGAGGTAAAGACAGCTCTGTGTAACATCCGAAGCGCGCGCTAACACTTCCGCAGTTCGACAGCCGAAAGGGTGCCACATGGCACTGCATCGTAGGCCGCAACTTTGGAAGCTTTGTCACACATGGTAAGTAACTCTGCTTCACCAGAAACCTTTGAGTAGCGGTATCTAATCGATGCTCAGAGACGAAACACTTCATCTACTTTTACCTCGGTCACTGTGCCATCCTACTTTTCAAGACTCAGTAGGCGAACCCGACTGGATCAAAGCGCCCTCATCCTCTGAGAATCTCGTCCCTCTTCACCATCGAAGCCCTTCGTTCCGGGCCCAATTTCAGTCTGGTCTCAAACTGGAGGATGTTACTTTGTTCTCACAGTGTAGACAGCATCCTCTCAATGGGGTTCACGGATTCTGCGATTCAGCGGCGTTGAACGGCAAAGGCATGATCTTGAGCTTGTAACATCTTACTCCTAACGACTGTCACGAGTCTCTTTTCCACTAAAGTGGCTTTGGAGGCTACCGCTTGATACCATAATGAAGCGTCCATGCTTACTTTTGTCCCATCTCCCATGGTGTCCACGGTGCCTTTATAATTGTGACCAGGTGACCGTCGTCTGCTGCATCCAAACTGATTCTACGAGAACATACAAACTCGTACTCTCCCTTCATTCAACGCACCGCGGAAACTGCGGAAACTGACAAGCTCGTGATACGTATGTGAGTATGTAATAGTGCTGCGGGCTTAGCCGCTAGCCCCATGGAGCCCCATGCCCTGGAGCCAAGTGTGGCTGAGACGCAACATGGATGACGCAGCTTCCTCGGCGCCAATACTCTCTCTACCAGAAACATCGAAGCAGCGTCCCATCCCAACGCCTCTCAGACGACCCTTTTTACTTTCAACTTCGTTCCAAACAGAATCTCCATCATCAAAAACTTCAGTACTACGCGCCGTTACGTGCGCCATCATCGTAAACGAACAGCAGTCAACAATCGAACGCGTATCCCCCCGTACCGCTTGTCGCACGCGCATCACTCCACCAGCTCGACATCATCGAGACCCGACCCATATCAAAGAGCCACACATCATTGATACCACTGCGCTGTCCGCGCATATAGTCTGCGATCATGTTCTTTTTCTTCACTTGCGGAACACACAGTACGTCTCTCACGGGTCTACATTCAGTCCTCCGCATCCCATCCAATCCCATACCACTCACTCTCCACCTAATCTCTCTCCGCAATACTAACAATCTCACTAGCATTCACATCTCCCCTCAAAGGCGCCGAGCACATAACACTACGTTGTCAAAACTGCAACAACCCCACGGGCAGGGTGATGAAGCGCTGGGAATGGTTTACCTTTTGCTTCATCCCCGTCATACCGTTTAGTCTGAAGCCGTACAAGGAAGTTGGGTGTCATATCTGCAAATTCTGGCAGGACATCGCGTATCGACTGGAGCCTGAACTGCAGCAGTTTGGAGGAGGGACCAAAGCGCAGGGTGGTGGTGCGGTCATGATGAACAATTACGGTGGACCAGGTGGTGGACCTGGTGGTGCTCCGGGATATGGACCCCCGCCGCAAGGAGTGCCGCAGTATAAGTAGGGGCAAGAATATGAGGAAGCATGTGTGGAGTTCGAGAGCGATCAGCGGGTGAAGATCGTACGTATTTTAGCGTTTGAGGTCGAAGGTTGGAGATGGCTTGAGGGGTTGCGGCCGTATCAGCAGAGCACAAGGAACGAACGACGCTCTGATCTGGTCTTTCCTGGAGTCTTTTGTATTACGTCTGGCGTTTGGATATCCTCGTTTAACAGATACCACTCTATTTCCTTTACGTCGCCTTCAATCAAATCGTTTGGGACCCTTTCAAGCATTTTTGAAATATCTTGCCGTAACTTATGCCGTATGCCCAACTTCTCAGTTTCGCGTTATCTATGGAAGGGTCGAAGCAGACAAACCCGCCTGTGGAGCAGCCAACAAGAGAATTTTGATCATCATCAATCCTATGTTGCTATTCGAAACACCTTGCTTTGGCATGTAGCAGGGTTTTTGACTCCTGTACACGTTTGGTGTATCTTCTTTTGAGAGCAAGGCTGAGCCAAGCGTCTTTGGCTGCGTCCGCCGGCCAACTAGACGATGTGTAGAGTTTCCTCGTTACCCAACGGAAGATCAAACACCTCGTATCCTTTCTGCGTCTCGAATTCCACCAAGCCAATCCGTTCGTAAGTGCATGCTGTCATATTCGAGGGTCGCAGTATCAAAGCTGTATAGAGGTATTTCTTCTTCAACCCCATCTGATATACACTCATGAGAAGCGTTTTCACACGCTGGATGGGAATATCAAGTACAGAACCTGGCATCTCATTGCCAGAGTCTCCTAATTCACAATCGAGATACACCTTACGGGGGCACCTCCTCCAAGCGCGATGGTCGGGGTATTCGATGTTTGCGCATAGCTGCGTGTTGTACCGATAGGTGCCTTCCACGGCTTCGAGTAAACATCGACCTCGCAAAGTAATCTCTGCAGACCGAAGCTCGCCAAATTCATCTACTCCTGCAAATGATATATCTTTGGCGACATAGGTTGATAAAGGTGTGCAGATTGAAATCCAATTGGGCCACGTAACTCGACCCACGACAGATGCCCATGACCATGAAGGGGCACGCCATTCCTCTGGTCTGCATGTTCTGTCTTTGTAATCGGAGTACCATAGTAGGTCATACATTATACTGTTCTCCCATAGTCCAGCCACGTATGCTGACCTCTTGAGCTGATGTATTTGTTTGCTGATTCCCTGTAAAGCTGGAAAGCAGTCCCCCTTGTATGTCAAGGAAGAACTGCTATACTCGCTGACAATATGATGCCACAGAACCGTACATTGCATCTCATCCGAGGAATGTATTGTTGTAAGGTATTTTGGGCTGCGCAGATTTTTGAAGGGTAATGTCATGGCGTCCCACCAGAATGAGCACTCGCATTTGTTCACAGTCCTGCAAGCCCAGAACATTTCCTCGGCTGTGAAGTGCAAGATTCTTCGTGAGAGCAGGCACTCTTGCAGTGTCCATCCACGGCGTAGCAAGGGATATTCGCCATATCTCCATGCATAATGATTTATGCTAGATCGAACGCACACATCCAACATCGAGCCGTTCATATCGGGATACGAGTAGATGCTGATTGGGCGGTTCGTAGTCTGGCGGAAACACCCCTCCGACGGGCGACTTGATGCGGTAGCAGCAATGGTGAAATCGGCACCAGAATATATCCGCGCCATCTTACTACCCTCGCTTCGCCAGTCCTCTTTGCTATCTTGTACGATACAAAGGCTGTCGATCCAGACGTACTTGTATCCCAGTCGGAAAGCGAAAGAGATTGCATCATGGAAGGTTTGGGGAAGTTTTTGCCATGGAATGCTTTGCTTATGTGCGGATAGAGTTGCCCTCACAGTTGTGGTGATTTTATCCGGCCCCCAGCAATGACTTAGACAGACGTATGGTTCAAATTCGCCATTAGTCTCGTACAACTTGATAGTCTTCGGCCCCTGGATCGAGATAACGCGAGTTGGCAGGCTCGAATTGGCACTTCTGCACAACTCGTGGTTGTCTTCGCAATCTTGCAGCCACGACGACGCTCGTTCAACAGCTTGGTCTGAACCAGAATTCGCAATTACTTCATGGGGCAGATGTGGTATTCGCCATGGGTTTTCGAGATCTGAATACGTTAGTGTGCAGTGCTCATTGCAGTTTTCAGATACTTACTTTCCGGCGCGAACACCTCCCACGACGCAGTTGGGTAGCATTCCAAAACCAGTCTTGATCTCTCCACTCTGCATGATACCCATTTATCCAGAGAAAGCTCAAACGGCTGGTTCGAGTTCTTGGAAATCAAGGCACACCTGTTTACGATACCACATAGGGTCAAACAACCTGCACACCCCTTTCCAGCAGAGGAGAGTAAACTACCAACCAAGACGCGTGCACCTGATGTATCTGGCCAGGTATTGTTACAGCATACTCTGCATCGCTCCGCTTTCGCATATGCGGATCTGATCCGTCTGAAACGATCTCCATGGAGCAATCCTGATGCGAACGTACGCAGGTCCGGTTTAGAAAGGGCTTTGGTAATGCCATCGGGAGCCCACCACGATGGTGGTTTCCATGCGAGTATATCTGTCATGACAAGCCTGGTGACAGGCTGCAAAGTCCCTCGAAGATTGGATTTACAGCGGAGTTAGGTGCATCAACGATCAAGGTAAACAAAAAGATCCTCAGAAAGCAATCAACACGAACGAGTCTGATGCGTACGAGGATTCTGCTCGAAGCTCATCGTGTGTTCGCAGAGAGAGCGCGCGGCAGCTACTCATTTTCGACATCGTGAAGAAATCGGGACAGGTATTTCGTACAGCTGCAGGATTGCTGGGTATACGATTGGCTCGCTATTTCTCATCACACCACATGTCGGCGCTTGAGAGAGACCAATTTGCCTATAGCCAAGTAGATCTCTTGCGTACGACCATTCAGAAGGAAAGATGTGGGACTGGAGATGTACTTGTCTATGTTGGCCGTTTTCACGAAGAGCAGGGCCACCGCCTCCCAGGAATATATGAGCCATTTTTGCGACGGTGCCTGTCTTCTTTGCGACACAGCGCAACAACAAGAGCTATGTTCCTATTGTTCCTTTCCTGGCGGGGGCTCTCCTAGATAGGTACTCTTTGTACGAAAATATCCTTTCTCTTCCGAGGGTCTGTTGTTCTTGCATTGCATTGCGTTGCGCAGAGAAGAGAAACGTCGCTTTCACTGTGTAATGTTCATTTTCCCTTAGAGGTGGTGGGCCCGGATCGGATTGTCGCGAACTTGGCAGCAGCTTCGTCGATCGGATAACCATGAGAGGCGAAACGGTCTCTCAATCTGCTAGCAGCGAAATTCGACGAAACCGAACGAACGTGCACCAACTCGATTACTAAATCTGGATATGAAGGAAGTTTGAAGGTACGGCGCACCATCGGATAGTTTGGTGTTTCATAGGCCCGTGCATCTTCTTTGTTTCCGCGAGGGGTCGCGGCAGCAACTGCCCTGCAGCACTTTCTCGATACGACTCCACTATGGTGTAGAAATATTTCGGCCAAGTCGAAACACAGGGACTTCCGCCTCCAAAAATGTCCTCGGCCCCGTTCGTGACCGCTGGCACCGCACCGGCAGTCTCGAATATGCGGATGGCGGAACCCCGTTGAGCGGGGACCCGAAGCCAAACGTCGCAGAAGTCGACGCAAATAGAAGTGCTAGAGTATGCAACACGATAGATATAAAGACGAAGGACTATGTTGTAGAGATACAGTTGAAATATCACAGTAATACAGCAATTTAAACATCTCCCACAATCTTCAGAAATAAAAGCCATCATGTTTGAGAAGAACGAATTGAAGCCTACGTTCGAGGGTTAGTCTTCTGATGCTACCTCTTACGAACGTGACTAACAAGTCTAGATGTTATGGGCTGCCAGTCGGCATGCTACGAGTGGGCAGACAGCTACGATAGCAAGGTCGGTCTACATGCAGCACTACTGAATGATGATTACTCACGCATAGCAGGACTGGGACCGTCTCCGCAAATGCATCGCACCAACACTGAGGATTGACTACCGCTCGTTCCTGGATAAGATCTGGGAGGCAATGCCTGCAGATGAGTTTGTCGCCATGGCGTCGGATCCTGCCGTCCTAGGCAACCCCCTCCTCAAGACACAGCACTTCATCGGCGGTACACGGTGGGAGAAGACGTCAGAGGACGAGATTATCGGGTACCACCAGCTCCGTGTGCCTCACCAGAGGTACACGGATGAGACACGCACAAAGGTCGCGGTTAAGGGCCACGCCCACAGTTTCAACATGCACTGGTATAAGAAGATTGATGGAGAGTGGAAGTTTGCTGGGTTGAACCCGGATATCAGGTGGTTCGAGTACGACTTCGACAAGGTCTTCGCCGAGGGTCGCGAACAGCTGGGCGAGGCCAAAGCTGCTGCTGGCATCCCAGAGAAGCTCCCTGGTCAGGCGTTGTAGGAAACCTAGGAGAAGGTTGACATGATAGAAACCTGCTTACTAAGAGATACCAATACGAACAATGATAGGCTTGACCATGTACTGAATTGATGATCAGTAGCCGTTGCCCATGTTTGATGAGTGCCTTGACAGCTCCACAAGAGCACAACGGTCGTGATATGTCTGTGTCAAGCTCATTGGGTGAGTGCCGCAGCGACCAGCCGTTTAGCTGCAGGCGGCGGGGCCACTGAGAGAGAATGGAGAAGGCCATGGCGGTACAAGTGTGTGATTCGGCCGGCGCAAAACTGCGCAGCCTGTGTATGCAGAGCCCAGAGATGCGATGCGGGCATGGGTGGAAAGATGGTGATTGGAAAGGCAATGGAGCCTCTGCCTGAGGAGCACCGCCCCGCACATTGCAACAGCCCAGTGACGACTTTTGGCTGCAAGTCATCTACGGTGCCAGGGGTGGGTCGCCTATTAATAACGCAAAGTAGATCGCAGGCAGCCGGCACCGTTCTTCATCTGGTCGATGCCAGCGTGGCAGCCGTGTTGAGCCTCTGTAGCGAGATGCGATGGGCCACTCGCAATGGAGCCGCTTCATCCTTGGGTCGCTTCAGCGCAATTATCCTTGTATCGATCGAAAGCTTAAACCAGCACTGGTCTACGCCATCCGCGTCCCCAGGTTCGCGCTGCCATCGCTACCAAATCCAAGCGAAGTAAATCCTAGCGGATTCTCGGCGCCGTACATCATCTGCAGTTCTTCGCTCTTCCACCGACCCCGCCCACCGACCGACCTTCCTCCCACACAACCGAGCACTCTCGTCTTCGAGCGTCTTTCCTCTCTGATTCCTTTGCGTTGTGGTGTTTGGATCTCATCTGCTTCTCACGTCCGCCGGTGCCCTTGAGCTTTTTCGGTATGTTTATCTCTCTTAGCAATTTTCATCTCGTCTTGGCGGGTCGCCCACTGCACAATTTCGTGCATCCGGCCATGGTCGCATCACAGGCGGATTGCACAATCAATTCGGACACCACCCGTCTGCTACGCCTGTGTGCCCATCGCCTACTGACGTCGTTGCTCTGCACGGACTTGGTCGCCCGGCCTGCAGCACTCTCCCATCAGCGAGAGCCAGAGTCGCGCATTCCGACGCGCTCTTGCTGCCGTGGGTGTTGCCAGCACCTGTCGTGACCTGGGCCTCGTGCGCCCGCCGCATGTGATGCCTAGCAGCAAGACTCTGCGACTGACCGCCCGCCTAGATTTCATTCGAGCTTCCTCACGGTCACTCCTTCACGCCCCCCCTCACCCGCCCACTCCTTCGTGCGATCCGGAGTTACTGTCGCCGCTTTTCCGACTGTCTCCTTGGCTTATACGCCCAACTGCCTACGCGCCTCCGCAGGCTACGCTTCTCTACAGTGATAGAAGGAGCCGGATCTAATCGGTAAGTGCAGTCTGCCACCTTGCAATACCCTTACCCTGCTCCCGCTGCGTGACCTTCTGCGCGTTCATTCACCGACACTAATGGTTGCTTTTTCTGCGCAGACCATTTAAAAGACTCTACAGTTCTCTATCATAATTAGAGCCCGTAACCTTACTCCCCACCTCCGTTAGCTCAACCGACTACCCCGCTTGATCTATCGACCATGTCATTCAACAACAGCTACGGCGACCAATTCCAGGGCCAGCCCCAGGGCGATATGAACAACCAGACCCCGCAGCCCGGCGACATGGGTCAGCCCATGGACGCCTCCGGCAACGGCTTCCCTCCCCAGGGCAACATGGGCCCGCCAGGCAGCGCTGGTGGCGACGGCCAAGGCCAAGGTGCTGGCAAGACGACTCTCTGGTGAGTCCGCATACGCGCCTGTGTGGCGCATGGTGTATACCAGACCGCAATGCGCGCGCTCCGATAGCTTTCTTCTAGGTGGGGGAACACCAATGCTAATATGGCGCAGGATGGGTGAACTCGAGCCCTGGATCGACGAGAACTTTGTGCGCAGCATCTGGTACAACATGGGCGAGACCGTCAACGTCAAGATGATCCGTGACAAGTTCTCCGGGTAAGCACGGAGATCACCGAGGAAAAAGTCTCCAGGCTAACTACCGCATAGCAGCAATGCTGGATATTGCTTCGTCGACTTCGCGAGCCCTGATGCCGCGTCCAAGGCTCTTTCCCTCAACGGCCAACTCATCCCCAACTCCAACCGCCCTTTCAAGCTGAACTGGGCCTCTGGTGGTGGTCTTGCTGACAGGAGGCAAGTCTCACCCGGCTTCCCACATACGACAGTGATCACTAACGATTCGAGCAGCCGCGATGAGCGTGGTCCCGAGTTCAGCATATTCGTCGGAGACTTGGGCCCCGAGGTCACCGAGTTCGTCCTCGTCCAGCTCTTCCAGAACAAGTACCAGTCCACCAAGTCTGCTAAGATCATGTCCGACCCCATCAGTGGTATGTCGCGCGGCTACGGTTTCGTCCGGTTCGCTAGCGAGGAGGACCAGCAAAAGGCCCTCACCGAGATGCAGGGCGTTTACTGCGGCAACCGTCCCATGCGCATCTCTACCGCCACACCCAAGAACAAGAGCGGCGGTCCCGGAGGTCCTGGCGGCATGGGCATGCCACAAGGCGGCGGCGGCCCCGGAATGGGCATGTACTCCATGGGTGCTCCCCCAATGGGCGGCTACTACGGTGCCCCCCAGCCGATGAACCAGTTCACCGACCCCAACAACACCACTGTCTTCGTCGGCGGCCTTTCCGGCTACGTTACCGAAGACGAGCTCCGCTCCTTCTTCCAGGGCTTCGGCGAGATTACTTACGTCAAGATTCCTCCAGGCAAGGGATGTGGCTTTGTCCAGTTCGTTCAGCGCCATGCTGCTGAGATGGCCATCAACCAGATGCAGGGCTACCCGATTGGCAACTCTCGCGTTCGTCTCAGCTGGGGTCGCTCACAGAACAACTCCGGCCCAGCTGGCACCCCTTACCGCCCTGCGCCACCTCCACCAGTTCCCTTTGGCCCAGGCATGGGTATGCCTCCGCAACACCCCTACGGTGGTGGCGGCGGTTACGGTCCGATGATGAAGGTAAGTCAATCGTCCATCCTGCGACATGTTTGTTTGATGCTAACTTGGCTACAGTAAGCGCATTCTTTCCCTCTGTATTGCTTGCACGGCGCTTCATTCGTGGTTCATCCCGTTGGCTTACTGCAATGACCCCTTTCATGACTCGGCATGATGAATTTCGAGCGATTTGGTCTTTAGTTCTATAACGGGCGGTTCTCCAAAAGTTCTCGACTTTTTCTCACGACACCGATCTTGCGGAGGGCCATATAAGGGAGTCTTTGTATAACAGGCCATCTATTCTCCCCTTCGGGCTTTCCTTTCAAAGCGTGCCACTCATATTCCTGGGAGCATATGGGATGTAGCTAGTCATGCATGGGTCGGATGCTGCTTTCTGTCGATTGCCTTTCCTTCACGATTGTGCGCTGCTCCAAGCGGGATTGGCTATCATTCCAATCACACGATTCTTCTATTTTCTGCGTGTTTTGTTGCGTGCTTGCTGGCTTGGATGATTTGTCTAACGTTTTGTTCAAAGTGCATTATAGTACTCCATTTCAGCTATTCTTTGTACTTCGCTAACATCGCTCTGTAGTAGCTTCCCGGCGCAGGCTGGCCAGCCCTCGCCTTACCCACCTTCGATGAACACCAACCTAGGTGGCTCGCGACCCAGCAGTCAGAGCGCAGGCCCTCCGACCAACCCCGCCAACGGCCAGACTGGTAACCCAAGCGGTCAAAACGGCACTCCCACCTTCGGAAACTTTGGCCGCTTTGTCTCACCCCCTCCTAACGGCGCCAACGGTTCTGGCTTCGGATCGTCCGACTTCGGCGGTGCCTTCTCGCAGCAATTTCCTCCGCAGTAGTTTAACTACGCCCTCGCATCGGTTATACGCATATCAAATACTGTTTGCCGCTTTAGCATGGAGTTTGGGAATTACTTCATTCAACGATGTGGCTATATTCTTACTGGGCATGAAGGCATAATGCTTTAGCGAGGCGTCTGGCGAACAAGATTATGGTGTACCCATGCACAAGAGAAGGCGTCAAGAAAATGTTTCCTTTGTGTCATAGCAAGAAGGTTTGCACCTTTGCTGTAAAGATGCGCTTCTTTCGGATTTGCACTGCATTGCTTGTCTGGTTATAGGATCATGACAGATGCCTGGAACAGGAAATATTCTAGATTGAAGGTTGAAGACTTTCTAGTAGAAGGCTCTACAAAGGGCTTCGAAAGATATGTCACGAACAGGCGGTCGGCGAGTTTCAAGTAGAAGGGTTTTCTAACGGTTCCTATATACTTATTCAATGATATAGGTTGGCTATAATCCAACTATAAATTTCTTACTTTATACGCTCCCCTTCGTATGTGCTTGAATTCGATTGCCTTCATGAGAGTCAAGGGCTGAGCGACGGAGAGCACGTCCACAGTTCAGTATGAGGAAGGCACAATTGTCAGCATAGAACGTCATCGCAAGAACGACTTCATGTCCTGGGTAATTCTCACCAACAGTCGTCTTCCACCTCCCCTCAAAAAACACCCATCCGGCACGAATGCCAATTGCTTGTTGCTCTTTTGGACCCGAACAACAGCAGCCCCACACCTGCCATGCGCTACGACGACTGGGATGTGATCCTCTTCCCTAAGGACTCTCACGTACCGATACAGGAGTTCAAGACTGCCTGTTATGTCTCACCTGAAGAGTGTGAGTACCATGGTCTTCGCCATCCACTTGCAAGAGTCTTCCAGAAGTCACCAGCATCAGTACTCACAAGCATGCAGATGGCCGCCAGCTGCCTACTTTGACATGTTACATCAACTCGTTGCCAACGTCTACGCCGTTTCGCATCTCTGTACACTCATGGGCTACGCTATCAAAAGCCTCGCCGCTCATCGAATCCCGACGGAAGACGAACCAGAAGGTCGTATACACTGTTCAGGTCATTGTCGACGGGGCTAGAGTCTTGTGAGCTCTGTGCTTCAGCTTTTGAACACGGAGCCTCAATGCTGATTGGCACAGTCGTGGCTTCTTCGACATTACCTCAAAATGGCCCCAGGAGATCGGTATGCTGAAGTAGACTTGGTGCTACACATAATCCGAACTGACCACGTCGCAGCCCATGAGAAGAGGTCGCTTACCATCAATGACTACCCCACAAGCCAACAGAGGCCATACCTCGAATTCCCACCCTTTCACCATGGTACCCTCATGCAAAGCTCGTGGGATGCGCGCGATCCAAATGGACGTATAAGGATAACACTGTCGGAACAGCTGATCACGAAGTCAACCAGCCCTGGGGAAGCGGACTTCGGTGCCACCAACGATATTGTTTGCTTCTCGTTCCAGCATGCTCCAAAAGGTACTACTATCAAACACATGCCATTCATATCCATATACTGATGAATTACAGACATCTTGGAACAAACGGGAATCTCGTGGCCGATACGGAACCCCCTATATCTACCCAATGGCCTTGAACGAGCTACACACCTATCGCAGACGTCCCCAACACTGTCTTGGGCCCCCAAAGTTCGACCTTTCATAGGAGATATGCAAATGCGATCGCCGATATCGCAACGTTCTATGTACAATGTCGACAGGCCACCCAACATCTTGCCAAATCGACGATCCAACGCACACTTGCCATCTATATCGCAGTTTTCGAAGCCAGTTCCGAGCTTAAGAAACAACAGCCGCCTGGGTACATGGGGCGATACTCTCAACTCGCTCGGTGGTTGCGCCGATGACGTGAGCATGGAGACTTGGTCAACAAAGAGAACTACGTCAGGTTCAACTAGCGATATGGCTATGCCTGATTACTCGTACACATCGTCACATTTATCAAGACAGGGCCCTCCACCATGGATGCCCGACAAGTCGCAATACAGCCAGAGTAACAGCACAGAATGGGAAAACCATCATCCAGGGAAAGACAAGGAAAGACAACTCGTCGTCACGCTTCGAGACGACCAACTAGGTCAGATCATTGAAGCCATGAGCCCGCCAAAGCAGAATTGTGAATTACAGCATGGGTTTTGTAACCAGCACCACGAGAATGCTGGTAGGCCACCAACTGCTCACACATACCATCCGTCGAAGCCAGAAATCGTTCCGCCAGTCAATCGTCCATCTTCAGCATCTATCGTTTGCAAGTCGTCCTATGCGGAACTCAACAACGTCCTACGAAATGCTTCGAACAAGCAGTCACAAACTAAACAACGGTCGCAAGATAAGGTGAACGATAAATCTTCTACCCTGAACCATCTTTCTGTTTCAACCAATAAGGAAAACTACCCTCCTTCGCAGTCACGGTTGCCCACACCTTTTCCGCACGCGAATCGCGTGCCCACACCAAACCCTTTCGCACAGAGGTTGCCAACTTACACCTCAGATGTCTCGATGAGGGACCCATCCATCGCCCTCTCAAGTATATATAGATTCAATCGAAGTGAGGAGCCACCTCTAACCGCCGAACCTGCTAAATTTGGGTCTGCTCACGGCCCATCAACTGTAAATATTAGGGGCAGGAAAGAAGGCTTCACTTCCAGTTTACCAAGGCTATCGGATCAAGCAATGCGCCATGACCAGAGCTCCCCACCATCACCAAATTCAGGGTCTCAGACAGTACATAATTTCGCCTCTAAGGGTCAAGACAAACCTTTACATGACACTCAGGACGGTATCCCTGACCTAGTTGAAGTAATCGACGTGGACGCTATTGATGCGCATTTAGCCACCAACGCCGCTTTGGACGGTACGAAGCTTTCTCCGTTCAAACCCTGTCATAAGACTGGAGTGTCGCTTTCAAGCATCGACAGTACCGGCCGTCTAGAGAGACAGCTATTCAGCGCCCTAGGCGAGGAACTGGGCAGCTTTGAGCACCATATCGACAACACAGGCATTGGACCCGAACTTACGCAGACAATTGGCAGCGGAATGGCACATTCTGATGTCAGCAGCACTGTCATACTGAATCCGACAGCGAGCGACTTTGAGCCAACTATCAAGCGTAAGAGACAGGTTACATTAAGTCATGGTGATAGAGAGAGGAGCCCAATGACGAAGAAGGAGAAGGCCGAGTTGGTTCGTGCTGAGGGTCAGGATGAGGAGGTGGTGGTGTGCTTGAGAGGAGACTGATATCGTAGGGTTGATGAGAATTCTTGAACGACGATGCGTAAGTCTTTCAGACCTTTTTTTCCTAAGCACATCAAGCTTTTTGGTGTGGTCGCCAGTCTTTCTAGGACAGAGATAGACATCAATTATTGTAGGAGTAGTCAGCAGTTTGTAGCAGTATCCGAGCACGATTTTCTCACAGCCAAATGAACATTCAGGGCTAATCACAGATTTGTACGATGCAGAATCATGTCTCTGCGACGACAGTAATGAACATCCAATTTTGGACTAATAAACAAAATATCCCTGCGTCAACGGCAACGTCTCGGACGGCTCCGCCGTACAGACCATACCGTCCGCTTCAACCGTATACCGTTCCGGGTCAACCTTCATCTTCGGTCTCGTATTGTTGAACTTCATATCCCTCTTCCCGATGTTCCTGCAATTCTTGACTGCCTCGACACGCTTGCGCAACCCGTAGGACTTCACGACACCCGAGGCGATGGAGGCTTGCGAGACAAATGTTATGCTTGTTTGGGGAAGGAGCGGGGCGAACATGGGCCGCATGATTATGGGCTCGACGGTGGGGATGGAGGCGTTGGGATCACCCTGTTTGAAGTTAGTATGATAGTCCCCAAAAAAGGAAGACGAGGGCGGTACATACCATTTGAGCGTAGGAGCACATTCCACTCTTCACGACTAGAGATGGCTTGACGCCAAAGTTTCTTGGTGTCCAGAGTACCAGGTCTGCTACTTTACCTACCTCTATACTACCGATAAGGTGGCCCATACCCTGCGCTATGGCAGGATTGATCGTGTATTTACTAATGTACCGTTTCACTCTAAAGTTATCGGCATCGGTGTCCTTATCTTCTTCCAGAGTGCCGCGTTGCACTTTGTTCTTATGCGCGGTATTCCAGGTACGAAGAATGACCTCGCCGCAACGGCCCATGGCTTGGGAGTCGGACGACATCATGGAGATGGCACCGAGGTCGTGGAGGACGTCTTCTGCGGCGATAGTCTCGGCGCGGATTCGGGATTCGGCGAAGGCGACGTCTTCTGGAATGTTTCGGGAGAGGTGGTGACAGACCATCAGCATGTCGAGATGTTCGTCCAGAGTGTTTCGGGTGTAGGGTCTGGTTGGGTTGGTGGATGAGGGGAGAACGTTGTCGAGCTCGACAACGCTGATGATGTCTGGAGCATGGCCTCCGCCTGCGCCTTCGGTGTGGTAGGTGTGGATCGTTCTGTCTTTGAAAGCTGCAATCGTTGACTCGACAAAACCGGACTCATTGAGTGTGTCCGTGTGGATGAGTGTCTGGATGTCGTACTCGTCACATACACTCAAACAAGCGTCGATGGCAGCCGGCGTGGTTCCCCAATCCTCGTGCAACTTGAGACCGCAGACACCCGCCTCAGCTTGCTGTTGCAGAGGCCGTATGTCGGAATCGTTTCCTTTGCCCGTGATACCGTAGTTCAAAGGCAATTCGTCGATAGCTTGCAGCATCTGCCTGACATGCGTCTTGCCAGGAGTACAAGTTGTCGCGTTTGTACCTGTACTAGGTCCAGTGCCGCCACCAAGCATAGTCGTGATACCCGATGCTATAGCCTCATATGCTTGTTGAGGACAGATAAAGTGGATGTGAGTATCAAACCCGCCCGCCGTTATGATCTTATGTTCGCCTGCAATGACATCGGTGCAGGAACCGACCACTAGGTTGGGGTCCACTCCGTCCATCACGTCCGGGTTACCTGCCTTGCCAATACCAACAATGATTCCGTCTTTGATTCCGATATCCGCCTTGTAGATGCCAGACCAGTCGATAATCAAAGCGTTGGTGATGACGGTATCCAGCGAGTCCTTGTCGGATCGACCTCCAGCTTGACCCATGCCTTCTCTGAGAGTCTTTCCTCCTCCAAAAGCACACTCATCACCGTATTGGGTCATGTCTTTCTCCACCTTGATCCAGAGATCTGTAGCTCCGAGCCTGACCAGATCACCGGTGGTTGGACCAAACATACTGATGTAGGCCTGTCGCTCCATAGTACAGATATCAATGTGCGCGGCATCGCCATGCGGCTCTGGCTCGTGAAGGAAACCACCAGACTTCAACCTCTCGACGATTCCATTTGCGACGGACATATCCTCGATGAAGCCTGAGGCGATCATGTTTCCGCCCTTTATAATCTGATTGCCACCAATCTGTACCAAGGTGACCGTCTTCGTATCACCAGGCTCGAAACGCACCGAGGTGCCGGCGGGGATGTCGAGGCGGTAACCATGCGCTCGAACGCGATCGAACTGGAGTTGCGGGTTCGTCTCGATGAAGTGGTAATGTGATCCAACCTATGTGCCGTCAGTCGCGTAATCTGTCGTTCTGATAGAGCTGCCATACCTGGATTGGTCGGTCTCCCATACTCTTGACCTTCAACTTGATCCTCTTGCGCCCCTCATTCAACTTGATTACACCAGCCTCACCCTTGACTGCCACTATTGCGCCTGGCTGCTTTGTATCATCGTATACGTCCGAATCGGGTAGTGGGAACATGTCGTTGGACGGAACAGGCAGGAACGAGCCATACAGCGCTTTCTCGAGGTCTCCATCATCGGTGGACACGGGGTGGTGGACGGTAACGAGGTATGTGCCTGTAGGAAATGTGCCTTCGACCATCAACGCAGAGAGGGAGTTGACAACAGAGGGCTGTACATGGCGACGGCCAAGCATGGTCGTGCCAATGGACATGAGGTCCGCGACCGTGTGGTTTCCATCGCGAATAAGCTGTATGCGTTCAGCATGCGACCCAGGACGCGCGTGGGGTCTGAAGTCGTACTTCTTGGAGATTGTTCGCGATCAATGCCTGGGCGTCTTAGCAGCGTCTACGCGACTTTTTGAAAACTCACGGTTGCTTCAGAATGGTTCAGCTTGACACCCCTGGCCAGTCGGCGTTGCGCGAGGAGGCCAAGCTGCGAGATGACGAGCTTGTCAAGCTGTTACGAGATGATTAGCAGCGCCGGCCGCGCGAATGGCACCGTGTAACACACCTCCTTCGGACACAGCTGCATCTTGCAAAATCACAAGCAGCCAAGAACAATGATGGTCTAACGCGTCTTAAGATTGTATTTGTACATCCACCATACTCTAGTCCGGTTCTACCGCTCCGTAGACTTCACCTCTTCCAGCCATGCTGCGGGGTTCGCTTGCGATAAAGGAACGCGCCGATAAGAAGCTTATGGCCGTCGGCCACGCCCTTCACCCTCATCCAGCGATGTACAAGTTGAGGCGCACATCCTCTCCATAAACCATACAGAGGTCACGAACCTCCGCGTGCCTACCCTCATTCAGGCTAACCGCGAAATGACGTAGGAGCTATTGGTTTCAACACCTGCACTACTGAGACAGGTAGATCTACGCCTAATTTGGCCTGTGCCAACCATATTAGGGCTGTCTCCTATCCATCCTTTGGTTTCATGCCTCCATTCCCCCTAACTGCATCGCTTCTGTATCGTGTCGCAGCCATGATATGCTCAGATCCAAGAACGCCAGAGATACTGCCATAGCCGGATGTATCGATGACATCTTTGGCACGCGACACGTCTCGGTACCAGATGACTGGCAGCCTGAGCATCTAGCAAAAGTCGTCTCCGATAGACTCCCACGATACGATGCATTCGTTGCTGCAACGCTTCAAGGGAGGGAATGACGAACCCGAACCTCGACACCAAACACCTGACCCACCTGTCAAGAGAAGCCGAGCAAAGGTCAGGCCTGCCCCTAAAGATCCGAACATCCCAAGAAAGCGTCTTCAGGTGAACCAGAAATGCCTCTACGAGCGCCAATTACCTGGGAAAGCGTACATCTCTGCCCATGTAAATCGACTTCAACACGGCTACTACAAATCCAACGCACTTCACGAACCCACTATCGACAATCTCTTCTTCGTTTCAGTGCACTTCGTCTTCCATCCCCATGATCCGGATTCGCACCGTTTCAAGAGCGCCGAAATTGAGGTCACGGTTCATGGCGATAACGGCGACCCGAACGAGTTCCGAAAGCCAGGCGATTCGCATCCGCGTATCTTGAAGCACGCGCCAGAGCTAATGTTTGGTGCCGTGTCGCCTGAGAACCTGCAGTGGAACTTTAGCTTATCAAGCTCGCTAGGCGTGTCACAGGCACCCGTGTCTGCTTCGCTGAACCCGAAAGCAGCTGTAAACAGCAGCTACAAAGTTTTCCACATGATGAGCATCCAAGGATCTGTTCGATCAAAGAGAAGTTCACGGGGACCAGAATATGATGCTGAAGATGCAAAAGCCGTTTGGACACTCACAGAGAACATGCTCCAGAAATCGGGCTTGCCACGCGAATTTGACTTCGTGCTGCTAGTGCAGAAGCCAGAGGACCTCGAGAACATATACATGTCTGTTGATCTTAACGCGGATGTCGGAGCTTGGTACGGCACCTATCCCCAGTGGTATACCAATCTGTCGAAGTATTTGCCAAACCAAGATTGTATGCTCAGCTTTGGGAACGACATCGGGCAACGGTTTCTTCCGAGCCATCCAAAGAAGGGTTACAATTTCGCCAACCTGATGCACGCGCTCGATGAATACGTGATGATGCCAGGAACCGTGTACCCAACTAGTGTAAGTCTGCGCCTTGGACGAAATCGTAATTCAAGCTGAATATCGCAGGGTACGCGGCAAGGAGAGGTCAACAATCCCAACTTGATAGAATATCAACCTCCGGAAGACGTTAAAGCAATTGAAGCTGCGTCGACATCATTGCAGCCTAAGCAGCCCAGTACGCCTTCGAACAAGAGCAAGTCACCTAGAGATGCAAATCAGCAGCATCGCCGTAGCTGGGCGCCCGAAAACGTGAATGTGCGAGTCATTCTGGAACATCAGTTTCCACAAGGATCTAATCGGCGCCGCTTCTCGTACTCGCCTCTGGACAACTTGGAGCCTGTACGATACCCGTCAATACGGCGGAGGAAGTCGCGGACAGGACTGAAAGAGTATGGTGCAAAGCAGGCCTTGGATGAAGTCGCCCAGGATGGAATCGAAGACAAGGGTGACAGATCAAGTGGAGGAGACAGACTCAGTGGCTACACACTGAGGTGATTGGCAGTGCGCAGAGTGTATGTAGTAGCCTTGTAATCACCAACATACATGCCATATTCCCACGTGATAGTATGTAAACGCCCGCCTCATCATTGCTCGCGAGAACATGCAGTTCCCAAGACTCGGTTGTGTGGTAGATCGCCACACTAGCGTCAGTTTTGACAGCTTTGGGAATTGACAGCCACGCAACCTTCCATCGCTCACGACCCAATTTTCTTCAGCGGTGGAAACTCCGGAACCCCCGAGAACACAAGTCATCTCCACAGTTATGGGCCAGCTGAAGTGAGACTCATCTCTTCCATCGCGCAATGCTGGTCGTGACAGGAGGGGGCAAACGGTCGGCGATGGCTGATTGGGTCCGCTAGGCTTCCGACGCCTCCATAGCTAGGCCATGAAACGAGATGACGGGTATTAGCAGCTTTCCTCGGGGCCGATTTAGTGGTAGAGACTGCTCTCTCGCATCAGCGCGGCCATGTCTTGTGTTTCGGCGCTGCAGGTGTCTGCGAGGTTTGACTGGCCAGCGGGAAGTCACGCTAAGCCGGGGTTATGATACCGATAACCACCCACGATGCCGCATCGCCTTCTCATCGCACACAACGACCCGGTAAGTGTAATGAGCCATGGCAGCAGACGCGGATGCAATGGAAATGCGTGGTCTGCTGAGGTTACGACTGCCCGGTGGTGGCCCCGGAGCTAAGAGCGGGCCTGAGCCTGAGGACGTCTTCTAGCAATGTTCTGTTATTTTGCCGTCTCGTCATCGTTCCTTCCCAAGTACTTGGTGAGAGAACATCGTGCCTTCCTCGTCTATCGTTCTCAGACCATCTTGCAGCGTCCTTTCCTCTTCTTGTCAACGGGATTGATTCTCGTTACACCGTCTTTTCTGTATCGATTCTAATCTTAATACCTCCATCGTCGCTCCTTCTTTGCTGCCGAGTCTTCGCCTTGCATAACCGGTACTTCTGACGTAGCGCCATACCACATCCTCCTGAGAAATAGACACACCACAACGTGTGCGTTCAAGAACACTCGGCTGCGACTTCATCCTTCGATTCATCTCAAGGAAACAATCTCCTTCAAGCATCATCAATCCACTCCGACACAGTCAAGACGTCCACATACTGGGTCGTTGGATCTAGCCAGACGGCTGGAGATGCAGCAGGCATACCCTGTTGACTAAAGCACCATAACCACACCGTATCTTCAGTACTATTGGAGTTCATGGCGTAGGCGCCGCGATGCACTCATTAGACTTCCTCTCAAGTCCGATCTCAAAGCAAACCAACGAACCAAGAGCCTGGGAACCTTTTCTATCCGTGATGTCGATGACAAAATTGTAGTCAAAGAGAACATTGCAAGCTTTCCGTCTCTTTCATCAGAGGAAAACTGGCAGGCAGATTCACAATGGCGGCATATCCCCTCCACTCGCAGTCACCGCGACTTTCTGAACGAGCATCACCGCGGATGCACGCTGGCAATCCAATAACGCCCGTACACTCCCCACACCACTCGGTTACGTCTTCGGCTTCTTCTCGGACTCCTGTTCACATCCTCACCATTCACGAGTACCGCAAGCAGCAACACACGCCTACACTCTCGCAAACAGGCACTCCGTTATGCAAGACTCTTCGAAGGAAACCTGCGGCACTCGCATTGAACGACATCGAACGTGCACCATCCGTATCACTTTCTACACGGTCAGGTTCTGGTCCTCCGTTACGTCCTCTTCACTTTTCGCAGTCGGCGTATCAACTCAACTCGGACCATCCGCCCTTCCGGCAACAAACACCGCTCGAACTATCGCATCGGTCGCAGTCAGCTGAGCCTCGCGTACAGACAGGCAGTATATCCAGCATATCCACTGGCAATTCGTCTAGTAAGGTGCGTCAGTTCAAGTCAAGAAAGAGGTTCCCGAAACCGCCTATCGCCAGAGATCCCGTACTCTTCCCTCCCCCGCTTGCAAACGTGAAGTCAACCCAACCACGACTGTCACCGCCACCGGCTGTATCGAGATTTTCCACAGAGCGCTCACGCTCTAGTGGTGCGCAAACCACACCCACCGCTTCGACCTTCTCGCTGTCCCGCTTCCCGTACCCGCCCCACCAGATCGATCCTTCACTGTCCCCGCCCCACGATGAAAGAGAGCCCGCGCATGTAGACGCGCTTAGCTTTGCGACTGCCGCACCTGCGACACCGCCCGCAACTCCCGCGATCATCCATTACCGTGGCGCGTCCTTCGATCTGGTTAACCCTCACGATTCATTACTGCTCCACGACATTGTTACACCTTCGCGAGACTTCGGCTCTAGTGAGCATCTCACTTTGGGTCCATCTGAAGACGCGTTTGCAGAGGTATTTGAACCCTCATTAGACTTTAACTTGACTAACAGCGATGCAGATGGCACCCAAGCGAGCTGTGTACGGCGACTTCCGCGCAGCGCATGCAGGTATTCTGAGACGTCCCGAAGACTCTCCCAATCAGTCACATATGGAGTTCCCACTGGCTCAATCGCCCGCTGCCATTAGTCCCAACTCTTCGTCGTACACATCCCCATTGTACAGCCCAGAATCAGTCAATGCACCTTCTCCATTAGTCGTCAAGGCGCCTGCACGCGAATCACGCTTTTCCCTCAAAGGACTTACCCGCAGTTTGACGAAGAAGCTCAGTAAAAGCCCGGCTGTGCCACAGAGCGAGGAGTTGCAGGATATGCGTGATCAAAACGTGAGCGTGGCATCGATTAGCATAGATGGAGACTTCCCACGTCCGCTACATCAGACCTATGTCACCACGCCGGAGACATCGTACTTTCCAGTCGGACCAATGTCGCCAGCTACGCCCACTAGCCCTATGTCGCCCGAGAGTTTCCATGCCTTTTCGCCTGGACAGAATGACGTTGAGATTTCACAAAGGCATCTTGCAAAACTGCACGATACAGAGCCACTGGCATCTATGCTGCCAGATGACCATTCTACTCAGATCGGACGAATCGACGATTCTCAGTTACCATACTCTACAGAAGGTGGCTTTTCGAAACCCTACTACGATGATCTCGACTCAATATACCCTAGTTCATCTATCTACACAGCGGATGGCCATCGGAAATCGATCTGTCAGCAGGGCCTTCTGAGCAACCGCAACAGTAGCGCCAACCCGTTCGCCCGCTATAGTGGCATGCACGCAAACGACTTCGCGAATGAGTATAATCGTGGCAGTCTGTATGTCCATAGTGCCTCAAGTAGAGTCAACCGTCAGGTGTCACTTCCATTCGTCCAGGGCATATACTGCCCTCCGATCGAAGAAGGGGATCCGAAGACGGACACCATCAGTAAACTCATTGACGAGTACAGCCCTCATAGTGCAACGGATGCAGCTTTGGCTACGCAATACGAAAATTCGGGAAAGGCACAGAGTACGCACTATGCACCAGCAGTCGTACCTTCAAGGCGGCCTCCGATCACCCAACACCCAGGGTCTCCCCCTCGTGAAGCAGCTCCTCTAGCACCAGCTTTTGATTACAATCAAGCTCCTTTCGTTCCTTCGCGCCCAGGATTGTCAAGTATGTTTTCTTACGGCTCAGACTACTCATACGGCGATACTCGGAACTTGCTGCGAACCTCACAGTTCGAAATTTCAACTCAGCCTAACGCGGCACACGCTATAGAACCTTCTTCGTCGTATTCTCAACCTGAAGCGCGACCTCTCGAACCGTCGTCATCCTACTCCCAAGTGGATAGCCAGCAGAGCCCGCATAGCCCGCATACACCGAAAGAGGCTCTCGAACAAGCTGAGCAGATTTTTCAAGAAACGGCCAACAAGCATCAGAATAACAGTACCATTCCTGCCATGTGGGGAAGACGTAACTCAGCAAGCCTGCTACTAAGCAAGACAACCACAAATAGATCATCTGGCGCCCCAAAAGATTCCGATACACTTCTCCACGATGGCGATGAAGCTGTTTCCGGGGACAAAGCAGATTGGGAGACGGTTGGCGGCAACAGTTCGAATTCGAAACGTCATGAGTCACTGAGCAGTATCGCAGACTACAGCAGCAGCGAAGGTACCCGGAACAGTCTCGGATTAGACTCGCATGGCTCTCTTCCGTCATGGGCTAAACAAGCTCAGCTACCAGCTCGGTCGAGTTACTACAGTCATCCTAGTCCCATACACAGCCAACCCCCCCACCCGTTCGGTTCATCACCGCCTCAATTGAGAACTCAGGCAAGCGTTCGCACTGCACCGGACACATCGTCTCCTTCGTTGGCTACCAGCCCCCCTGCATCGATAACAGCGCCATTGTTCCAATTCTCCACTCATGCCGATAATGTTCTGGGGCGTGGTGCTGTTGAGCAGCCATATGCGTACGCCCCGTGGGCAGATCCGTACGCTTTTAGCGACAAAGAGACGCAAGAACTGCTGGCTTCTGGTCCTAATGATAACATCATTGTCAATGAACCGCGTGTTCCGCCTAAGAATCCGGCCCGTCAACATCATCGATACCGAAGCGATGATACCATACCGACCTCGAGTACCGCTAACGAGAACGTTTTCGATAGCAGTCCTCTTGCTCTACAACGCCAGAACACATTCGAAAAGCTTTCCGTTGTTGGGCCCAAGGGTAATCTGACTGGCACTCCTCGCGGGACTGGCATGCACGAGACTGGTAGCAGTGTCGCAGATCACAGTAGCCCGGGTGGTAGGCTCAGCTCAAGCGTTGGTCGCCAGAGCTTTAGTTCAGACTACAATGGTTTCTACGCTTCACCATTCCCAGCTGCAGGCAGCGTAACTCGCATTAGCCAATCTCGGCCAACGTATATTCCGACATCTGGCCGAACCCCATCAGAGACCAGTTTCATTCCCCACACGAAGGAATCGGAAACACTGCGAGAATCATGTCCACTTCCCGGGGCTCGCAAACACCTTCGTAATTCGACCACGTCCCTGCGCTCGCAACGTCGCACAAGTCGATCTGCTGTGCCAGGGCAAACAAAATTACGCCAGATGTTTCTCGCACCAGAAGCAGCTCGATCCACTGTCTCGACTCAAGGTACCCATATCACGCATTTCCTGGCCGGCAGCGAGCGTCCGTCTACTAGTGACACAAACACGCCCCTTAGGACCTCGTACCCCAGTCTCCATATCTATCCTACGACTGCTCGTACCAATATCGCACACGAACACTCTCCCCATCTTCTCTGTGTAGAGCGGAAGCCTAACCCAGAGGATGAAGCACGGCGACGTAAGCTGTCATGGTACATCTTCGCAGCTTTCTGCCTCGTGCCACCCTGCATTCTTCTCTTCCGTTTCTTTGCAGACAATATCATCGCCTCGTTCACGGAAGGTCACTTGGGCTACTGTACACCACACTCAAAGAGAGTAGCGCTTATTGCTGGTATCGCCGTTAACGTTGGTCTTGTCACTGCAATCCTGGTCCCGGTCCTGATCGCACATGCACTGAACGCTGTATGATCAGAGGTCATCGGGGCCAGCGGAGAAGAGTAAGTAATTTGTCGTTTGGTCATAAAGTACGCTAACAGTAATCAGCAGCAATGCTAGCGATATTGAGCACAGTCAGGAGCGCACTGAACGGTATCAACGAAATGCACCCACTGTGGTGTGACAAGACATGTTAAAAGTCTTTTATTGGCACTCACTGCACATTCATGGATTGAGTTACCAGCAACGCCTTCGTTGCTGTATTCATTCCCTCTGAGTAAGTCCTTTCCTTTCTCTATGTTATGTTTTGCATGAACTGGCGTTCTTTTTTTTCGCATTGGACAAAGTCATCCGGCTCATCTTACCCGTGGAATGTGTTTATATGGATGCATAATTTGGCGACGGGGAACACTTTGGCGTGTATGTGGGTTAGGATCGGCATTTCAGGTTCGGTTATCATAGCTCGCTGGCATTTTCCTCCAATGTCTTCCACGCTTCGTCGTCATCAGTCTGGTTTGGCAATATGGTCTTGGAGCATGTCAGGGGCGCTTTTGAGGGATATGGTCTACTAAGGCGAACAATACGAAGAAAGTAGTAGCAATGCTACTCCAGTGGTTGTCTGACGCTTGTGCTTTTACAAGATGATACCTTTCTACTTAAGAAGGAAATTTACTAGGCGAATCATGTAATTCTTTCCCACGCCATACCTATGTGCTTCTACGATGATCGGCTGTTTCCGCAGATATAAAGATTTCCGCGTTGTGTGGGCGTTTATGAGTTCACTTTGAGAACTCTCGTCCGGCCCATCGAACAGCAGATGCAGGTTAAGACTCGCTTCAGTATCATACGTGCGAGCTCATTCGAACGTCCGGTGCGTTCTCGTCGCAGTCGATTGTTTGTATGCTGTCTTGATGATTGGTGGATATGTCGATGGAAATTGATTTTGGTGTACTATGGGGTATGCTCTCGTCAGACGTGCTACGTGCAGCTGGAGGCGACTGCATCATAGTTTGCTGAGTCTTGCGTGACCTGATCTCTTTCCACACGAATCGAGCCTGGTTGACTTGTCGTTTTATGGTGATGGTCATCTTTGATACAGCCCATGCCACAAGGATAGCTATCAGTACCAACTGATAGTTTATACTACCCGCTACAACCATCAGTGTGGTGGCTAATGCACTAAAAACTAGGGATATAATCGCAACTTTCCTGGTCACTTTGGACTGGACTTGATCCGTAGGGTCTCCGAACGGGTTCGAGTCGTCAGTTTGTGCCGATTCCACTGTCCGGACCTGTAGCTCGGATGTGGTATTGTTCGGAGGTGATTTGTTTGGGTCATCTATCGGCTGCGAAAGTTCATGGCTTTGTGGAAGGTGGAGTCTAGACGATGTGCTTTGCTCTTGACTTGGTCAGTAGAGCGGCCATGAGACCATGGAAGGTACTCACCATTTATGAGTTCGGTTAAAGTAATTAGTGGAAGGACGAGTAAACCTATAGCGACGACTTGACCGAAGCCGAGGGTTGTAGTCTCATCCTCGACGTCGGTACCCCATGCATCAACACCCCATACCGCTTGGATCGTATTTGTCGTCCCATAAGCAAACTGGAACGCCCATACAGGAAGTTCGGAAAGATACGCCTCATGATACTGCTCGAGGAAGTACCACACCGATATTCGTGTTTTGGTGTTTGATGGTCTGATTGCGATACCATAAAGACGACGCGCATCTGCGACGATGTTTGCGGACTCTGACATGGAAATGTTGTTCGTCCAGCTCCAGAAGTACATTGACATGCGATCTACCATTGTCGTAGTAACATGGCGGTGGTGAATGGCTTCCGGAGCAATCAATCGAGCCATAGCTGAAAGATGTTTGCCCCATAAGATTATCAATACAGGGACGACATTGATCATGAGGGTGCTGATTTGCAAAAGTCCAGGTTGTGACCTCCAATCCAACAATAAGCAGTGGACGATCTGATCCTGCCACGCCGGCAAATGATCCACGAGAAATGCGAAGGTAAAGAAGGCAAGAAAAATAAGCGTGAAAGTTATACGACAGTACCTGACCCAAATGTGCTCAACTAGGTAGTTTCGTAGTACATCGAGTGATAAGCTGTGGGTGGTAGCTGAGAAATAAGCTAATGATGTAACTATGTGCCACTCACGTTGAGATATGACACATTGACTTGAAAGCGCAGCAATCAGTATGGACAATCCAGTTATGAGTTGTTGGTCGCTCAGCATCTTGATGAAGCTGACAAGAACATCGCTGCGCCCCTGCCGTGCCGACATTTGTATTGGTATTGGGGTTTCCGCACCGACATGCCTTTTATCTCGCTTGAAAGGCTTCTTGAGTAGTTTGAGTGCATGCTGATCAGTTTCCTGTAGCAGACCTGTAGGTAAGGTTGCAGTCAAGTACCCCCAAATCACCACTAAGAAAACGACCAAAGCGCTGAAGTAGAACGATACGAGGACCTGTCTCTCGATCAGCACAAAACTTGAGTTGAGAATGCATCACTCACCCCAATACCTGCGATATCTGCGTTGAACTTCAAGTCCTTTGCGCACTTTCCACCGTTTCGGATGTTGCCACACGCAGCACAATCCAAAGAACTACCGCAGTTGCCCATGGTCGTAGTTGGTGAATCAATCTACTAATAAAACTGCTTTGCTGCTGCGTGAGACTGAGGTCGCCGGTCCACGTCTGACGGAAATCCTTGAGGGGCTGGGATATATCGGCAGCTACAACGGTGGATCTCAGCAGTAGCTAGAATGTGTGACGACAACAATGTCATCATAAGTGAACTGAAGAATATAATGTTACGGCATGATCTTGTTACACGTGTCGAGAGGAGCTGTGGAATGAACTTCGAATTCTTCCCCGTCAGCATCTCTGCGATCTGCTCAACAAAGTCGGACTTACGTGAAATGAGGCCAGGCCGTGCACGCTACATGTAAGGCCGCATAGCTGCGATTGGATGGTTCAGGCCCCAAAGTCTATTTCCGACACTATGTGCTAGCCCAGCATTGGATTCAAGATTTCGATAGGTGCCTCGACTTTATTAGCTGGTATGTAAATGATCTGCGCACCGGTAACGTATCGGAATGAAGTGAACACCGCTACAGTCCGATGCTAAAATGACTGCATGGCTCATCTCCATTTACCAACGATTTACGCATTTTGTTCAGACCCCTAGAATGATGGTTGGGAAACCGCGATGCTGAAAAAGATAGTGGAAGTGTTTTGCTACCTCAAAGCATGCTGGCCAACGCACTTGCGGTAGTGGGCAGATGGCCGCTTGCGTTTCCGGTTACAAGTCTGCGAATCTCAGGCACACGCAGTCTAGTCAAACCACTTTTTTTTATTCGCGCAGAGTTAAAACCAAGTCCATCCACAGTAGACAGCTTTACAAGTAACCCTCTCTTCCCTGGTGCTGTTTCTTTGACTTGTATACACATTGTATGCAATCTGAAAAGAAAATGTCAAAAGAGTGGAGGACGCGATATGCACAAGAAAACAATCTCCCGGATCTGAGGCTGTCATAGTACAAACGTGACTTGACTGTTGATCTTTACCATCAAAAGCTTTGCTCTCTTGGTGGTGGAGGGTTAGTTCTGCGTCTTGCGAATGGCAAAAGCCCAATATCCGCTTCTGTATCTATCCTGCCCGGCAGGCCGAATTCAACTTGCCCCTCTCTCGCAGTAGAACGCTGCTCAGTAACGCTCACCGGTCGCGAAGGAGGTGGTGAAGTGGACCTTACACTAGTGTTGCTCGAAACTGCTGAAGCATCAAGACTTTCGTTGCTTTGGTGAAGGATGCCGAGTTGAGACTCTGGCCGCTTTTGGGAGCGGGCTATGCGTGCTTCGTCGCTGATAAAGTAGTTTTGGTCCGCTACACTCTTGGAACTGAGTAAAAGTCGGTATACGATATAGCAGACGAACATATATGTTGTCGATCCACCGTCAATTGTCGTAGAACTCCCACGAAAGCAAACAAGCAAGTTTCAATCGAGCAACATAACAACGAAATATTGCCTATCTTTCTTGCGGTGTAGATGTCTTCTTGATGCGTGGAGATTTCGCCGTTCCTAACAGCATCTAAATCATCTCGCGACTTCGATGACCCGAAGCACAACATGTGCTCCCAAAACAAACCACCACGATCTTTTGGAACAAATTCCGTTCTGTGCGATACCTCTGGGGTTGTAATGCTCTTGGTTGTAATTCCTTGTGCCATGCTCTTTCTGGAAGCCGATTGAGTCTCTTCACTGGCAACGTTATCCTTCCGGAGCCTTTGGTCTATGGGTCCAGGTCAGTACATAGTTGTTGGTTTTGACACCAAATTGGCTTACCATTTATAACTCCTACTGCGGCCAGAAAGGTTAGTGACAGCAGCACTATGGCTACAATTTGCCCGAAACCCAAAACCTGAAGACCATTTGCTGACTTCAATCCTGCGCCCCAGATAGCAAGAATGACACTAGTTGTACCGTATGCCATTTCCAGTGCCATCGGTGGAAAGCTTGCTAGGTATGAGTTGTAGTAGCTGCTGAAGAAGAACCATACAGAGATTCTCGTTTGCTTCGTATTTGCCAAGGGAGGCCGAAGCCAGGCGTCGTATTTCCTTGCTGCTTTTCTGACGATTGTGCTTGCGTCCTCTCTTGGAAACCCTTTGAAACGATGGAGACTGTATGTGTAGACGAAGTCGATCGCCATAGCAGTTGGGTCTATCTCGGGATCAAAGAACAACCTCGTGATAGCCATAGTGTGATTGATAAGTATAAACCCGACAATCAAGGTTGAGTCTGCTATATCGAATTGAATAGACTTACCAAACCGCGACGCTTCGAAGAGACACTGAAGCTCATTACCCAGGTACAGTGTTGTCTCCTCGTGGCTTGAGGCCGTGTTTATAATGAAGGAGAAGACAAAGATGACCGAGAATCCGATAGCGAAGACAACTCGGCAGTTTCTAACAAGTTTGCGAAGAAATAGATGACTTTGCAACACACCTAGCGAAAGCGTATGTGTGGAAATAGCAAAGTATGCTAGATACGTGACGATGTTGAACTCGTATAACGAGATGCGACATCGGCTAGCAAGCCCCGCGATCAGAATCGCAACACCTGTCACTAGTTGCTGGTCGCTTAAGACTGTAACAAAGCTAAGGATGATCTGAGTTCTGTCTTTCTGCTTTAATGTAGGTTCAAACGGGAGATCAGTTTCGAGGAGGGGGCGAAAGCCTTTCTTGAGTGACTGCAACGCGTAGTGGTCGGTGCGAGATAACAAGTCAATCGGCAGGCATTCGTTGAAGTAGCCCCAAACAATGACAGCAGAGAGCGCAAACGCGCTGCAGAGGAACGAGACAAGCACCTACAGATCGGGTCAGCACATAGTCCAAAAGATCCTTTGTGATACACTCACTCCGATGCCTGCGACGTCGGGGTCAATTTCGATCACGTTCTCGCAGCCAGGAAATGGTTCGCTGGAATAGCACTTGTTACAGTCGAGAGAACTCCCACAATTACCCATTGTTTCCTTCTATGCAGCGATAATGAGCCAGACTGCAGGGAAGGAAGCTGTTACAGGAAGAAGGGGTTCAGCGACCTTTGAATTAAAGTGGATATGCAATGAGGCTCATTCTAGCCGCTTGGATACTGCTTAGAGACCCAGAGGCTTCAGCGTGTGAAAGCGAAAAATAGAAACGGCGCAAGGCTGGGTTATTGGAGGCGCTTTGAGGCGGCCATGGCAAATAAGCAGAAGAGGAAGGCTGAGAGAGAGATCGAGCGGTCCGCGGTGCATCGAAACAACTAGCAACAGGTGTAATAGCGTCCGACATGCCACATGCTATAAATCCACGGCTTTACTATGAGTCCAAGTACAACAGCGATAGAACAGATGTCTGAGGCTCTGCGGATATCCGTAGGTCTTTATAGTAGTTTGCCCAACATCAATTGCGGCTCAGCCTTTTCGCTTGCCCGATCGCTGTAGCCTAAGTATGAGCTGAGAAGCTTAGCACATGTACGTTGGTGTTGTCTTCTTGAGCCCCATAGGTAATTGGTTCTAGCGACAGGCTGTGTCAGCCGAGTTACGAGGTGGTTGAAGGGTGGGTCGGTACAGCAGGTCGCTACGTTGAGCGGACTACCCAGAGCGATCGCGTTATAGCCGCCGGTCTACACTCAACATCTGCATCTGTCATCAATGCCGTCATATGCTTTGAACGAACCTGTGTCGACAGGAACTATGGTCCCTCTTAATGTTACGGATATGAAAAAATTGGAAGTTAAGGAATGAGGAAAGTACTGGCGATCGTGACGTCAGCAATCGTGCGAGTCATGCTAAGAGGCGGCCGTCATCGTGACCGCAATGCACATGTTGATGAGAGATATCTAGAAATAGTGTTACTTTGCAAGCTTAGTAGGCTGAAATCACAAGTTCAGATTGCAAATCATTCCCTGCATCACTGACTTCTGGCACAGATCGTCATGGTTGTTTGTTCATCAATTCATTGAAAACAGCGATAACGCTAGCTCATTAAAAGCCATATTGGGTATTTAACATCTTACTCCTTGCTCAGATCCGCAATCTGCAGCACAGCCTTACCAAAGTTCTTGCCCTCTAGCATGCCAAGGAAACCTTCGACACCGTTGTCGATGCCCTCAGTAACGCTGATCTTGGCCTTGAAGGTGCCCTCGCTGAGCCACTTCTGGAGCTTCTCCTGGTGATCCTTGTGGTGCTTGGGGCCCATGTTGTCGTCGCTGACAATGAAACCACGCATAGTGAGGCGCTTGGCGACGACTTGCATGAGGTTACGGATGGGGTATTGCTCGCCGGGCTTAAGGTTGTATTGTGAGATCATACCGCAGGCGACGATGCGACCGAAGTTGTTCATGGCATTGATGGCAGCCTCGAGTTGCTCACCACCGACGTTCTCGTAGTAGATGTCGATACCGTTAGGGGCGAGGCGGGCGAGCGCGTCGGCAGCCTTCTCCTTCTTGTAGTTGAAGCCATGGTCGAAGTTGAGCTCCTTGGTGATGAATTCGAGCTTCTTGTCGTCACCGACACTTCCAATGACAGTAAGACCTTCGTGCTTGGCGAGTTGGCCAACTAGTTGACCGACGGCACCAGAAGCGGCGGAGATGAAGATGGTTTCACCCTTCTTCGGTTGGCCGATCTCGTAGAAAGATGACCATGCGGTAAGACCAGGCATACCGAGGGGGCCGAGGAAGTACTTGGGATCGAGGTTGTAGGGGTTCTTGAGCTCGATGCAGTTGGCGACGGCATCCTTGTCGAGAACGGAGTACTCCTCAATAGGGCTGATTCCCATGGTGATGAGGGTTTGGCCCTCCTTGAACTTGTCGCTGTTTGACTTGACGACCTTGAAGATGGAGCGGTTGGTGATGGGCTTGCCAAGCTCGAAAGGAGGAGAGTAGGACTTGACGTCGGGAGCACGCATGCGTCCCCGCTGGTAGGGGTCGAATGAGGCATAGAAGTTCTTCACGAGCAGAGCACCCTCTGGGAGCTGCTGCTCGAGATCGATCTCGCGGGCCTCAACTGCGAGGTCCTGCCCCGGCTTTGGCCATCCCTCTGGCGCGTTCTTGAAGATGAGTCCCTTGTTCTGAACCATGGTGATGTGTATGTGTCGTGTTTGTTGAGTATTAGAAAGGGATATGTGGGTATCTTGGACAATGTTGTTATAAGGTAGTGTGATAGTTTGATGAAGAGGGAGACGTCAGTAGGAACGAGCACCTGGCTATATAGCCACAGCAGATTCTAGCTTAGAAATTGTGATTTCACCGCCGAGAGAAAGACCCTGATTGCATCATGAGGGTCCGGAGGCGCCGTCCAGGAAGGCCTTGCCGTAACGTTGCATATCGGGCAGTTACCGGCAAGGGGCGCAACAATTCGTCCGACTCTAGAAGCCACTCTTCGGTCGAGTGTCTCGACGCGGGGCACGAAACTTGTCGCAAATGCAGAATCTTCGAGACAACGTTGAACGACGCGAAGCCATGACGAGGGTCGCGCCGGGAGTCATACGCATTGGGGAAGGTGCCCGCAGCGCTGGCAAGGCTGAGCCGAGGCAAGTGGGGCGAGATTGGTAATGGAGGGGTTTAACTGAGAGTAACCATGGGTTCAATGCACCCAGCGGTGAACATGGCAAAACAAAGTGTTGAGACGCAAGGCCTGAAGGACCGTCGAGACATGCTCATGATTTGTCTATTGCATTTACAATCACTCCGGAAAACGATATCGAGAAGAGAGAGTCGTCTGCAAAGACGTTGTACGAGGAGCTTCATAGGAATCGTGTACAATTTGTCTGACATTCAGACGTGCATGCGGCGATAACTCTCGAGCTTGTATCCGGCGAACGTGCAAAGGCATGTTCCGAGTGTTCGTAAACCATACTAATTCTTCAGGACCGTACCACGACTACCCCTAAGATGTCTGACCGGCGAGCCTGAAGGCAGATATCGGCGCCTCTAATAAGCGCAACCTAAAACAACCCACTTCTCGTGAGACAGTATACCGCACGCTATCTTCAACAGCTTATGCGGAGATGGATGTGCCGGGTATCGATGCTATCATGCGGATGCTGAGCGGCTCTCACTCGTCGTCCTCCTCTTCTCTGCTATCCACAAAGAAGTCCCCCTCTTCCTCCTCAGGCTCCATAACTTTTTCTATCAACTTCAGTGTCTGCCGTAGAGGTAGGCCAACAACGTTGTCGTATGATCCGTCTATACGCTCGATGAGAACAGAGCCAGCTGTCTGTATACCGTAGCCGCCCGCTTTGTCGTTACCGTCGCGTGTTCTGACGTATGCGAGGATAAGCTCATCGGTAACTGTGCATGTTAGCGCTCAAGTCAATCGTAGCCAAATTGGAAGATGTACCAGTAGAGTCGAACTTGACCGTCTTCTCCTCCACATGTGTTCCCATAGCATACCCCGGCTCTACTGCTGATTCTAATGGCTTCATCACCGCCACAGCCGTCATGACTTTGTGCTCGCCCTCATCCCGCAGCATCTTCAGTGTTGCTATGTGGTCTGCCTCACTCTTTGGCTTCTCTAGGATTTTGCCAGCATGCGACACTACGATGGTGTCGGCAGCAATGACTATGGCTGGTTCGCCGCGCTCGCGGTTGTTGATCTCGGTCTTGTATACATCGTGTGCTTTGGCCGACGCGGTTTCGAGGACGTAGTTCAACGCGCCGAGCGAATGGTCTAGGTTTTCGGCGAACTTGGAAGGGCATACGTCAATCTTTGTAAGGCCGATCTAAAAGAAGTCAATCTTTAATGAGTCTAAATTCAGGTGGATATGCCCTTACCTGCGCGAGAAGTTGTCGTCGCCGTGGTGACGCACTCGCAAGCACAACTCTAGACCCCCTCAATTCATTCAGTGCTGGCAGGTTGAGTGGTGGAGGAGGTCCTGGTGGAGGCCGTTTGCCTAATGGTATGCCCGACGCCGATCTGTTGTGTGGCAATGGTGACTTTCGTGCATCTTCGTACGAGGGCGGAGGTTCAGACGGTAGTAGGGGCTCTTTGACGTCCATTGTGGCAGTTGAATTATGTGTAGTGATCGGACAGTGTCTGGAGACGCAAATTCAACAGTAAAAACCTAAAGAATTCAAAGGGGCTGCTGGTGTAGTGATGTTAACGATAATCTCAGAAGGAGACATCGAGTTCGGAATGCTCAAAAGGTCCAAGCTCCTGCGCCACTTGCCTCCCCCGACGCCGCTCAACTGTGCAATGGCAGCGCAGATCTCTACTTCAGCTCTTCCTCGAAAGTGGCACCACGTTTCATGACAACCCATGTACTCCAAGAAACTGCACAACCTCTGAGGAAGAGTTCTGAATGTATTAATACCAACGATAGTACTAGGCAGCGCGTACGCGACGCGTTTTAGGGCCGAGTGTCATGACGATCAACGTACTCTGCCAGAGTATGAGCATTGGTGAATATGTATTGTCCAGATCTCAGCCTATCAGCTTCTTCTCATCAACATGAAACATCTTGACGATTGAGTCGTATGCTTCCTTAAAGTCGATCTTGTCTATCTCCTTTTGCATCTTCGCCCTGCTCGATACGATCTCTTTGGCAATGACGGCCCAGTCCAGAGTGTCACTATCCACAGTCGCTCTCGCACTGCTGTCTACTTGTATTGGCAACAGCCTGCCATCCTTCTTCCTCACAATACCATCGACAATGACAGTCTCGATGTCTGCCGGGCTCGAGTGTAGGATAATCGCGGCAACTGGGTCATGTTGTGCCGCGCCGACCATGCTGGGACTGAGAGCATCAAAGATGGTAAGATCTGCCTTAAAGTTTTCTGCGATGCGGCCAATCTCGCCACTCATGTTTACAGCCTCTGCACCTTTGATCGTTGCCAGATTGAATGCGGCCTCAACGTTGAGACTTTCTGGAAGTGGTTCGGGAATCTTGTCTTGCTTCATATGGTATTCGTTATAATGGTTGCGCGCGTCCTGCAGGCCGAGCCTTGCCTCAGAGATGATGGAACCGGCAGTGCACGAATGGCAATCAACGCCAAGCGCGGCGTTGTCCTGCAATCCGATCGAATTGCCGCTTATCCCCCCATCTTGGAAGGACGCATCGAAGCAGTAAGGTCTCGCCATGGCCATCTGGAGTTCGGTACTAGGAGTGGAACTGACGAACGCCCCAGCAGCCTTCAAGAGCTCAGCATCGGCCTTCAAGATTGTACCACCATGCGAAATGATGATCTTCTCATCTAGTAGATCAAGATTCGATGCTTCTTGTATCACGTTTAGCCCCAGTGATACAGACCCGTGGCAGGTAATCGTCTTGACACCCTTCGCATTCACTCTGGCAAATATACCCTTGACCATGTCCGCGGGTAGAAACCAGAAATCGAAAGCGAAGCCGAGGGCTACTCGTCCATCTCCAAAAGGCCCGCTGTCGGCAAGTTCGTCAAAGGTCTGCATAACCCAGTCTTCGAAAGGATTTGGATTGAAGGTGAGGGGGTTGAATTGCGTGATGAGCATCAATGGGGTGTAGCAGAATACAGATCGGATGCCAGAGGATGCAGTAGCCGCGATGGCAGACCTGGCATGCTCCGGTGAGCGGGTAATGTGTGCATGATCAACCACCGTGGTTGTGCCAGCAGCTATGCTCTCTAGCATACCTGCGAGTTGGCCGTAGAAGACATCTTGGGGCGAGTATTGAAAATTCTGTGAATTGCCTATCCTTCGTCAGAGAGAGACATTATGATTGAGCCTCAAACTTTACCAGTAACCATGTATTTTATCAGTCCCTCGTTGGCATGTCTGCCCTTGAGCTGCGTTTGCCAACCATGCCGATGGGTATCGACGAAGCCTGGGCTGATGATCTTGTTGGTGCAATCGATGGTTTCGACTCCCTGGGACGCCGTAATCTCAGGCGCAATTCTTTTAATCCTGCCATCTTCTACAAGTATATCGGATCTGGTAGGGACTATATGGTTGTTCGCGTCATGAATCAGGGCGATACCGCCTTGAAGCAGAAGAACGTTAGGCGCCATTGCAAGGGTTGCAAATTCCAGGAGTAGTTGCTGCACTCGCAAAGCTTTTCAGTGGCAGTATTTCCTTTCGATAGGGTTGAACATCTGCTGGTAGTTCCGTACTCTGTGTAAAGTTGAAGTTCTTCAGCTCTTATTTAATGAGGTGAGGTTCTGCCCGATTTCTTGACAAAGTGAGATGCCGCCCGGCTTAAGGCTGAGGTCATCATGAACAGTTGGCCCATAGCCCCTCATCTCGCTATTATCGGGATGCGAAGAGAGCGAGGACCGGGTTTACATGGCGTTAAGGTAGCCGTTGTACAAACACGAACTGGCTTTAACGAAATAGAGTAAGCATCTTCAACTTGGATTGTTGCCTGGCTAGCTTCTAGAGCGGTCATGGGAACTGTGCTTCGATCTAGTGATTTCTCACAACCCGAAAGCTGATCTAAGAGTTACACTGCACATCCTTTGTCGACATCAAAGCATGTTGTGGCCGCATGTTGGTGTTGAGATCAGCCGGTGTTAGTTCTCGGACAGGATAGATGACGTAATCGGGTGGTCCAGTAGCGCATCTTCTTTCGCGCGATCGCCCGAGGCTCCTTTTCCTACGATGGATCCGCGACGTACGTCTACCCTTCGCGACGCCCTGTTTGCGCATTTCGGAGACCATTATTGAGGACCTATCCGTCGTTTCAACAACTAGTTATGCCACTGACAGCAAAGGATGCTTCAACCTGCAATTTCACTAACATTTGCCAGATCACGCATTATCGATCGTCGTTTGCGTTATCAAGAACCTACAAGCACGCCATGCTTCACCTCCCTTCTGTCCACAATCATTTATCTTGATTAAGATATACCAAGACACTTGCAATTTCCAACACTCGTGTGCACGCCCATTGCTTGACCGGGTAGTGACCGAGATGAAATCCCACGAGAGACCATAGTCAGGCCGTCGTGGAAAGGCCGGGGCACGATCTAGACAAACTTCAGAATCTCCTCGGCGATGTATAACCAGTGGCGTATAGGGCTGGGTTGGCCAGGTGTCTGGGACAAACCGCCACTCGCTTCTCCCAGTCTTATGGGGATTGGGCTTTCTACTGCGTCGCGATAGCCGCATACCATGCAGGTTCCTTGCTGTTCCAGGCGTTCGGTGCCTACCTGATTCCTATCGTTTTCCCTTCTCGCGTGCCACGGACTCTACCGAAGGCCAATGGCATCCAAGAGTCTAGGATAGCTATACATTGGAACATACGGGCTGAAAAGGCTAGCACGGGCTAGCCTGTAAGTAATCTGAGGATGTGCTTCTTTTACTGAAGACCATGTCGATTCACCGACCCGCGCGAACCTGACCAATACTTCGGTTGTCGTACTATTGCGATGTGAATTTACGTAACACGGGGTTTTTCAGCGAGTTCAGTTGGATGCTTCGTCCTAGGATACCATCAAGTTGAGCTCTTGACTGCGCAGCATTCAAGCTTGAGTCAATCTGAAGCCTGCCTTTTACTAGAAACGAGGCCGGAAACGATACACAGACCATCGACCTCACAATCACACTAGTAACTTCGCCAACACTCAGTTCTTGCAGAGTATCCCGGAGCTTCGCTGCAAGTCCTCCAAACGCGTATACACTAGCTTCCTGGCTCGCGTTGCCATCAGAACATTGTGGCAACCCCCACATTCGGACGGCACGCCCCGAGCTTCGCGAATGCGTACGGCAGGGCATGCTTAGAGAGACTTTTAGTCGGTTGCAACACATTAGCTCTTCCAATCTGCCAGCTTGTATGTGACAACCTACATTGCCGCTCTTCGGGCGCTAGTGTGGCTGCAGGCATCTGATGCCAATACCGCCAACCGAGATGTCGCAATCCTTGGCATCAATTGCGAACGTTGAACGAACAGTACGCAGACGCCAGCCTCCGCTGAGATACTGCAAGACTGGGCGTACCCACCCCCTCTTTGTCTTGTTAGCAATGCTCCGACCACAACGGTGGAACGTGTTAGATCAAGAGGAGATCGCATGAATTTGTTGCATGATGATATGTTTGAACACTTACGAAGTAAATGTACTGCAGCCATGGCCAACCAGCGATCCCGGATCTCCCACGCGATCCACCAACGCCTCAAACGCCATATCTCCGCCTTCGGAAGCCCAGACCTTACAAGCTCAACGCTTCGTGCAGCCCAGCCTGCCAAATTCCTCGTCTGCCATCTGCCAATATTTAGGATTTTACTCAACGCGAGCACGTCATGATCGGGCGCTGTTCTGTGATGGTGTTGCTGCACTGTGATTTGTACGGAATGCTTCATTCACGTAGCCTGCCCACGCCAAGCTACATGTGCCGTCTTGTTGCACGTCAAGTCCTTGGAATGGCGTCGGGCCATCGCAGATGCGGCTGTGCCTCCGCCTTGAATCTGGAACGATATGGTACTTCTATTTGACCGAACTTGATGTTCGCCCATTACTTCTCCACGGGCGCTCATCCACAAAGCGTAGTATAAGGTCACCCTCTTCTCTTGATCTGTCTCAGCGCCAGGTCTTACAGATACTCCAACTCAACATCCGCGACCTTTGGGGGTTATCTTGATTCCATCTGGAAGCTTCCTTGTCACCTTGAATCACCCGCTGTTCACGGAACCTTGGGAGCCCAGGGCACAGCCTTCACAGACAACGTCCGCCAACATGGCTTCAGCTGGTCGCAACGCGGCCAAGGTCCTTGGAATAAATCTTGACTACCGGAAAGAGCCCGAGGTGTCTGGCGCCGCGTCAATATCTTCTGTGGAAACATGTGAATATTGTAGGACTTATCGATCGGCAACAGCTAACGAAATTCAGACGTCGAACGTGAACCTCCCGCGATAGAATGGCTCTCTCAGTTCAAGCCGTCAGCGACCGCCACAACGCGTTACCTGAGGAGTTTGTTTCCCTTCTTGGACTGGATTTTCCACTATAACTTGACATGGCTATTTGGAGACTTTATTGCCGGTTGTACCGTTGGATTTGTTGTTATTCCTCAAGGCATGGCATACGCTCTGCTTGCGAAACTGCCTCCCGAGTATGGCCTCTACACAAGTTTTGTTGGCTTCATCCTCTATTGGGCCTTCGCTACATCCAAGGATATCACCATTGGTACCGTCGCTGTCATGAGCACCATCGTCGGAAATATCGTTACCAAAATCCAGGAAAAACAACCAGAGATTGAAGCTGTGGACATTGCTCGAGCTCTATCCGTCATCGCTGGTTCTGTTCTACTTTTCATCGGTCTTACACGGCTTGGAAGGATCGTCGAGCTCATTCCTCTTGTTGCTATCACCTCATTCATGACGGGCGCTGCTATCTCGATCGGAGCCGGCCAGGTCCCAGCACTAATGGGTATATCTGGCGTCAACACACGCGGTCCTACATATCTGGTCGTCATCGACACTCTTAAAGGCCTTCCACGCACGAAGCTCGATGCTGCTATGGGTCTGACTGCTCTGTTCATGCTATACGCCATCCGTATATTCTGCAACTTCATGTCGAGGAAGCAGCCTTCAAAGCAAAAGGTCTGGTTTTTCGTAAGCACACTGCGAATGGCTTTCGTCATTCTGCTATACATTATGATCAGCTGGCTTGCCAACAAAGACATCAAAGGCCTTCATAATGCTAAGAACGATGTCAAGATGGCGAAGTTCAAGATCCTCGGTCGTGTACCAAGGGGCTTTCAGCATGCTGGTGCTCCGAACATGGACACGAAGCTCCTCTCGGCAATTGCACCCGATATCCCGGTCACGATTATCGTATTGATTCTCGAACATATCGCAATCTCGAAGTCTTTCGGACGAATCAACAACTACGTCATCAACCGTAAGCAACGATAACAACTATCTGATTACATGAGTGTACTAACCACATATTCTAGCCTCGCAAGAACTGGTTGCTGTGGGCTTCACGAATGTGATCGGTCCATTCCTTGGCGCCTACCCTGCTACCGGGTCATTCTCGCGTACTGCTATCAAGTCGAAAGCAGGTGTCCGTACCCCACTTGCTGGTATCTTCACAGCGATCATTGTCCTCCTGGCTTTATACGCTCTAACCGCAGTCTTCTTTTACATTCCTTCAGCCGCTCTCGCTGCTGTCATCATCCACGCTGTCGGAGATCTCATTACTCCACCCAACGTTGTTTTCCAATTTTGGGAAACGTCGCCTTTGGAGGTTGTCATCTTCTTCGCGGGTGTCTTCGTAACAGTTTTCACGAATATCGAAAATGGTATATATGTTACCATTGCAGCTTCATTCGCACTTTTGCTTTGGCGCCAGCTGTTCACCCACGGTGCCATTCTTGGCAAAGTCCGCATCTATCGCGCCACCCCGGAGACGATGGCCAACAAGCAAGACAGCCATTTAATTCCAGGCTCTGATGCTTCTGTCCGAGAAGCCTTTATTCCAATTGACCGCAAGGATGGCTCAAACCCGCTTGTTGATATTGAGTCTCCTTATCCCGGTATACTGATCTACCGCTTCACTGAGGGCTTCACATATCTCAACCAACAAGGTTACATGGACGAAATTGTGCATCATGCGCAGACAATCTCTCGTCCAACAGAGCTTAACAAATACACAAAGATCGGTGATCGACCATGGAACGACCCAGGTAGGTCAACGTATGCATTGGGTGCGATTCAACGTACTGACTTTTACAAGGTCCGCGTCGCGGAAAGCAGCTGAATCTCGATGATAACCGACCTATCCTCCGTGCGATCATTCTGGACTTTAGCGCCGTCAACAATGTCGATGTTACGTCGATTCAAGGTCTCATTGACGTGCGCGCACAACTAGATCGTCATGCAGCACCTGAAACTGTAGAATGGCACTTCGCGTCGATCAACAGCCGCTGGACTAAGCGCGCTTTGACAACTGCTGGCTTTGGTTACATCGACCGCGAAAGGTTCGCAGCACGTCAGCATTGGAACCCAGTATTCAGCTATGCACCTCTCGATAATTCGGGCGCGAAGCTACACGACGAAGAGGCGCAGGATGAAATCCATGCCGTCAACAGGAGCAAAGGACTACCGAGTGGCAAGGTCACCACTGTGCATGGACAGAACAGACCGTTTTTCCATATTGATGTAGCGGCCGCCGTTGAGAGTGCTATTGCCGGCGTTAATGGGAAGCTGGCACAGGTCAGCTCAGGAAGCTCACACGAGCATGAGGTCGGGCAGACGGAGTTCACGACCAAACATGATTAGTTAGGTCAACGAATGTATCATTATCGTTCTTTGTGTCATAAGTTCATATATATACAGTGAAAGGCGCGTCCAAGCGTGCTTAGCATCATCATCATCCATCATCTACTGCCTAACGCAGCCGGTCTTGTCGGTCAAAGCTTTGGGGCAAGTAACCTCCTTGAAAGAAACGCTTGGGTTATCAGCGTTCTTGAACCAATCGAACCTCCACTCGCAACCTGGCTTGAGCTTCTGAGGGAAGCTTTCACACTCGGAGCGGGAAGAGATACCGCCGTATTGCTGGCCCCATCCGTTGGGTGGCGCACCGAATTGTGCAGTGCAGGCGTTGAAAATGCCTACGCCACCACCAGGTATAGCAAGATCGAAGTGGTTGTCTCCCAAGTCGCCGCCAGTGTTGGTGGTTTGCACGACCATCTTCTTGCCTGAGACAGGGCCGGATGTGAATGTCAGTCTAGAAGAGAGATACATTAGTCTTGATTCTTCGGCATGCTAAAGAGCACTCAGATAGACTCACTCATAGCATGCACAGCACCAGTTGCTCTCCGTCTTGCCAGAAAGCTTTACTGCTGCAAAACCGTATGCAAGATCGTCGCTGACCGCCCAGGGTGACTGGTCAGTGCACATATATGCTGACCCGCCGTCACATCCACTCTTTGTGTTCACGTCGGAGAGTGGGTTGTCGTTCTTGTCGCAAGTCTTGATTGGTGAGCTCACGGGGGCTTTACCAGACCATGCGCAAGAGCCTTTGCAGCAGTCCCAGTATCGTGTGGTCTTTCCAGTGGACTGAGCGTCAACGGTGGCGAGGCCGGTGGCGAGGGCGAGGAGAGTGAGTTGCTTGATGGAAACCATGATGGGCAGTTGTTTTCGATGATTATCCTTGGTATTGGTAGTTGGTTTGCTGAGCTTGTGGGTGTAAGTAAAACTGATCGATGGCGAAGCATCATAGGCTTTTATATATATATGTGTGCCAAGTTCTTCTCCAAAGAAAATGCCATGACGAAAGTCTTCTAGACTCCCTTGCACCCCACAAATTGCCTACTATGCCTGACCTTGAGCTCTTCCCGCCACCAGGTACACCGCATATGTGGTATGTACTAACAGCCCGAACATGCCCTTGCAACCGGTGGCTCAAGACGGTAGCCGAGATGATTAATGGATCGTCAAGCAAGCCCACCACGTAACCACCTCATCACTGACGGTGCATATCGTGGAATCAACATCAAACATGCTTGTATGGTAGTTTTGTGTTCAAGTTAAAAAGCGGTCAGTCGGGCTTATGGTGGTAGTGGACGAGCAGTGGACGAGTAGTGTACAACACATGTTACACTAGGTTGGAACTTTCATATATTGCGGCAGTATTGCGGCAGCCGCTTACTCGCTGGCTAAGTGTCGCAACGCAATTCCTGGATCATCAGTTTTGACGAGACGTCCGGAGATTTTCTAGCTAGAAGCAGTGTATGGCGGGGTGCATACACGAGCTTCACAACATTCCGCAAAAAAGCTTGATTCAACGAGCTGAGGATTGAGGTGCCTGCTCCTGATTGTGGTACGAGAATGTCGTTCCTGGGTGATTAGGGAGTTGAAGGACAAAGAAAGTCTTAGCGCAGTTTCAGAATCATACCGATATCCTTCCTAGCACGGAAGACGGGAAATGACGAGGGTGTGGCATGCTACTAAATGAGAGGTGCTCATTGGCTGATCTGTATATTTAATTTACTGAGGCGTCATTAATCGGCTGGTCGGAATGCAGATGAGGTACAATGACGGCAGTCTTCACCAGCATAAAATCGTGTCTGGAATGTATGCAGTCATTGAGAGAATTGGTAGATGTCATGCAAGCCATTCAGGTACCATGCCTCCTTGTTGGTATTCGGAACGCATTTTACCAAACCCATCAGAGGCAATGTGCAGAGTAATGTAGGGAGGCACTTACGTAGCATAATCGCTGCTCACTCAGTCTGACATTTGACGGTGTGACTTCTGTCCAAAACTTCGTGGCGCCCCACTGTCTACTCGGCTACACTCCGCTCGTCCCGCTAACCCCCTGCGCACGGAGCGAAGATTCTCTCTGTATTCTGTAATCCTGGTTCCCGTCTTGGACATTGTTCAGCGAAGTATAAATTACTCGGTTTTGCTGTTGATACGAAAGGGTTATTGTTGCGGCGCAACTTGGGCAGCGGTTCGATAGACTACGCTGCATTTGCCCAATCACCTCAGAAAACGGATGCGTTGTTGGGAGCAGACGTTCGTCAGAGGTTGAGTCTCGTATCCGCTGCATGTACGTCTCTAGGTGATCAGCATTGGAATGACTTGATGGAGGTGCTAAGCAGCATAGCTCACCTAAATCTGACGTGCGTCAGTACTGTACTGAAATGATAGTAGCATCATTCGTATTTTGAGCGCATACGAGCCATTGTTCGTACTCTGCTAGTCGCAGTGACCACATAGAACTAACTCAGCTGCTCCAGTCGGTAACAAAGGAAGATACCATATTGACGACCTTACGTATGGAACGAAACTCTTGCAGAAAGTTGTAGACAAGGGAGCTTAAGAAGCTCAATGCGTCTTGAAGCTTACAATCGTGGCATCAAGCGGCCTATCAGTATTCTTACACCAACAACTAACAGTCAGTCTTCTTTGTATGCGCTGCTACTTTCATAGATTTCTCGAGTGAATATGCAGATCCCTCGATTGAATGCTTGTAGGAAAACGGTGGAAGATAGAAAACAATGTAGTCTGTAAGCTGACGCTGGGAGTCACAGGCTCAGCGGAGAGGGAAAAACCATCGCGCCTTCTTGCACCAGTCACGGCTCCCCAACCAACGCGCGACAATGTCGCTGTTCCACGTGTCAGTTGTAGTCACTGAGAAAGCGCAACACTTGAAGCAAAACATAGTACGAAGCCGGTAGCCATGGCTCACACTTGCCGCTGAGTAATCTCGGCACGTTGAGTAGTGATGCCGGGCTGCTGCCGTTGAGAAGCATGCTGACTCGTTATCAAAGGTTCCGTAGTGTGACGTTTCTTTTGTCGATGTTTTGCCGTTGCTTCGCCGTTGCTTTGATGGTATTTAGACGCGGTTCGGTGAGGAGAAGCGTCGTATGAGGAAGTTACTGTGCTTTTTGTAAGATAGGAAAGGAGACTGTGCTCATGCTAGCTGTTATACACATCTAACGCATGCAAAGCTATCGAACTGAAAAGCAAGACTGGCATGAGATACAGTGAAGCCCACTCGAAGAAGTTGTGTGAAGAGGCATCGAAATGAAAGACCCCTTCGTGGTTTACTGCTGTTCTTTTACAGACCGACGTCGGGCCTGCGAGCGCGTTGTTTGAGCCATCGTGTCATCGGCAGAGCCTTCGTATCATATCCCGAACTCTGTTGCGTATAGTTTCTTTTCCGTGTTGAATAAGCTTGAGTGTACGGCCGCAGCAACGGCGGAAATGAGTATCGTGAACGAACATGGACGCTTCAAGCATGGATATCCCTTGAAGGCGTCAGGTGAGCGTACTCCTTTCGTCGACGCGCGTTCACTTGGTGATGATGGTGATCAACGCTGGGATACAAACTTCCACAATGAGGCAGCTACAACTGCCGATCGAAATCCGCCATACCCGATGCAGCCACTTGAAACCGGCCATGACGTAGCGCCAAAAGCGGTAGGCGCAACGCCTCATGCCCCAGGTTACCGACCCCTCGGCTCTGAGCGTTAACACACCCATAACTCTGACACCATGCAGCAGCATACTCCAATACCACGAGAGCAGCCAAGAACGCGCATCAACAGACGGTTTGTTTGATGCAGCGCTTCGCAAAGCGCTCCATTAATTATGCCATTAGTACCGAGGTTCGTGACGATCCTACTCGTACGGCAATGACACGCGGTGACAGGTCCGGCGCATTTCACGAACCCACACCGGAGGCATTGATCGCCATGTCGCTTCGGCCACTCGCGCACACGTCCTGACGAAAGGTTATGATCGCCGTAAGCTACAAGTCGCTCAAGAGGGCATGCATCCTCCCTGAACCTTCTTCTTCTTTCCTTATTCAAACGAACTACTCCCCGCTTTGCCAGACTCCGCCGCCATCCGATGGCTACGGCACCGCATCTCCACTCTCTATCAGACCACTAGCGAACCCATAAACACATTCATTCTCTTACTACTGTCCTTACCACCAACAACTACACTCATTCTTGATACCTGCGGTTCAGCCCGGTGCTGTGCCTGCCCTTAATAACACCGCCATGCCTTACCGCTCCTTCATATGCCGACTGCTCTTCTGCGCCATATTCTCCGTATCCGTTCTCAATATCTTCACCAGGGCCACTCAGCCCCGCTTTCACGCCGGAAAAGCCTCCAATCATCATCTTACTGAAGAAACTTTCTGCCCAAAGTCCAAGCTCGCCGATGATGTTTTGGTCGTCTTGCGAACCGGAGCCACCGAATCACAAGAAAAGGTGCCAGTGCACTTCCGTACCACGTTGCGATGCGTTCCCCATTTTGTTGTACACTCGGACCTGGATGAGGACATAGAGGGACACGCTGTTCACGACGTGCTCAAAGGAGTTAGCGAAGAGACGAAGACGACGAATGAGGACTTCAAGTTGTACCACCAACTCCAAGAGCATGGAAGACGGGGTGTAAAGCAGCAACAGGTTCTCACATCATTGTCCGGCTCGTCGCAAGGGGATTACTTGCGAACTGAAAATGCTGGATGGCAGCTGGACAAGTGGAAATTCTTGCCTATGATCGACCAGGCGCTAGAGGAGAAGCCGGATGCGAAGTGGTACTTCTTCATGGAAGCGGACACGTACATGAACTGGAACAACCTTTTGGAATTTCTTGGCAACTTTGACGACAGCAAGCCCTACTACATTGGCAAACATCTGTTCATCAATGAGGTCGAGTTTGCGTATGGTGGCGCCGGATTTGCCCTTTCAAACCCAGCCATGCAGAGAGTCGCATCGCGACGATCTGAGCGCATCAGTGAATATGAGGACTTCACA